CTAGTGATAATAGAAAACGTTCATTGAAACGTCCGGAAGCTTCAGAGTGTGACTCAGTTCGAAATCTATCATGCACATCCTGATATGAGCAGAAACAGTCATGTAACTACAAATAAATAGTTAAGCAAACCACACATAACTGCCAAAATCAAAGTTCATACCATAAACATGGTGCATAGACTAGTAAGTGAAGCAAGAGACTGCAACAATAATACAACTAGCCCACCCCCTTCCACCGTCTCTATTGTTCGTGCTAGTAGATTCGGGGTTAGAGCTTCAAAATCCTGAATATACCAAATTTCAATTTAAACACATTAGTATTAGTAAGTTGCAGAAACGATATTATTTCTATCATCAACCAGGTCTACCTGTAGGATACACATGCCATAAGTATTCCCCAGAATTCTCTCAGAATCTTTGTACATGCAATGCGTTACTTCCCCAACATCAAGAAAAAGAGAGAAAGCGTCAAGTTTTTCAGGATCTAACTGTCCTCTCTCCTTCATCTTCTTCAACTGCTTTGAACGTTTTTTATTGTGACTGCACACAAAACAAATCCCACTCTTTAATATTCAGGACAAAGTTATTGACAATGCCCAACTTGGTTCCACTACTCTTGATAACAAAAAGAAATTCCACAATTATGCCTAACACAGTTTCACAAAGTAAGGATACATCACTCAAAATGGAAACACCAAAAACTCACACCTAAGTTTCTAATAACAACGTGTCAGGTACAATCTTCAAACTTTTGCAAGGATTTTATTTTCTGAAACACAAGGATAATATATTGAACCTGCTAATGTCGAGTCTGTTCTTGTAGCACCATAGCACACTTGTGTTAGATTTCACCACCGATTTTGACAAAATGTGATGGAGATTAACTATCTATTATATAACAAAAGGAAAAGTATTAAGCTTCATCTCATGAAACCCACACCAAAAAAAAGCTTCCAAGGAAAATGGGAAGTAGAACACCAACAACAAAATTACCTGGTCACGAGACTTGTCACCGACGATGACAAACATGGAACGGTGTCTGAGTTTAACCCCATTCTCAATCAGAGTTCTAATACGTTCGTCTACCTTCTTCCTCATTCTCACTTCTCAGACAGGTTTTTGCTTCCTAACCTTAAAGCCCAAATCAAATTTCAATTAAACACAGGTCTGAGCTACTTGTATATAAAGATATTAAGAGTCAAAATCATGACCCAGTTCGAAAATTAATAATCTTTGCTATCTAATTCAACTTTGCAATTAGAAGAAAGGTTCAAGCTTTCTAAGAAAACCAACGAAGCAAAGTTTCAGGATTTAGAAGAAACTTAACACAAGGAGGTTAGGATTCCTAGCTGTAAAATAATTACTTCGGCGGTGTAATCAAGAGTTATGAGTGTGGCGGAGAACGAACCTGAGGATTGAGGATGGTGACGGAAAACGAGCAGAGAGGTTGAAAAGCAGCCTTTGTGTGTACCAAAAACAGAGAAGCGCGCCGTGACACTAAAACCCTAAAACCCTACGACTCAATCAGAGTGTATGTATCAATACTCGTAAACCGATATCCGACCCGGTTATTCGACCGGTTCTTTTTTCTTACAAAAAGTAACAGTTTATTTAACGGCGTGAACTGTTTCGTTAAAAGTTTATCACGGATAAAATTTGGAATCTAATTTGAAGAACTATTATGAAAAGGTGAATAGATGTCTACTTTGAGGAATTCTTTTTTTACTTTTGACATCTTTGAGTGTTTTTTTTCTCTGGTATTTTCCAGAAACAAAATATGAGTTGATGGAATATATGATAATAGCTTCAGATAACAATTATAATGGATTCTAAACCAATTGAAACTATATGAAATATATATTATTTAAATTTTCATTTGATTTTGCCTTCTGTGAAGTTAGTTGATTTAGCTGCTGCTTTCTATACCATCTAGTTATTTACGTCACCTAATATCGACGATCTATCTAAAACTGAAATAATTTGCATATTAGGTTAATTTACAAAAAAAAAAACAAAAAACAAACTCCTTCTTGCATATTCTATTGGCCACTGACCACTGTCCACTGAACTATAAGGATGTGATACGTTATTTCTATATGAAAAACAAAACAAAAAATAATAATATTTACTATTTACTATTTTATGAGATTGATGCCTGCACAAGACGTGAATCGAATATTTGCTATTTCGTGAATAATAATGATACAAGCAAATTGCCAACTATGTTTAAACTAAAATAAATTGTTCTTAACTTGTCACTTAGTACACGTCTTCAGCGATTACAGCTTCTTCGAAGAAATATCTGATCGGTGCTCTAGCTACCAAATTATTATTCTAGATCAACTAATTCATCTTAATCAATTTTATATTAAAAACGTACATCTAACGCCAGTGTTTAAAATTTTAGATCGAGAATCATTCAAGCTAATACAGTAACCGATATGAGCTCAAGAAAAACAAAGAGTAACTGATAGATTCTTGTTCTCTTTTGACGTATAATAAAGATATTGTCCTTTTGTACGATAGTACCAAGTACATTTCAGTGGTCTTTCAAACAATTACAGCTGAAATAACAATATAAGTATTGCGTTGTATACTAGTTTTATCGATGGTCAAATGTAATGCTTAACAATGACCAATCGATAGCTTCTTTAGAATAAACTTGCTTTTAAGACAGCAATAATTTAATAATAAAGAAAAATCATAATGGATGCATATGACATTTGCTAAATTATAACCCATAATTAAAAAGAGGATGGATGGTACAGATGGCAAAGTTTTGTGGAACGAAAATATTTAATCAGTTTGGATCGACAAGCTTATCTTACCTGGTTTGGATCTATCTTTGTCTCCCATAACATTAGATAACATTATCTCTTATTACAAAATTTTCATTTGAAATAGGGAATTAAAGTTTTTGTTGTTTTAGTACTACCAAGCTTCATTATGATTACACTCCATTCCAAAAGGCAAAAGCCATGATAACATGTTGCATGTATTATGTATATGATAATAAAAATACAAATAAAATCTATTAGGTGGCAAATATGACTTTAAAAAAAAAAACTTCTAGGGCAACGCGAATAGATATCTTTTGGGGTTGAATTCATTTGCATCGATACGACGATACCCATCAATCCATCATTTACAAGTAACATTTACTATCTACATTTCTATACATATACAAATAACACACACACCTATATATATGTTAGACCGAGTAAAAAAATAAATACCTCATCTCTTCTATCAATTTAAAGACTCGTGTATAGTTTACTCATATACAAGTGGAGATGTTCCGAAGTTAACAAAAACATATTACCAAAATCAGAAAACATACGAATGGACAAGAAAGGAAAACTTTTGTTAAAGAATAAAGAATCGCATAACGTAAAAGTATTAATGAAATGGGATAAGCATCTAATACACACATAAGCAATATGGAGTTCCGTTGGTGTCGGAAGTGACATGTGTTACACAACTAAAGGGGCCTCCAACATTGGATGTTGGATCTTAAGCTTATCATTCCAATCACGCTATTGATTAAATTAAATATATAACCTGCCGACTCCATTTAATATACATTATAAATACTTATTAAGTTATTGGCACATTTTGTTTTTTGGACCATAGACATAATTCTTTGAAGACTTTAATGGGAAATTCGAGCTCAGTTTCGAATCAATCTTGCACCAAATCTATTTGAAAGAATAAAATCTAAGTCAAGAAATGTCACCACTAAAATTCACTTATTATGTTCGTTGTGCGAGTATATATATTCAGCATTCATATTTTTTTTTTCTGCCTCTCTCTCCAAAACCTTACTAAACCAACTCATCAGACCATAGACGATCAACACGTAGAAAGAATGAAAATCATATAAATATTGTATGGTCAAATGCAAACGAAAAATGGAAACAGAGTGTGGCATTTGGTGTAACAGTTTTTCAGGATTTTGTATTATAGTTTCAAAATAATTAATTTTCATTTTTAAGAATAGAACATTGATGATTATTGCATTTCAAATGAATGAAATAACAGAACATTGAAATAACGACATTATGGAAGAAGAAAAAATGAATATCATAATGACATTAATTATGTATAACATTAATGATTGTATATGAATTTTGTTAAAGTTCATGAGCTTGAATATCATAATCATCTACTAATAAATAGATTATGATGCTTAAAAAATATATACACTAGCTACATCATATTTTAACTTTTGACATTAAATTTTTAAACAAGTTTTTGAAATTTGACTATAAATTATATTAAAGCGTACGTGTATACACGCACACTGCACACTTTAACGTGTAAGCACAATCCTACTTGCCAATTGCGATAGTTATATATGTACGGCCTGGACGTACGTATATTCACAGATGTTATAGAAAGGTACAGTATGTCGTATGTATGTACGTTGTAATGAATAAAGAGATGGACCAGTAAAAGAAGTACGTACGCAGATATCAAAAATAAAAGTAAGTACGTACGCATGACCATCATAAGTAGACTCAGCAAAAAGAAAGTGATAATGTTTTTTGCTAGAGGAAGAAAATTATAATGTTTCAACTTGTTTTCTTTCTCCATCAATTAAGCAATGCACCATTTATAACACAACACACAATATTTTCAATGCTATATACCGTATGGTTTATTATTATTCCAATTTCCATATATAGTATCAATACTTGACCCAAGGTCACCTACTTTACTGTTTTGTTTATACTTCCGGGTGACGACGAATCGATGATCAAGAATTTTCTATATAATTAAGCAGAGTCTATTTTAGTTCTTTTTTGTTTTTGTTTTTGAATAGTTCTACAACATCACTTAAAATGAATATTTGAAAAAAAAAAGAAAAACGTACATAAACCTAATAAAGAAACTCAAATTGCATCAAGAATACTACTATGTCTCGTGTTTTTCGCTCTTTTTCCCAATAAAATACGCCACTGGTTTATAATCTTAAATTCTTAATCATGTCTCTCTTTTTACGCCGTATCTCCGGAAAACCCCAGATGAAGATCCAGCGATTTAATGCCTCTCTTCGAACCAGAACGAGAAGACAGATCTCTCTGGAACTGAATCATGTTCTGTTGTACACCGTACAGCTTGCCCATCTCACCACTTTGCTCATTAAGATCTTGACATGTGTCCTTATTACCGAAGCTAATCTGCGACGACATCGACGACCACTCCTCGTTGAACACACCCATCTGATTATTGTTCACATGCATGGAAGAAAACGCGCAATATGACGGCGGTTTGTATTGTCTTTGAAATGACGTCGTTATTGGTTGTTGGTGGCTGGTGAGATAATAGCCGATGCTGGCTCGTCGAGCTTGAAGCTGAAGCCTCTTTTTCTTTAGCCTCTCTTTCTTGTGAGCGTTTTGGTGGCCTCCCAATGCTTGAGAATTTGCGAACTCTTTGCCACAATATTGGCACTCTAGTCTTTTGAGTACAAGCGACGTCGTATTGTTCGTTGAAGAGCTCACACTATCCGCCGTGGTGACTTCCGGCGAACGGTTACCGCTGATGAGTTCGAAGCCGAACAGTTTTATGGTCTTGTCGGAGGATGATCCTGAGGAGCTTTCGCCTGTACGAGACATTGTCGGAGATGTAGACATATATGCGTTATATGTATGTGTTTTGATGGGTTTAATTAGTTTTAGTTTTAGGAGATGTGTTAATGCTCTTCTCTTTATATAGCAAAGAGAGAGAGATGGAGGATGTTTAGTTTAATAATTAGTAATTAATGATGCATTGCATCTGTAATATAATATATAGTATGTCTAAGGAGTTTTATATTGTTGGGAGGTTTTTTATACTAGTCATGAACAGCATCGACTTATATTTTTAGGGTTTATAATAAAACTATTTGTTTGAATCTAAGGCGTGACGAAAAATGATCTTGGAAAATAAAACATTTGATAGGTACTATTATTACTATATAGATTTTACACTAAACACGGAATAGTTTATACAAATATGTGTATACCACGCGCCTAATACAGACGGGAACAATAAATATTAGAATTTTGGACATAAAATATCTGTGTTTTAATTTTTATATATAAAGACTTAACTTGTCAACTTGTTTTATCTTTTGTCTTATGCATAATGCATAATGCAAATTACTTTAAATTGGTAACCTATACTTTTTAATAAGGTGGAAACTACTTCTGTTTAGTGCGTGAATTAAATAGTTAATTAGATCAGGTTGAGATATGATGAATTAAAAAACATATATGAAAAGGCATGCAGCGATCACACCACTTGTGACAATTAACACAAAAGTTATATTCTAAGCTTAAAGAGAAGATTAAGATGATAGTATCATATTAGAAATAAAATCAAAAGTCAAAGAAAGATAGGAAATAACATAGCTAATCAATTTAGCCCCAAAAGATCAACATGCACATTAAAGGATAACACTTTAATTGATCCATGGAGATAATAATAAAAAAGTTAAAATTTCACAAGACTTGAATAACGTTATTATACAGTATATCACAAGTTACTAGATGTGTTCCCACGCATGATGTACGGAGTAATATTAACATTAATTTTTCTCGTTTAAAATATTATGTTAATTTTAATTTTTATAGACCTAATAGATATGTTTTTATTTTCTTAGTATTCTTATTAATATTTCTATAACATATGAAAAGAAGCATACTGTTTATTTTTTATTTAAACAATTATCATTTCACCTGTTTATTTCTTTTTTATTAACATATATTATGAAACATATTGATTTTGTCATTGATTAAAAAAAATTAAGTTTTTTTTTGTTTTGTGTTTAAATACCCTATAAATTATCGGTTTAATGCAAAATATTGTAAGGTTTTTACCAAAATTTAAGTGTGTAAATTATCGGAGTAATATTACCAAAATAGTTGTTTTCCAAATGTTTCAAAAAAAATAGCTAAGACAAACTTGTCTGCAATGTTCCCACCAATGTTATGAATACTATTTTATTATTTTAACTTTAAAATTAAATTTTGTTTTAACATATAATAAGAAGAAGCGATTGTTTCTGTTTTTGATTAAAAAAAATTATTACGTCAGTTTATTTTTTTTCTTAACATATACTATGAAGTATACGCGAGATGGATCGTAAGTTTACGTCACAAGTTATAAGCGAGTAAATGATATTTTTGGTATAAAAATTTCACTCAAGAACATATAAGCAAATGGATCGTCGTCCTAAGATAACTAATTAGCCTATAAATATGTGATATTATTTCAGTGATCATGTTTCATGTTCGGTATAGATTTTAGAATTTTCCCATAAACTAAAGTTGCTTTCATAGAGATATGACCATGGAGCATGAATTGAAGCTTCTTTGTAATTCAACTCAATATATCTTCCACCTAACCAAATCTTATTTGTTAATTACTGTGAGAAAAGAAAGAAAAAGCCTAACTTGACCATGTTTAATGAATGCTAGTTAAATTATAAACTAAATAGGGAGAATAGTTAGTTGCCAAATGAAGGAATACAAGAAGTGGGCAATGATGCAAGCATCTATACTATACAACAAATAAAAAAATATATGCACAAGTCTAATCTTCAAAACAAGATCTTGGGCAAATCTTCATAAAGCATGAGAAGACATTATATTATACAGAAAGAAATATAATGTTTTTCAAAAGGGTATTGATTATTCTATTTCAGGTGAATCAAGTCATGAGATAATCTTATTTTAATAAAATTAATTCTAATGAAATGGCATTTGGTTTGGACAGTTGTTTGTTTCCATTAAGACCCCACTGCTTTGTAACTTAAAAGATAGATCAAGACAATTAAAAAATATATACTATAATTAATCCTTATTAGGTGTTATAGTTATGCTCGCTCACTCATACAACCTTAGATCTCTGATTGGTGGACTTTCTTGCCACCTCTCATGCAATCAAAAGCTCTCTCTCTCAGGTCCTCTTTCATTTTAATTTTTAAAAGAAAAGTTGTAATATTATTTCAATCGAGGGAAAGAAGAATTCCAAATAAGTATGCTGTCAACAATCATCTTATATTTATCCAATAACATGTGGAATCATTTTAGCCCATTATGGATTTTTTGTCGAAAGTTTTCTTTCTGGTGGCTACTAGGTGGGTGGGTTGGTTTCTATAATTTTATTTGATATAATAAACATATATTTATATATTCCACGGCTCCAACCTCACCTTCGTGATTGTTTTATGCTTATTTGTATCGCCATCGAACAACTTAACATTAATCAAAATCTATCTCTGAAAAGTTAGTTAGTCTATGTGTGGTACCCCCGACTCCCGAATCCGTAAAATTTCCATTATATCAGGTTTAAGGTTTCGTTCTTTGACTTCTAGTGTTGACCAAATATGAGGTTTAACTGTACTTTTATAAGCTAAGCTATACCTTTTTATGGTTGTGCCAAGAAGTATCACAAAAGTTTCGTTAGAGCATCTAAAGATACTTACATTCTGTGTAACCAAAATCGAGACGTTCCCCTGTCGGTCTCGACTCTCGACTATAATGTAATTCCTGACAATGTTTATGACCAGGATCTGTCTTGACTTTTAGTTCTAGGAATAAGAAACGTAATGCTTTTAGTTGATCCAGTCCTTTTACAATGCATACATGATACATAGGCTCACAAAATAGTTTAACAAACTAGACCGAGCTAGTTTGTTAATTCTTACGTTAGAATTAAATAAAATTAGTATGCACATACGACACACTTGTTATTTGTAAATAAGTTAAATAAATATCCCTAATTGTAAGTATAAGAAACGGAAGCTAGCACACGCATGTATATATTTTAAAAAATTTTGATAAATTTATAGTTGAATTAGTTTAGCATTTTTTCAATTAGGTCGAAGATAATTAGGTGGCCCCCGCAGTTTGCCTCTCCGATTAATCAAATCCTTGCTTCTCTTCTAGACGACTCCAAGAGCACTTGAACCCTTGCTAATATTCTATATATATATATTATGAATAAAGAAAAAGAAGACCACCAAGAATGCGAAGACCAAAATTTAAAAACTATAGCATATAGTTAATGGATAAATAAATGGGAAAAAAACAATGATTATAGATCTACATCATAATTTCTGAAGTTCGAGTTGTTAATATGACTAAACTAAAAAGAAATGGTTGGTTCTTTAAACCGCACCAGCATGCTAACATAACAACTATATACATAGTAATATAATATCCCCGAGAAATGAGTACAATGCTTACAGAGGACAGCATAATTGGAAATTCCTGATCATGTACTTAAGTCATTGTTACTGCACGATGCAGATCGCCAAGCTATGTGGTTTAATTTAGTAGCTTGATTTCTTAGGTTTACGAAACCTTTAATTTATTATAGACAGGGACATAACATTTACGAGAATTAGGGTTGTGATTGAATGGTCGGATTAATTCATTAATTACCGTCATCGTGCCGTAGCTCATGCGGTTTGTGAGGCTTCGGTGGCTACTGGCTAGGGACCAATTCCTTTGATTGCTCTACTATCTAACATACAAAAGGACGCCATGTATTATTTACATGGTCCGCGATTTGTGGCTGCGTGGGTATATAAAAACTATTGATACTTGCCACTTCTTTAAGTATTTGTAATTGATCATATCCTAGTAAACGCTAGTATGCGGTCGGACAAAGACACTATCGGGTTTACTATAATCTTCGGTTTCAGGCTTACGTAAAACGTTTTATTGCTCCTATTTTCCAACCTGTGTGGGCTAATACAAAAGTACAACAGTTGGGGAGACATAAAAAGTTGTTTAAGGCCCATGAACTTCAAGTTATTTCTGAAATGTAAATTAAAAAGTTTGACGTACGTGTGCCTTCCATGAGTGACTGCGAGAAATAAACATCACATATAGAGAAGTATAAAGTTCCCAAATGAAACTGGTGTCAAAATTTAATTAAATCAAGAACAATGAAGAAGGCTTTCGTCTCAGAGTGATGTGGAAACGTTTCATGATTAAAAATAAAAAAGAGTGCATAATCTGGAAGAAAGAGTATTAGGACTCGGCCCACAGAACTTGTTGTTATGTTTCCGGCCCTGTTCCTTGTTCCACAAAACCAGTTTATAAAGGGAAACTACCATGTTCCGGACGACTTACGAAGAGAAACCTAAAGTAGTACTCGATCCAACCCACAGCCGATCAGCCTAGATGAGTAGATGACTAGATAAAAGAGTTATGGATCTCACATCTAAGAATCATACAGAGTAACATGCACCAATCCGCTAATTTTGAGTTTTTCTTTAATATTTGGAATTCACCTCCATTTCCATGTATGGTCTAAAAGACTAGAACATAAATCAATACTATAAGATGTAATTAACTTAGGGGATTTGAATAAAACATCATTTGTATTTGTATAATCAGGTCAACAAATTTGTTACTTTTAAATACATCTGATATATTTGAAGCATGCATGCTTTTACTTTTAGTATTCGGGCGACTGAAGAAATACTTACAATAATAATTTCTGGAGAAGGGAACGAATGACTCGCACCCTTTATCAGGAAGTTAGCAAAGGACTGGTTAGTCCGTGTCACACATGTGTTTCGGGAAGGCAATCGACTTGCGAATGGCTTGGCGAATCTTGCTTTCAATTTACCTTTAGGTTTCCATTTGTTTGATGTTGTACCCTCGTCTTTAGAGGTGATTTTGGGGAGGATGTTGTTGGGACTACCTTCTCTAGACAAGTGATTGTGTAATTGTTACTTTTCTAATAAACCGCGGAGGACTTTCGTTCCCCGTTGCATTACCAAAAAAAAAAAAAGATGCTCCAAACCTCAATTAAGTACTGAAAACAAAATTTATTAAAGGGAAAATGTCAATGTCTTTCATTTTTTCATTGATGTTCAAAGTTCCTGGAAAAAAAGATATACTTTGATTTTATGTGCGACACGTTGATTACTACTATTCTGGATTTTTTTGTTCAACCCTCGATTCCTAGTTGACATCATGAAGAGTTGATCCATCATTCATTGGCCCATATCGTTTGAAAAATCAATTCATAAATCAATCTTAATTTTCGCGTTCTTGTTATTGAAAAAAGGGACATATCCACCATTGTGAATTCTGGTTCACGCTTTATTAAGAATTTTTCTTACTAGTTGTTAGATTTTTCGGTGAACATTTTGGTAAATGCAGAAAAAGATTTGGACGATTTAGATAAGATAAAATTAGACGATGATGATCAATGCGAGCAATAAACAAATAGTTTTAGTCACTATTATAAAGTTCTGTTCATCTACAACTATGATCGATTCACTCTAACTTCTAAACAACCTCTAAACCTAATCCTTTGAACATTAACTTTAACTAGGAGAATGTTTTTTATCTTCTCTATATCTCTATAACAAGAACAAAAAAACAATTAGTTAGATTTTTATTTGTTTCTGTAAGAAAAGAAAAACAGTACATTTTATAATATTTTGGGTGGGAAAGACAAAGCAAAAGCAATCTCGAAGATTTGATACGCTGTGGTGTCTAAAGAGTGAAACAGCAAATTATGTTTGGAAAAAAAAGGAGGAAAAGTCCAATGCCTTAAAAAAGAAATGTTCGAACAAATATTAATGGGTCCCGCTTTTAGATTTTCATGGGTCCCGCAGATCCTAATTTTAATGTGGACGTCAATGCATTATTATTTGTCCACCTTCCTCCTCTATTTTTTTTCTTTTAAATTGGAAAATGATATCACTTTTTCTCTGCTTTATTTTTCTTGGGAGAGTTGGATTAGTTTATTATTGCAGTTGAATTTAAACGTTTGGATAACATAATTTTTTGTAGAGTCAGAGATGGATATACTATAGTTAGGCGTATATTAATTTGCATTGTGGCTGTTATGGTTTATGCATCCACTAGTTCGGAAATTCATCGTGTATCTCAATCTAATTCAAATTCACAATATTAATTCCATTTATGCATTTAGATACCATCGTGATAGTAAAGTAGAAACTGACCAAAATTGCATGGAACAATAAGGTTTCGCGTTAGTTATCAGCATTTATCTACAACACAATATGGTAATTATGTAAGAACAACATAACACATGGAATTAGTACTATCTTCGATGAGTTTTATATTTCTTAGCCTTAAGTTTTTTACATTGAAACACGGAGAACAAATTAACACTGATTCACAATTCATAAATAAACTCTCAAGGTTTAGTAATGATGAAGTTTTATAAAGAAAAAGAAAATCGTAGTAATAGTGTATGCTGAACAACAAAGTTTCTTATAAAACCAAACTGAACCGAGACGGATTATACACACAAGTACACAACCAGTTGAACCGGTTTGGTTTAACCGCTAGTGTGAAGTGTAATGGTGAGCAAAATCAGTTCTCTATCTACAGTTTTTTATTTACTTTCGTAACAATTATTCCATCTTCAGTTTTCAGTTTTTCACTCACAGTAACGAGTAACGACGAGATTTGACTAATTAATATCTTACGATGGTATTTTTCTTGATCCCTTTGTACGGATTAGACCTCTATTATTTATTCGATTTAGGAATATTTTTCTCTATGATATTCGCATAGGTCCCCACCGAATTTTATGAAATCTCAATTTATTAATACTATTTTTATCAGAAAAAGTTCAGTTTTTCAACCCTAAAAGCACGGCACAAAAGAAAATAAAAATATAACCTTTCACATAAATAAGAACCAAAGATTTTGTTGGATTTTCCTCGCTGGAGATTAAAAAAAAAACTAAAAAATCAAAATGAAAAGACACTGAAAAAAGACTGAGAGGGAAAGCGAAAGAAGAAAAAAAAATCAGAAATATAAAATAACTGTCAAAGGAAGAGAAGAAGAAAAGAAAACAGGTGTGAGCTCTTCTTCTTCCTCTATCTCTCTCTCTGCTATTTTAATCCTCTCCAGCTCTTCTCTCAGTTACCGCTCGTCTAATGGCCAGAGACGGTGGCGTTTCTTGTCTACGGAGGTCGGAGATGATGAGCGTCGGAATGGGAGGAATCGAATCTGCGCCGTTGGATTTAGATGAAGTTCATGTCCTTGCCGTCGATGACAGTCTCGTCGATCGGATTGTCATCGAGAGATTGCTTCGTATTACGTCCTGCAAAGGTTCGTCTTTCTAATTTCTTAAAAATCATTTTACGTCTTCATTTTTATTCGCCGGATAATTTCTAAAAACAGAGGAATCTCCGGCGGTTCTGATTCAGTTACGGCGGTAGATAGCGGATGGCGCGCTCTGGAATTTCTAGGGCTAGACAGCGAGAAAGCTTCAGCCGAATTAGATGTAAGTCATAGAATCTGAGAAGGTTTTGTTCTTTTGAACAGTGCCACATTTTAGGGATTTTGGATCGAGAATTTGATTTAGTTTTTTCCGATTATGTCGAATTTCAGAGATTGAAAGTTGATCTGATCATCACCGATTACTGTATGCCCGGAATGACCGGCTACGAGCTCCTGAAGAAGATTAAGGTCTGAATTTTCCCGCCGTTTTCCAGATTTATGAATCCTGGGGTTTTTCTGAACAATGTGGAATTTTCCGGTAATCTGAAACAGGAATCGTCGAATTTTCGAGAAGTTCCGGTGGTAATCATGTCGTCGGAGAACGTAATGACCAGAATCGACAGGTGAGTTTTTGTTGAATTTCGCAATCTTCGATTTGGGATTTTTGGAAAGTGTTGGTTTAATGAATGATAAATTTTCGGCAGATGCCTTGAGGAAGGCGCGGAGGATTTCTTACTGAAACCGGTGAAACTCGCCGACGTGAAACGCCTGAGGAGCTACTTGACCAGAGACGTTAAACTTTCCAACGGAAACAAACGGAAGCTTCCAGAAGATTCGAATTCCGTTGACACTCCGCTTCCTCCGTCGCCGCCGCCGTTGACTATCTCGACCGAATCGTCGGACTCTTCTCCGGCGCTATCTCCGGTGGAGATGTTTTCCTCGCCACTCTCATCTCCGATTGACGATGAAGATGACGATGTGTTGACATCGTCGCCGGAGTCTTCGCCGACGCCGGAGGAATCGCCGATTCGACCGCAGAAGATGAGGAGTCCCGGATTAGATTAGTGAAAGTTTTTTACTTTTCTGGGATCCGTGTAATATTATCTTTCTCCGTTAACTTTTTACCTTTGACGGTGTTTTTAATTGCACGTTGACTTGACGCCGTCAATTTATAGATGTCCTTTATTCTCGCTCCACGTGGGCCTTTCCTTAAAGCTTTTCGAATTTCCTATATATTATTTTCATTCTGCACAAAATTGTGGTTCTACTACTAAATCAAGGGAAAATGGAAGAAAAAACTCTTCAAAGTTCAAAGTAATTTTTTTTCTATAAATATTTTATAGATTGGAGTTAATCTTGCCAATTTGTTTTGTTTGTTGGACTCTTTTTTTCTTGCATTTCTAAGTTAATAGCTTGTCGGATAATCGCTTTCAAATTTTGGGGAAATTAATTTACTGTTTTGTTAATATACAAAGAAGTGGATGCATCATTAAGCATGTGTACATGTGTAGAGAGAGTAAGCAAGAAAAGAGTAAATGCAAGGCTGGAAATGGGCAACTCTTGTTCCCTTCGTTTGGGGCACATTTCTTCATAAATAGTCTTTATAAATCCGTTGTCTCCGGCACCCATTTTGGTGGTTTTTTCCGACGGTCCATGGAATGTGTTTTTACAACTCCGAGAAGAAAGATCTTCAGACGACCGACTTTTTTTAGCATTTGCGTTAGCTTAAACTTAAAATATTTATTGTTTACGTTACTTTGGTTTAACGTTTGCGTTTGGATTAACGTTAGTCCATGGAATGTGTTTTTACAACTCCGAGAAGAAGATCTTCAGACGACCGAGTTTTTTTTAGCATTTGCGTTGGCTTAAACTTAAAATATTTATTGCTTACGTTACTTTGGTTTAACGTTTGCGTTTGGATTAACGTTAGTCTTTGTATTTACCACCGACCATGTTACCAATTACGTTTATCAATACTCAAATTAAGTACAGCCTCCACAACAAATAAATAAAGAAACGTACAATGTCAATTAGATTACCTAATAAAGCACACACACAAGATTTAGATATTTCCTTTAGTTTGTAATCCAAGTTTAAACTACAGTTTTCTTTAAATCAACCACTGTACAAAATTCTATTCGCACCCGAATTGATATTTACTAATCTAACATAAAGAGCAGTATAATCTCATGTACTGTTGATGACAGTACAGCGAATGACATTGGAAGGACGAATTGAATTTTAAAATATGTAGATGCAGTGTATATACCAACAAAATCATTAATTATTGTCGACAACAAAATCATCATCTAACGATACTCCTCACGTTTGCCGTATTTTAAATTTTGAAAATAAATTTAACAAAATTTTCCTTGGTTTGCGTTTTGTCCCTTCATGTGGGGAACGATCGACTTTCTCCACCATATCTTTTTTTTCTTTCCTTTTGTCATTTTTGGGTACTGTGGTGTCCCGATCGCTGCTGCATGTGTCTTTCCACGTTTTTTTGCTATGATCTTGACATGTAGATTTTTATTTTTTTATATGATGGCTACTTTGCTATTTACGAAGCTTTGCTACTTTGGTGTAAGTTGATGTTATTATTAGTATAGTATTTAGTTTGTATAAGAATTGATATTGGAGTTTGTGTATAAAGCAGATAGAATGTCTCACTGAGGATACGAAGCAACCAAAAAAAAAAATTGGTGATAAAGAGACATCGTATAGTCGTATAGAGATGGTAATATTAAATATGCGATGAGCTAAACATAGTATAATAAAAACTCGCTGCACAAAGGAACGTTTTAGTTTTCTTTTCTTAACGGCTAACAAAAGCTTAATAATAGCTTTTGCTTAAATTAAAATTCAGCAAAAATCTTTGGAGGGTGATTTGTTTGGTGTCAGATGGAATTCTCTTCTTTGTTTTGTTGGGACTAAACTGCTAACTATGAATCTATGATCGAGCTATCTTGTTAACGATGAGTGTTTATGGAATGTGAATGAGTAAGCTCACCATCACTTACGTTTATAAATTTCATTATTTTCTTCCCGTTCTCTATCTCTTGCGATTCCTAGGACTTTTTCCTTTGCATGAGTTTACGTGACAATTGATTTAGGTATTTTTTTCCCCTCGCCCAAAATGGTTCCATCTTTATTTTGGAATCAGAATGTTTTAAATTCTTCATTTTGAGACTAACAAACATTAAAAGAACTATTTGCTGAATGAAGGAATTAAGACCCTCCAATGTTGGCAACTTCTGTATCATATTATATTCCAACGAAAACTATACACCAAAAGGTCCAAAACTGGCGGCTCCGAATGCTTAGCAGTACACAACAAAACAAGAAGAAAAAAAGGTGGCGTAGCGAGTCATGAGCAGCCATAATACGGTGATCCCAGTCCAGGCCACGTCAAAAACAACAAGCAAACTTCTCTACCACTATGCCTCTGCATAATTTCCAAGAGCCAAGAACTTTTACCATAAGAACCTCAACACCGTTACCTGAAATAAAGAAAGAGAAACACAAGATTAAGTATCACGAGTAGAAAACCGCTACATCAAGGAAGATCTCACAGCATTTGGTTGATGTAAGAGAGCAAATTTGGATGGAAGAATTGGAGTAGTTACGTGTTTATAGAGGAGGCAAGGCCAAAAGTTTGCAATTCAGCATTATGTTAAACCGCGATATTCTCCTCTCTTTCGAGATCTCGCTGACTCTTTTAAGCCTCGGTCCCTTTGGATTCGGATTCCTCTGTTTGCTTCTATACAAAAGATCTGACGTGTTTCCTACATACTTCACCTACAGTAGTTGAATCATAAACGCAAAATAAGTTTAATCATTCATCCACAGATATGCACATTTCAGTCAGCAAGTATGTCCCAACACAGATGGTTACATTATATGCTGATGTACCTTTGAAGAACTGCAAGCCATTTTACATTCCATCTCGTTAATGATATTCAGTCCTTCCATTGCAGCGGGCATCCCAGATGTTTCATCTACACCGGCGAATTTCTCTTTGTTCCTGCATAGAGTTTGGTTAACAAGAATGCTAAACCAAAGCATATATGTATACGTTTGCTCTTCTTATCATGCTCTATTTACCTTTTCAGATATAGTCCGTGCTTCTCTTCATCATCGTCGAATGTCAAAAATTGGTTTTGCAGATAGTCTGCAAAACTCGGCTCCATCGCTACACCTGGTACTTCAGGCTGAATGTTCCCGCTGTTCATAAGCTGAATCGAGAGATGGGTTTCTGCCGATGACTGCAATCCGTTCCAAAGTAAGATTAATACACTTATGGATTTTTGAATGGACATAGATGCGCAGTTAAAAGAAACTTACATATCTGATCCGGTATATGTTTGCCTCATGGAGGAGGGCACGTGCATTCTCATAATACACTAGATCAAGGAATCGTCCTGGTTTTCTGTAGTTCTCATATCCATATAGTTGCAGAAGCTTGGTGTCCGTCTCATCAGCTGCAACCGCATGGAGCTGAAGCATATCCAAACGATCCAAAGGATTAGGAAAGAGAAAGAACGGAAGCAGAGAGTGAAAAAGACAAGACACTAGTTTTGCTTACATGCTTAACAAACTTCTGAACCAGCTTGTCCAATGTGAAGAGAACATATGACTGTGCTCCAAAAATAGCTCGGCATTCATCTTCAAACTTTGTATTGTCACTAGAGCCGTCAAGTATATTATAGAGTGCATCCATGAACCTAAAATTGTTATGCTTTCAAAAAATCAGCAAGGGACCGTTTTTCAATACAAAACAAAAATTCGAAGATAATTCACCTGGGATAAGAATCAGGAGTTGTGCTATCTGAAGCCTTCCACTTCTTTTCTGAGATTTTCTTTGCTGATTGTATCCTCTCGTACAGCATCTGAAAAACCAACAGAAGAAAACAGATATTAGCACTGGGGGCGAAAATCATCATCTTAAAGATTAGAGAAGCGTGCTTCAAACAGCCCTTACTTGATGAAGCCTAAATAGGACATAATAGGAATCATTCCCGTAAAACACTCGCGAATCCTTCTGGGTGCCAGTTTCACTAGCTTGCAATGGCAATGGCAAAGACACATGCTTGGCAACAGGTTTTACAGTTTGCAGAAACCGTTCTGAATATGCAAATGATCCAGCTTCTCCTTCATTTCCATTACCCTCCCCTTCAGCCACACTAAGAGGCCCATCACAGTTCACAACTCCGTTATGCTCTTCAGAGTCAGCCCCATTATCCTCTGATAACTTCTGACAATTTTCATTTTTGTCATCTTCAGCGCGATCATTGCTCTTTGCCCCTGTTTCAGTAGAGTAAGCTCCCTTTTTATCACAGCTTTGTTGGTCTTTATTGCTTCTGACATTGTCCATCATCCTTTGCGAAGGCTTGAGACCATTCTGTCCATTAACCTTAAAATTGCCTTGCTTACAGCTGTTGGTGGGAGATAATTCACCCTCTTCTCGCTCAGCCTCACGCTTTCTGACTGATACTTCGTTAACCTTATGATTCATTACACCCTCCGTTATTTTTTTGTTTCTGGGCGACACTAGTTTGGAAGACTGGATAACCTGTAGACCATGAACCAAAATTAGAGTTATATCTACAAAGTCTCATATATGAATAAAATCATGACTACTGATTGCTCATCACTGCGTCAAATTGATAGCTAAGGATGGTGACTTTTCATTGAACTTTATTACAACTGAAGGGCATACAATCTGGGTTTTAAAACAACTATATACAAGGACTTACCTCATTAGTCATAGCTGCATCGGCTTGCAGTTTATCGTGCCGAACTGTTTTCCCAGGAGAGCTTCCTTGCATTGTTGGATTATCTTTGTTCAACGGTTTCGGGGATATTGGATGTTTACGGTTTGACCCAGAAGCGCTGGCCTTCACTGCCACGCATGGATCATGCAAATCTTGGTTGCCGTTTTTTAAATTTGACAGATCTTCCATAGCCAGGTTGGCTTGAGACCTCAAAAGAATGTTAAACATGGGCTCCAGAAAGGTTATCCACAGCTTCATTACCCTATCTGATTGTTCAGTAGCACATGTTTCTTCACAGTAATATTTGATAAGCAGATACAGATCTTCGTGAACTTGTGTATCACAATAATTGAACTCCAAATCCGGAGAAAAAGTGGGCATAGGTCCAACTGCAATAGCTTGAAGCAAATCTTCTTCATGCTTTTTCTCACTGATTTCTTTTATCTCTGCCACTAAACCTGCATTTAAGGAATGGCATTGGTCATAATCAGCAATCTGTTATTAAAATCACGAGGTACAGAAGGAAGTTGGCAATGGATTAGCTCTACATTTTTCTACGAAATTTCAAGTGCAGCCAAACGAAACAAGTGGTTTCATCAAACCTATAGAAGGTTGGAGATTTTCACATCATGAACTTAATATGTAAAAAAATTTGATAAAGAAGCTTACATTTAGTGCTCAAGTTCTTAGAGTCCTGCTGCTTGAAATAGAAACTCCGATGATCTAGTGACTTATGGTGATTCTTAGCATAAACTTCGGCCCAAACTTTCTGGAAATCAGAGTGGCACCTTGCCCATTCTTCTTGCTTCTGCTTCAAGCGTGTCAGTATCACCGGTAAAGCGCTATGAATATTCTTCTTCAAAAGATCCATGACATCAAGCCCATTATCACCGTATAATCGCTCAATGCATCTTAAGTTCATAGCTTTTATATACAGCACAGAAAGATATTAGCACAATTATATTGAAGCATAGACAAAGTATAGCCACACTAGATTTGTTCCAAACTAACGACTTACTTGATAAGTGTTTTTCAATACATATTGGAGAGTCTGTTGAGATTGTGTTGTCGTTGATCTTTTCCAGAAGGATTTCCACGTGCTTGATGGCTGAACTTACACATCCTAGTAACATGTCCATTTCATACCTGATCACACGTTAATAATGTTAAACAGTGGGCCTATATAGCCAACAAAAAGATCACCGATACCAAGAGGATTAAGGAAATTGTTATCAAACTACCAGATCATACCTGTCATCCTCACACCGAAACAAGCTTTCTTCATACTGGTTTTTGCGCATATGACTGAATGAGTAATCTTCACTTCCCGAGGTGACAGATACCAGGTGGTCATTAAGTGCCTTTTTGCCAAGTGTATTTCTGTAGCTTGGAATCTCAACTGGATACTGCATTGGCAAAGACCAACCAAATGATTATAAGATAACGCAGTAAATTGCAGTGTAGTAGAACAACATTAAAGGAAAAAGTGGCACTCACATCCTTTGGCAGGAGTCGATAACTTGGCGTGCACCGAGTGCATTCAGAAAGATCAAGTTCATTTATAGGTGTTCCCTCATACTTAGAAGTAGATAGTGGAATTTTGTGATTTCCGATGTCTTTACTGCCAGAAGCTGCACCTTTTTCAGTTCTATCTGCATCTCTATCAGCATCTTCTCCACTTTCAGAATCTTGGTTTCCCCCGTTGTCCCCTGCATTTAAATATCCTGGCTGATCATCTTTAACAAGGGAGTCTGCAAAAATTAATGACCTTACTACCAGATCTAAACTACTGACCACTTAAGCCATTGACAGAGACCATATGGGCGTGATCACAGTATTAAGATGAAGATAACAAAGGATTCGGCAAAAAGTTCATATAGTTGAAACGCAGAACCAGATGCAAACAACTGACTACTTAAGTCAAAAACAAGTATACAAGATGAGGGTACGTCTCAGATATCACTTGCTTGTTTATATTAAATTCACTATTTAATCTTCACAATCATAAAGCTGAACTATAGAAGCAATGTAGATATAAATGTAACATGCCATCGAAATACTCACTTCCCAGAGAGTTACCAGGAGAGCAAGTCACAAGGTTCTCATCACCATCTTCTTGTTGATCAGAGTCATCAGAGTGAACTTCAAGCTTACATCGTAGTTTTATTTTCTGTGGCAAATAAGAGTATATCAATATGTCACTCAAAAACCGAAGACAAACTCATGAAACAGTGGAGGAAATGTATGGCCAAATTGCAGTTTGACTACAATGAATATCCATTGAAAACAGCAGTAACTGCGAGATTGCTATCCTTTATAAAGATGAATAAGAGTAACCTTATCAGATTGAATTGGATGCGTGGCAGGGGTTGCAGTTCCCTTACGACGTACTACTGGATTCCTTGCAGAAGGAGAAGCTATTTCTGAACAATTAGGTAAGAAATTAACGAACTCCACGAGCAGATCTTCATGCCCCTTGAACAACATAGTAACCTACACAACAGACAATAATCAGAGATATACACTAGAACTGTTTATCTAACAAACAACATGTGAAGCAGAAAGTTTGAAGTATAAAAAGTCTGGGCATTAACAAGAAAAAGACCTCTTCATAGACCTCAGAGATGGACTTTCTATCCTTTCTGTACATGTTCAAGATGTCTAGAAACCTTTTATACGCATGTTCATCACTTCCGAACCTTGCCTGAAAAAAGTAGAAACTCCAGTAAACCTTAAATGATAGAACATCATCATGACCTTAGTATATCATTTACCACATAACAAACATACCTTAATCTTGGTGACGAAACCGATGGCGTCTTTGAAATCCACTTTGATCTTAGGTTTCTCTTCCTCGGGCAGAATTATTCTGTACCCTTTGGGCAAGAAGGTATTAAAACCTAAAAGTAGGTCCGTGTAACCCTTGAACAAAACTTTTATTCTTTCTATGACACCTTCAGTGGTGACTCTGCAACCAACACAAGACACCATGAGTATACGCAGTTCACAAAGTGACATACACAATACAAGAATTCTTACAGTAAAGACAACAAATGAAACTAAACGGGAAGAGAAGAGAAGTAGATATACCTCTGAGCTTTAAAGTCCTTCATGAGCTCAAGGAATGTCTCATATTTCTCTTGATTATCACGAAACATTTCCCTCACAGCTTTGAGATAGGTCAGGGCATCAGTTGTGGTTAATCCTCCCTTGATGGTTCGAGCTTGCCCATTTCTGCATTGCACAAACAAATGTAACTTACTTTCAAACACATTTATACTGCAGCTACTACATTTGAGAATTTGCATTGCAATCTCGCCTACTTCGGCTTAGTTTATGAAGTTATAAACACAAGCCGAATCGATCTCAGGTATGACGTATTAACAATCGCAACAATTTTTTTTCAAATAATGGGATTTTGACTGCCGAAAAAAGCATAATCTAAAGCTAATTTGAAAAGAAGAAGAACAAAATTGAGATTAGAGCTGAGTTACGTTTCTCCTGGAGACGAAGTTTCAGGCGTTCTTCGCCTTTGGGATTCAGTGTAAACATCTTCTCTAACTCTCTTCATATCTTCTTCGCCTAGACAAATTTCCAGAAAAAAAAAAAAAAATCAGGCTTTTAGCAGCGGACCAAACTAAGAACCCTGAAAATCCAAGTCCAGGAAAATAAGCCGGATTTAAAACCGGATTTTCGTTTCGCCACTAGTAGATCTATCATCGGAAAATCGAGCAGCAAATCACACAAACGAGAAAAAAAAAAAATCTGAGCAAGAGATTTTGAAATAAAACCTTGTAGACCGGATCACGTTACTCTAACGATGAACGGAACTTCTCCGTTCCGAGGTAAGAGGAATGAAACTTTAAAAAAAAGTCAGAGGATCGACCGGCGAAGACGTTGGCGGCCGGGAGTTTCTAGCTGAGAGATTAGACGGAACATTCACAAGTAGAAAAGCAAAAACGAGCTTCCTTTTTGCGTTACCGCGAAAAACTATAAAATATATGTGATAGTCAAATGGTGAGATTGATTCTGTGGTTTGGAGCTCTCTCTTTCTCTCTGGTTTGGGAAGCGAAGGAGGGAAGAAAGAGGGTAACGCCAGAGAGAGGAGGAAGAAGAAGAGAGGGGACTTGTTATATACTGTATACGGAGAACACCATCATGCTAATCGTATATTTATTACACCTTTGGAATCAGATAGAGGGTTACGAAATTGGGTCTTTTGAAACGAAAATTAGGGTTTATTTTGTCCTAAAAATTGGCTTCTTATGCGTAAGTGAAAATTTGATTTACATGTCACAAAACAACGAAACAGTACTATCGAGTATTGACAGCATTTTACAAACGATTTTTCATGTTGTGTTATAAAAATTATCTCATCTAAAAATGTTGTCTCCAAGTGATATGATGAAATACGTATTAGATACAGTAGTAATACGCAAATTGATGATGGTAAGAAATTAAAAGTGGTTTCCTCTACCAATAAAATAAACTGAAGTGATTATCTAAGTGACTATTATAATTTTAAGCGTCACAATGTACATCAATGGGCATTTGGTCTAGTGGTATGATTCTCGCTTAGGGTGCGAGAGGTCCGGAGTTCAATTCTCCGAATGCCCCATTTTTTATTTTTTTTTCCTTAATTTCAACCACACCACTTGCGTTCCATTAGATGTCGCTGATTTTGCTCCAGGTGGCTCAACAAAGAAATGGCCTGAGATTCGACCATATCTAGAAAGCTATCCATATTGGTCGAGCGAAGCTCATGTGAAAAATGAAAATCATTTCCTCGTATGCGTACCTGATTAAACATACATTATTATAGAAATCATGAAATATTCCACGACCTTGCAGAAAGTGTTTTTCATCTTTTGACTGCTAGTTGTTGAGAGACTTGGACAAATTCAAACGAGAACAGATCGAATCCAAGCCACCACGTGTCACAAATCCCATTTCAATTCCTATCCGGTTTAGCCCTGGCCGAACTAGAAATTAAAATCAAACGCATAAACCGAACATAAACCGGATTAAAAACATTCGTGTGTACTTTGTCTCGAAAGTGTTTCACTTTTAATTTTCTGTCCTAAAATATCCATTTTTTCTCAGCCAAAGGCGAGAGAGGGAGAGAGACTGGACAACGAAGACCAGCGGCAGGATTGTTGATCTCCGATTTTCAACATCTTAAGCCTCCGTCGATACAATCCCCGGAGATTTCATCTTCCTTCACCCGCTTGATCGGTTGCCTTTCGATTCTTCTTAAAACGAGATGCCGTCGAACGGAGATCTGGACCGTCAGATCGAGCAGCTGATGGAGTGTAAACCGCTATCGGAGGCGGACGTGAAGACGCTCTGCGATCAAGCGAGGGCGATCCTTGTCGAGGAATGGAACGTTCAGCCGGTCAAGTGTCCGGTTACCATCTGCGGCGATATCCACGGCCAGTTTTACGACCTTATCGAGCTCTTTCGAATCGGCGGCAACCCCCCTGATACCAACTACCTCTTTATGGGAGACTATGTAGGTCTGTCTTTCTCCATCTCTCACTACTTTACTGTCTTTATTTTCGGATTTCGATTTCTCTTTCAAATTCTGTTTTTTTTTTTTTTTTTTTCTTACTTTTAGATCTGTGTTTTCAACGGTGATCTTTGAAAAGTAGCTTACTTGTTGAATGTTGATAGCTTGTTTAACTATCAAAGTTTGCTTATTTAGTTAGTTTTGAGTTGAAAGTGAATGTTTTTTTTGGTGTTTCTTCTCATTGTGTTACTCTGTTATTTGCAGACCGTGGTTACTATTCAGTAGAGACGGTTTCTCTATTGGTGGCGTTGAAAGTGAGATACAGAGATAGACTTACAATCCTGCGAGGGAATCATGAGAGTCGCCAGATCACTCAAGTGTAAGCTTTCCTTTTCTAGTTTTTGTTTGGTTTTGTGACTTATCTATCAAACAAAGTGTTAACCTTTGTGTGGTTTTCTTCCTCCCTGTTTCAGCTATGGTTTTTATGACGAATGCTTAAGGAAGTACGGAAATGCGAATGTCTGGAAGTATTTCACAGACCTTTTCGATTATCTTCCTCTTACCGCACTCATAGAGAGTCAGGTTTGAGCTCTGTCCTTTTAAGTTGGTGTTTTTGGATATCTTTTTTGTAAGTAGAGATTTTGACTTCATCGAATTGTTAACAAATTTACAGATTTTCTGTTTGCATGGAGGGCTTTCACCATCTTTGGATACACTTGACAATATCCGAAGCTTGGATCGGATACAGGAGGTATAATTTTTGTAGTTCTTTACATAGAGATGTTATTGGTCATATCTTTGAACAATGTATGTATGTTATGATGTGTAGGTTCCGCACGAAGGACCAATGTGCGATTTACTATGGTCTGATCCTGATGATCGTTGTGGATGGGGAATATCTCCACGAGGTGCTGGTTACACATTCGGACAGGATATCGCAGCTCAGTTTAACCACAACAATGGACTCAGTCTCATATCAAGAGCGCATCAACTTGTCATGGAAGGTTTTAACTGGTGTCAGGTATATCTTTGTTCATGGATTCACATCTCTATTGCTTAAACCACAATTGGTCAGTCTCTCTCGGTTTGAGTCATTGACCTCTCTTTTTTGTTTTCTGTTAACAGGAAAAGAATGTGGTGACGGTGTTTAGTGCACCAAACTATTGCTACAGGTGTGGAAACATGGCGGCGATTCTAGAGATAGGAGAGAACATGGAGCAAAACTTTCTCCAGTTTGATCCAGCTCCTCGACAAGTCGAACCTGATACTACCCGTAAGACCCCTGATTATTTTTTGTGATCTCTCTGTTTTCTTTTTTGGTGTTCTCGGCCATATATATTTTTTGAAAACTTCTGGATTTTCTTAATTATGTACCATTGTAGATGTGCCCTTTTCTTTTTGTCTAAGTGGAGTTCGAATTCCTCCCCAAAAAGAAAGAAACAAACATCATTTTTTGGTTGTTGTTGTTCATGTGGTTGCTGAGAAAAAGATTGTAGGCGAGTCGTCTATATATGAAATAGTGTCTTTTCATTGCAGATTAGTCATTAGAGTAACTGGATACATTTTTTTGGATACATAACGAAAATAAGTCTCGTGGCCCTAAAGGCATTGCCATTCCTATCGGCAATAACGCCTACAAGAAGATTTCTACATATTTCAATAGGAACTAAAGTGCTAACAAAACTTCCAGTATTGAGAAGAGAATGGAAAAGTGACAGCCTAAATATACAACACATCTCATATATCCATTCTTTTAGCTCCTATCAATTCTTCTTTGGTGTTTTGGGTCGTGACCTCATGCTAGCTCTCCTAGCCACGTCCCACGCCTTCTGTGGCGCGTATATACCTAGTTGAGACGCGAAGAACGACTCATAACCAGGTGAATCAAAGGCAAAACCAGTGTGCTTTGAGATTTCCCTAGGCAATTGGGATATTGCATAGCTTCTCGCCTCTTCTGGCGTGAGCTCGTTCGCTATCTCGAGTTGGTCTGCATTGCTACTATCCGGTTCGTGCCTGTGAATCTCTTGAACTATCTGATAATCATATGGGACGAACCACCTCTCCACCCTGCATCCCCAAATTTACCCAAATCAGCAATCTTTTTCTTCTAGCTAAAAGCATATTGCTCAAGTGATTGTTTGGAGTGTTTCGATCCAAGTTTTACTTACCCTTGGTAGATGAAATCTGCAAGAAGAGCAACAACAGGAACGAGCAGCAGCGTGAAGTAGAAATAAAATGTACTCATTAGCACATAAATGACAAAGTAGACATTCTCCTGCACAAAGAGAAAGCAGAAGAAAGTCAAATCAGAGAAACTAAGACATATAATACAAGGGTAAAGGGGTTTGATCCAATGGAAACAAAGCTTACGTTTCTATCACGCGGCGTCATAATCCCGCAGTATACAAAAGCAAAAAGGAGCCATGCAGCAATGCTTCCACCAACTGTGATATAATGCCATCTGGTGATGGAGTTGCTCATCAAAAGAATCCGCATGTTCACGGCGATGATCAGACAGGTGAAGACCATTGTGCTCACGTCCCAAAGACCGAATATTTTGCCTGATGAATTTTTGCCGTCAAAAGCTGAGGCGGTTACGAAGATATAGCACACCAAAGATTGATACACAGCAGAAGAAGCCCATACTGCCACGACTCTCCATTTGAAAAAGGAATTACGTATTCCCTCTCTATACAGTTCAGGGTATCTCTTTGAAAGGGATGCACTCACATCCTACCAAATGCACAAGTCAAATGGTTAGTTTTGAGAAAAAAAAAATTAATAGAGAGATTGGGGAACTCAGTACCTTCTCAAACAGTCCAAGGACAATCACAGGAAGAGCTGTAAAGAAGACGTTGTATAATGACTGGAACCAATCATCATAGAATCTTTGACCCGAAAATCCAGTTCGAAATGTGAACCAAAACTGAGTCAAAGTGAAGGTAAGATTCTTGTAGAAGAAATACATGACCACCTGCGAGAGCAAAAGACAATTAGTAACAGGTAACAGCAAATTTACACGTAAGTTTGAGGTAAGAGAGAAAACAAACCTTGCAGATTCTAAGATATGACCACCGTCCATGGACAAGAAGCAAATCTGTAAGAAATCTAAACTGGGCAATGGCAAAATCACTAGCCATCACAGCTTGCATTCCCTCCATCCCACTTATTCCTACACCAACATGAGCGGCTTGAATCATGCTAACATCGTTGGCACCATCACCAATACTAAGTGTTATCTTCTTCGCCCCTTTTCTCACCAAGCTTGTAACCTAACCAGTATTTCAGCGACAAAAATACTTCAGGACCCTTTGCTTGTCATGCCAGATCACCATGTAAGTATTAATTAAAAAAAACAAGTCATCTGATATTACCTGCGCTTTCTGTAAAGGAGAAACGCGACAGCACACAACTGAAGTACAGTTCAAGCTCAAGTTGAGCAGGGCTACTCGTAAAGTTGGGTCTAATGCATACATCAAACACTTCCCATCGATAACGAGAGCTAATTTTGGTCCAGCTACAGTATGCAGGTACCGTTGAGCTTCTTCAAGGCTCTTCTTCAGCTCCTTCTTTACTTCTTCCTTTATCACACGCGCAATCTCAACTTGGTTGCCCTAGTTTTAGATATTTTTCCAACTATTAGGAGGACTGTAGTCAATGATAACTATACACATATCTATAAGGGTGGTATCTATCTGTATGACTTACCCTTTCTTCAGCTTCCCTAATTGCATCAGTTTCCGAACTGATAATAAACTGTTTCATATCATTGTTGATCAAGTTGCAAGCTGAAACATTAAAAGAATAATGAGCACAAAGTTATAATGTAAGAAGAAAGACAGAAAGAAATAAGAGGAAAAGTTTGTGGTACTAACCATATGCGATATTGATTGCAGTTTCCATCTTGTCCCCTGTTAGCACCCAGATCTTTATCCCAGCTCTTGATAAGGTCTCTATGCAGGTAGGTACCCCTTCCTGAAGCTTGTCTTCTATTGCAGTTGACCCAATCAGGATAAGATCCTTCTCAATAAGTTCTGCAACCTGCATGGACGAAGATTATACAACCATTTTCCTGCTATAAATTAAAGAAGCTATTGCCTGGCAACTTAGAAACACACCAAATAATTACCCTGATGAATACACAGTTAAACAAGTTCTTATTGCCACTGCTAGCCATTTTATATCTTCGCATTGCCATAAGCGTTGTAAGCAAAAAGTTATTACAAAGTAGCAGTATACCTCATCTAATTTCTTCTCACGATCTCGTAAAGCAGACTTGGCCTGGATGAATTTTTCATTCCAACTATCATAGGCTTCGGGATTTAAATCTGTATAAGCCAGGCAAAGGGTACGCAACCCAGATGATCCAAAGTGTTCCAAGTGCTGTCCTGTTACTTTTCTAACTTCATCCATACCATACGCCAATCTTTCAAAAATTACAGTATCTGCACCCTGTAGACATTATTCCAAGGAATTTTCAGATTTGATATGGAAGTACAGTAGTACACAGGCTCATGCAACTACCTAGAAAACAGTTTACCTTACAGTAGAGTACAAGTCTCCCATTTGGGAAACGACACACAACAGACTGGCGCTTCCTTGTACTGTTCATGCATGGTGTGACCATTCATTAGTATGCTTAACCATGGAAAAGAGATTAAAAAACAACTAATATTCCACAGCCTTTATACACCTGTTGAACTCGAGAACATTAAGAATCTCATAAGACATATCTTGGATCTTTCCCATCTGCTCCGTGTGAGACTCACGAACATACACCATAGTTGGAGTACGCCTGAAAATATATGACAGTTGTCGCATAGAAACTCACAGAGTTGAGAAACTCACAGTGGAAAAAATAAATGAAAAACGCATTAAAACGAGTGAAAATTTATTTTTGTCAGATTGCTTACATTTCAAATTTCCTACAGGGAAGTAAAACGTAGATGAGAATAACCTGTAAAAGAAGAATCCGAAATTCTTGGCAGCTGTAACTAGAGCAGCTTCATCTGGAGATGCAGCTTGATAAACGATCTTGTCGGGGGACTCATCACCTTCAGGAAGGACTGTGTGGCATATGGCTAGGCATCTAAAAAATTCCTAAAAAGATGAAGATACGGTACAATTAAGTTAGCGCCACGTGCATGCCCAATAACAGAGATAAGAAATATGGAGCCCAAGTTTAACTTAATGCTCTAAATGGGAGTTTTTAATGATATTCTGTAAGATATTTCATTCAAGGCTCACAGAACAGAGGCCTAAGTTCAGGTCTTGTTCAAAACCAAAATACCAACTAAAAGGACCGTTTTTAAGTAATAATCTTATAAATGTATCAACTCAATCAATGAAAGAAACTATCAGAAGAGATATCATCCACTGTCATGGCCTCTGCTTCTAGGAGAAGGCAACACAGGGCTAAATAATGTTTTCCATAGCATTAACAGAACACATGCACAGACGTTAGTGAAATCAGATCCCAACTGGAAAGGAAATAACACCTACAAATATCATGAAAGGTGATTCTCTCATCTCTCCCAGAAAACATGTACTCAAGCTTCTCATGGAAAGAAGCAAAATTCTTTTAAAATTAGCCATATAACACATCACCTAGCCATTACAATTCTTCAGCTAATTGCGAGTCAAATCTATAAGATATGAAAGCACCTTGCAAAGATCGGGATTAGGTTCATTTCTCCAACCCCCTCTCATAAGCCTTGGATCATCGAAATTAAATCCCTTTTCTCTTATAGCACCAGTTGACCTTTGTTCCTGAGAAAATCATAGTGTAAAAGAATGAGATAAATACATAATGCGTGACACAAGATCCTCATATGAGAAGAAATTATACCTCTTGAATTTTTAAGCCATCACGCTGTGCAATTCCTCTTTCTATTTCAGTAATACCACATCCATAACTTATTCCTCCAATTGAACATTTAAAAAACTCCATCAAATTTCTTGTCAGTGTTCCGGTTTTATCAGAAAATATGTATTCCACCTGAAAGATGCCAATAATTAGTAACTGACATTCTGAATGTCAGGAAGCATATCACTCAGAATAATAATTTAGCAATAATCCAAATGCTTGCATAAATCCAATTATATCGAACATGTGACCATTGGTCAGTGGATTGGTAGTTTACCTGTCCAAGCTCTTCATTTAAATTTGAAGTCCTCGCGGAGGCAGGAGTATTTGTCTCAGCATGATACATGTGAAGATCTCTGTTGATATACTGAGTTGACTGAATAAACTTGATCATCTGTTCCATTTGCAGAGGACAAAGAGGAAGCATTCAACATAGTCAATCTTTGTACTGTAGATAAATGAAACTTTTTTAAAATAGAAGAAGAAAAATTGAAATACATACCTCGATAGAAACATATAAGGAGATCGGTATAATTGTAGAGAAAAGAGTGACTAGAGTGAAAAAGGTGAAAAATGCTATCTGTAGCACCAAAAAGTACTATAAGCACCAGCAATTCATATAGAGAAGAAATCAATTCAGCTGTGCAAGGTAATTACCGTCATTCCGTTACGGTATTCCCAATCTGTTTTATGAAGGCCCAAATAATCGTGGTCACGATCTGTCACAATTGCACTGCAAATTTAACAGATTTTAAAATCAACGTGGGTCTAGAAACCAAAAATACAATGAAGTAGCAACATATAGTACTGGATAAACCAAAAGATTAACTAGAATCTCTACCAGCCTATAGAGCCAATCAGGCACATTATGACAAGGGCACAGAAGATAGTAATAATGAGTTTGTCGAGTTTCTTTTCCAGCGTACTTCTTTTGGAGGGAGCATTCATAGCATTCATCATCACCTGCATACATTGTATTCACCAAAAATTGGATCAGATCGTCTACATAGCAACTATACAGGGATGCAGGAACAAGAGATTGTCACTAAAAAGACATAATCTTGAATGCTTGCCACACCAATAAATTTTGCAAACCTAGCTTCTCATCAAACAAGCTTCACGGCAGCTTACCTTCGTCTCATGACCAGTAAAAATGACAGCCCCAACAATGTATTCTGTATTCCTAAGACTGCATCCCTGAGAATTGGAATGCAGAAGATTTACATAACCCAAACAAATAAGATCTCGCATACTGAAATCCTGTAGGCATAAGGCAGAAAAGGAACACACAGCTAAAAGCAGAAACAGTCGATCATACACGCAATAAAAGCTGGTCTGGAGAGAGAGGTAAAGTCTGCTTTTCTTCTATCAGATTTCCAGTGAAAGTATACAGGGAATTATTAGGTTGCTCGCACTGAATTTCACCTGCATGGTAAAAGAGAGAAATATTGGATAAAGTTGATGAATACTGCTCGACAGTCATTAATTAACAAAGAATGGCCTTAGATTAAATGGCTATGTCAGGTCAAAGAGAACTGCGTTTAGATATATTTTCAGAAGCAAATGGATGAAACGATAGTACAATCACAGATTCAGATAAGAAAATGTTTGCAAGATAATAATCAATTCCAAAAAGGCTAAACCTTTGAATTCAGAAGCTTTCTCTGACGTCAAGTAATCCCATGTTCTTTCAAGGGCCTTTCTGATTTTTAAATTTGTTTCTCCATCTAGGTTTGCGGTCTGCACTCAAAAATGGTACGCACAACAACACTAGAGTAAACTGTATACTCAAAGAAATATCTATTTACATAGCCGAAGGAGCCACGCACCTCTACGTAGCAGATACCATCAGAATTTGTGCTGGACAAGAAAAGAAGATCAGCTGGAAAAAATCCATCTTTTTTTATCTGCAAATGTCAACAAATGATATTTACCAAGCTCATAGATTTGGAGTTTAAAGATAATTACAAGTTCTGGAATCCTCAAACAGTAGTAAGATACTAAGATGTTTATTAATAAAAGGTAACTGAAATCTACTACGTAACTAAAATTAAGGCAATGTAAACAACTAAACAAGGGTGCCAACAATGTCTTGAGTTTTCAGAACAAGCTTGTTCAGTCACATTGTAATTCATCAGTAAGAAAAATATACCTTGATAATATCTCCGACTTGCAACTTCCTCCAGGGAATATTTATCCATTGTTGATCTTGCAGGACCTCCACTGAACTATTATTTATGGACATATCGTTTTGAAAGCGTTTCTGCAACAGATTATTGGCAGAAGGACTTATAAGTTTAGAAGTTAGATGGGTCCTGAAACTCTTGACCATTCACTAGCTTAAACCCAAATCAGATATTAACTAAAGAACTCTATGTCAGCGCAAGGAGAGATGAGAGATTTCTATTATGTTAAAACAAGAAGAGTCAGGCTCTCACCCAGTCTTCAAAAGCCTCTTTAATAAGAGAGACGAGAAGCACCATCGACAGAGGAGCCACATTTGTTATTGGATTTACAGGGCTGCAGGAAAACAGTTTGGTTACGCTTTACTGACTGAAAACCAAAAATATAAGGGCATTCTAGGGAAAGTGGCATCAAAATCATGGACAAAAATGAACCAAAATTACAGAAAATCACTCTGACATCTCCACGGCCCTTCCAATACATTTTTCATAGTCCATACCATGGATCAAAGTAAGCTGTGACTAATAGATCACAATTCATTTAAAATTAGACAACTGTAGTGGAGTTAACGTACCTTATTGGTGTCATTGATAGACATGAAATTCCAAGAAAGTAGATATTTGCTATGCGCCTAAACTGTCAAAAAGCACGTTACATCTTAAGATCAGATAAAAAAACGTCAAAGATCTGAAAGAAATGCAATTTAATGATCCAAATATCTCAACTTTCATTCCCCTCAAAACCAAAAGGCGCGCACTGGAAACACTCAAACTATATCACAGGCAAGGATTCGGTAATTGAAAGCCAGAACAATGACGTAAACTTTTATTTTGCTAAAGCATTAATCAAAACTTGATGATTGCAAGTGAACCATCCTTAGGTCCTTTCAAGGCTATAGCTATAAGCAGCATTGGTAAAGCTAATTAACAAGAAAAACAACTTACTTGTTCAAACAGACCTTTCGGCAGAAAGGTGAAAACATTATACTTTGTTGTAGAAATTGAATTACCCTGCAACATTTTTGGAGAAAAAACTCAGAAACTGACTGAAAGCAAACAACAAGAAAGAATGAATCAGAACAACCAAAAAACTGCAATGCCCATTTCTGGAAAAGGAGCAGAAATGAACACCCAAAAAAAGAGTAATACGGCGTCGTACCTTGAAACGGACGGGGAAGATAGAATCCCGATCATTGCAGTAGACGGTACGGAAAGTCGGAGCCTGAGGCTGAATTCGGCCAAGCGTCACCGTCCGAGACGGTGCCCTGAGGTGATTCGTCGCTGAGGAATCAACGCTTAATCCACCGGGCCTAGCCATTGGGACTCACCCTGATCGAGTGATCTCGACCTTCGAAAATCGAAAATTCAGCTTCACTATTACCCTCCAAATTTTACCCTTTTGAATTATCCGATTAACCGAGCCCGAGATCTGTACCGACGGTAGAAACAGAGAAGACAGTCCTCCTCTTTCGTTTCCTTTTATTTTTCTTTTTCTTTTTATTTTTTTCCCTTTTTTCTTTTCTTTTTGTTTCCTGTTATATTCTTCTTCGCGCTTCAAAAACTATTTTCCGAATATTTCTCGTTATGTTTTATTGTTTCCCTCCCATGGAGAATTTATCACAGTCTGCATCAAAAGCAGGGCCCACTTTCTTTAGTCTAGATTTTTAATTTTAATTTGTATCCTTGATCATCCAAAAACCTTTGAAAGTTGAAACTATCTTATAATTTTAATCCGCATTTCTGTATAGATTGTGACATGTTCATCTAAACCATAAATAGATTATGTGTTCTAAAACAATTCTAAGATAAGCAAACAGTTACACAAATTCATATTTTCAAATTCGTATTCTGACATAATACATATCGTCCGATTGTAACGTACAGTGGTAGAGAGATTAACGGTTTTATGGCGGTAAAATGTAACGATGATTAATTATAGTTTTGATTGATAAAAAACATTACGGAAAGAAAAGATGAGTGGTATACTGGTATCCACGCCAAAGAACATATAATTTACAAGAGCAAAGGTTCGTTTTTTCATTTTTCATTTTTTTCTCCAAACATTCGTTACAGAGATAACAGCAGAAGATAACACAGAAAGCATGTGAAAACTAACATTACTAACATGATGTTATGAGACAGCAAGAGAGAAAACATTCACATTCTATCTTCACGTTGCTTCATGTCTCAAACTTCCTTCACAACCAAATATAAACGTCGTTGTATATAAATTTTGTAAATGCTTATACCTATATGCCTCTTCTTGTGACTAACATATATGAGAATGGAAGTTTTTGTTTGTCAAATTTGAATAGCTTTCTTTCCTAATTCTAGGGTTTAAGTGTAGAAACACTGTTTCTTTATTCACGATGTTCTTTCGAAACCACCTCCTACCTGCATATGCAACCACTCCGGTGATGCTCCTCTGCTGCTGTATTCCCTTGTAGCTTGTGAGCTATACTGCATCCCTTGATTCTCAAACGCTTGCTGATCGAACTGACATTGCCACAAAAAACAAAAAGCATGTATTGGTAAGTGGTAACTGAGACAATGGATGTGAAGGATCGTTACATAAAAGTGTGAGTACCACACTAACCTCTTTTGGAGGGAAAGCTTCGATTCCGGGATTCATTCTGGAGTTGACAGCTTCGAGTTTCATAGATAGAAACTGAAATCGGAAGCAGTCTTATGAGGTGCTCAAGAAATAAACAGTTTCAAAAAAAAGGTTATACCTCAACTTGACGCTGGAGCGATTGTATGTAATTGATTATCTCATCTAGAACAAGCGCTTTTCCAATAACCTGTGACCATACAAAGAATATGAATTGTTGAGGTGAGACATCAGATGAAGAGAGAACACAGAAGCCATGATCGATTCGCTTTGATGTACCTTGTTACAGCCAGGGACAAGATCTTGCAAGATTTTCATCCGCTCGCTGATTTTTTCTCTTCTCGCCTGCCAACCAAGAAAACTCCTCTGTTACCGAGTAGTTCTGGTCTCTCGATATCAAAAGTTTCCTCATTTAGCATTTAAACAGAGTTAAGTATCATAAGGAGAGTTATAGTAAGTACTCTTTCAGCTAAACTGTGGCTATCAGTCGCTTGTCCCCTTCTGGCTCGCACATGAATATAATCTTTTGGAGGTTCAAGCAACTGCTTCTTCCCATCTAATCTTCCTCCTGTTTCGGCTTTCCCATCACACACTTCCTCTTCAACGCACCCTGAAGTCTTCTGCTTTTTACCCTCACCATCATTCTGCTCCACCCAAAACCAAAACAATCAGATACGAGCAGCAAAATAAAACTCCTTTACAACATTTCGTACACACTACATATACGAATCTTGGAAGAGCCAGAGACAAAATTTGAGGACAATCAAGATATCAATCGTTTGAGCCAATAGTGAGAAAATATATTTGAAATCCAATGAGATTATTTCAAATAAACCAAATCCATATGACAGATCCGTCAAATTTCAGAAAATGGAGTGAAAAAACTCTGCTTAATTTTTAAACAACACGTGGAGAAATCTTTTAAGCGGAAAGAAAAACTGCACCGCGTCATTGCCGTCACCGGAGGAGACGAGCTTGTCCTCCGCAGCGTCCCGTCTCTTCCTAGCACCGGCAACCACCGCCTGCGAGAGGGCGTGGCTCATACGAGCTGGATCACCGCTAATTAGATTCGAGCCAGGGAACTGGTGAACCAAGTTAGGACCACCGAACGAGACACCGCTTCTCATCGACGAATGAACATTCGCGCCACCGTTAATCGGGAACGGCCAGATCTCCGCCAGGTTATACGTCCCGGCCTCGTTCATCATCCCGCCGGGATCCATGGCGCAAAACTCAAAGCCGGCCTTATCGCGTACACTTATTAAGAAAACACTCCTCAGCGAGTTGACTCAGCTACTGCCGATTCCAACTAGTAGAAAGAGAGAGAGAAGCAGAGGAATTGATTAGCTTATTGAGAATGCGATTTCCTTGGACAGTGGAGTCTGATGCGCACTGTGTTCCTTCCTCTTTCGCGATTTTCCTTTTTCTATATAACTTCTTTTTCACCCCTTTTTTCCTATTTATGTTTGCATTTAATTTTTGAAACTCTCTGCTTTTTTTTTATGTTGTGTAATGTATTTTTCTGGCTTACTTTAACTCTTTTTACCTCGGGAGTTGCAGGCAAGTCACTTCATCGCGAGGTTTTCTTTTGTGGGACCAGCTTACTTAATCCCCTGCGTCGCGACTATACTAACAGTTCTCTTATATCCACACGATTCAAAAACTGTCGGCGATAAGAGACTCCACGTACGCATTCCTCTGGTAACAGAGAAATAAAATATCACGTTGAAGAGGGAAACAAAAACGGGAAATGAAGACTTGGGAGAAAAAACGGTCTCATTGGCGTATCTAATTTATCGGCTTAGATTATGTGATATTCAAATAAAATTATACAAACATCTATGATTAGTAGACAACGATGGTTCATGGATTCTAATGACGCGAGGTTAACATATAAATAGATAAGATAATTATATCTCACGTTAGATTTTTTCATTTCTTTCAACCATATAGGAGATACATTAGTAGATCATAATGGCTTAAATTGCTAAATATAGAGATGGTGTCTAATAGGCAGCGATGGTTCACGTGTTTCGTTTGCTAATTAACTCTTAGGTGCGATCAGAAGCTCTCTAATTAACTCCAAGACCTCATGATTATATCTGCAGCCTAACATATTCGTGAATACGGAATTAGATACAGCCACACGCAATAGTAAACCTAGAATAAAAGGAATAGTGATGACAGAGGCTTTATGGTTTGAGAAAGACTTGTAGAATAGGAATAGCACTTTGTGCCAAACACTTCACTCTCTTGTTACCATTTTTGATGATCTAATGACTAATGCTCGTTAGGCACCTCACTCTTACCTTTAAAGCTTTCTGTTTCCCTTTCCTGTTTCGCACGAGAGAGACTCAATCATTCCCTGACACGTGTCACCGTTATATTCCCGACAACTAATGTGAGCAAGCACCACGGAATCATCGACGTACGATGTTCGGCCTAACTCCTTTTCTTTCCGTGAAAGGAACAAAAAAAAGAGGTGCGATTGCAACGTGTACTATCGCTAATATGGGTGTTACGGAGTTTTTCTTTTTTGATGATTTGAATTTTAAGTTGGATTTGATACGGAATATTATGTTAATAATTAAGGATGGATTTTATACAATTATGTTGGTAGCTTTTTGTGACTTACATGCAAAATTATGCATATGCAAGAATATCAATCAAACGGGAACCAAACTGAGCTAGTATCTTATCCCAAATCGTTGCAGTTACAACAACGATTCAAATACGTAGAAGAAAATTCGGCATGTGGAAAACACGTAACTTATTGTGAAAATGGACTGCTCAGTGTTCCGTCACGATTCACACGAGTACGAACAAAAGAGCACCACTCGGCGTGCATAATTTATACGAAAGGTATTGTTCTCATTTCCACATTTAGTAACTAGTAGTAGTACACATATATACGATATTGTTTATTTGACATAATCTTATTTTATATGTTCATTTTTTTATACAAAAAAAAACTAAATTACGATAATTTAGGTTTCATGTTAGGTGGTTAATTTAGTTATACATAATGCATGTAGCAAATTCAACAATATCTTCAAAATATAGGGAAATATTTGCTAAAAATGAAGTACAAGATACTACTCAAAGAGATATATGAATTTTTTTTATGAAATACATCTCTTGAGGTGCAAATTTTCAAAACTACACATATAGTGTAAAAAATTTCAAAAATACATTTTTTCTAATTTTAATATATATGTTTAGGTTCACTAATCCTAGATTAGGATTTAGATTTTGGGGTTTAGGGTTTAGATTTAAGTAAAACCATTAATATTATAATTTTATTCACACATAAATTCACAATTGTAGGAAATGAATTTTAACTACTTCTCCTTTGACATTTTGTCCAATTAGAGAGGATATCATAGTAGACACAAATCTCAATTAGACATAATCATTTCTTGTGTTTTTTCAAATTCAGCACCACACAATTGCCGCCTCGATTGGAATAGCAAACGACACATCTTGCAAAACTACTCTGCCAAAAGAAGTTCCATCGTAGCTCATGAACACAAGTCCAATGACTTGACCGTCAACATTACAAATTGGACCTCCAACATTGCCATGCGATCATAAGAATTAGAATATGCAAATATCTATCTCACTAATAGTTATATGAAAAAAATATTTACCTTGTTGATTGGGCAGTCGATTTGCAAATACCTTCTCGTATTATTGGTCAAAGACAACTCATTATCGTTGCTGTTAACATGGCTAAAAGAAAAACATTAAAAATATCAGAAATTATTTAGAATATTATAACAATATGGAAATGGAAAGAAAATAAAAAAGATTTGAGGATCTAACACTATGGTCAAGAATGAGCAGTGCTAAACCATCTGACACTGCCCCAATTACACCATCTCGACAATTTTTCGGTTGACACTGTTACTTGCACTTAAAAAACACAAAATGATTTGTTCTACCTTTTTCACAAAGGCATTGTATGAACTCGTTAAATTCAACACTAAAGGCATTGTCTGTGTTCTTTTAAACACAATTATGTTCAGGATTGTGTTTGTATTTGTAGTTCATGAAGTATAAGAAATTAGAAATGGGCATGAAAAATAAAAGAATCAGTTGTTTGAAAAATTTACATTTAAATCCATTATAAGGGGCCCAAATTGTTTCAATACACCAAAAAAGACGATTCACATATGGACCAATTTTCGTAAAAGTAATTATTTATTTAAAGAACCTATTTCGGTACTAAAGTTGGGTTGATAAAACTGAAAACCTAAATCTTCAAGAACATTATTTTCCAAATTCAGTAAAGTTCATGCCGTCTCAATGTGAGTCACAAATGACGATCTGCGAATAACCAATTCATCCCAGAGATTTCCATTATCGCTCTTAGCAGAAATTCCGATGACTTGACCATTCCTCTTAACAAGAGAACCTCCAGAAATGCCTTGTAATCATTAGAGTTAAATATTTGTATTTAAAATTAAAAACAAAATGATATCAATTTTGATAAAGAAAAAAAGACATACATCGTTGACTGAGCAATCAATGTGCCAATAGTGTCTTCCTATGTCAGTCAAACCACACAATTCAATTCAACATCCTTCTGATCTACATTACTATAACGAAAACACTAGAAAATCAGAAATTAATTAACAAAATTAAAACAATAAGAAAATGTAAAGAGAATAGAAAACGAACTAACTTAATTATACCACCAATTACACTATTACTCAATCCATGCGTTGAACCAAATGCACAAATTGGTTCCCCTTGGCTAATTTTGTAGGAGACAACAAGTTCAAGTCGTTTGGCCATGGAGATTGAAGAGTTAACACTTTACCAAAGCTAAATCTTCATCACCATCTACTGTTAATACTGTTGACAGCATTACATGCACCTGCAAATTACCACATTTGCAAATTTATCAGATTTAAACTAAACAATAAATAAATAATACATAATTAACTCTTTATGTGAGTCATAGTATGGATTCTTGTTCATCAAATCAAAGTACACTAACTGTGTAAGCACAAGTGAGCATGCTCATAGATCAGCAATCCGGATCCAATAAGCGGCTTCCCATAATATTTGCAAATTGGTAATCATTTCCTGCGCTGCTGCTCAAATGTCTTGTAGCACATAAGGAAATTGGGCTGACACCAAAAGTTGTAGATGAAAATGCCTAAGATCAGTAGATCCCGAAAGATAAAATATTAAAAACTTCAAATAATTGTTATTTGAAATAAGTATTCAACTATTTGTATGAACTCGTTAAATTTAACACTAAAGGCATTATCTGTGTTTTTCTTTTCAAAAAAATTGTCCCTATATACACAGTATTCACAGACAATAATCACAAGAACACTTTGTGATTGATTCACAGTATTAAAGCCCATATCTAGATTTAGGCCCATGTCGAATAGAGCAACTTCTCTGATTACTCTCCACTACATAATTATTTTGATTTGAGAATTCCGACGACCTAATTTTCTTCTTGACATTTTCTCGAGAAAATCCGTTTTTGTTTTTTCTCGCGGTCAAAAACTCAAAATTTCGAAGGGAAACCAAAATGGAATTGCTCAAGTTGTCAAAATTCAAATTGCAGCTTCAGTCAATGATCGGAGAAGTGCGAGACCTCCGTGTAAGAAGAAGGAGGTTTATACATCTATGGATTGTGTAGTTTCCGCTCCACAATTTCTCTCAGCTTCTTCCATTTTACTACGGGCGTTTTTGCAGGAAAGGGAGCGATCAGCCACAGATCACATTACTATTGCGAATCAGGTTCTTCAATCAATTGTTAACGATCACATTACTCTTGTTTTCGCTGCGTTACTGAGTCGTGATCCTTTGGTGCTTCGATACAGAAACAGAAGCAAACGGAGGAGGAATACAGCAGGAAAGTGCAGGAGCTACAAGCTGAGCTAGCTTCTTCTAGAGAAACTCAGGAGGCACTCGAGAGGAAGGTTTGGAAAATTCTATTGTTCTGCGATTCTATGATTCTATCCATTACAATAAGATATGGAATTTGTTAAAGCTTAATTGATTTGCAGGTGAGTTACCTTCAAAACGACTATGGTTTGCTGGAAAACAAGCAGATTGAATTGAAGACTACTATCCAAAATCTGCTCCAGTCACGAGAAAGTTTCCTCAATGGTTACCAGGTGCTTGCTTCTCTCATAATCTCATATGGGTAACAGATATAGCTTCGAGATTTATCTCCATGATTAGTGAACAGTTGAATTCCAATAATATGGATATGGATACATTTTGGAACTTCGATTAGTGAAGTGAATGGTGTGTTTGCAGGAGTCGTTTTGTGAAATGAAATGTTCAATTGAAGACAGGGATAGGAAAATTGCCATCCTACAACAGAAGATAACCTCTCATTTAGCATTGTTTGATTCAATTGAGAAAGAGGCCTCGGCAATCAAAAATGTCATACACGACGTTCAGGGCCTTGTGGATCAAAAAGAAGATGTAGGCATGTAGTTCCCTCATTTCTTGCTAGTTCTGCTAACCAGAATACTAATTCATTCACGGCTTCCCCTAGAAAATGATCACTTTTATGCTGTTTCTTGTATCCAGTGGCTGGCTTGAAAGAGAAGATGGATCATGTCTCTACTTATGAAAAAGTGTTTATCGGTAAGTTTCTCATCATATAATTGCCATGGGGCTATCCAGATTGTTGATAGATTACTTAAGTGTTCATTAACTCTTGTGGTCATGTTTTAAAGGGTGTTTAGATGAAGACTTCACCATATTGTATTGGGTAGATTCTGTAGAATTGTGTGTAGGATGCACGTTAAGGTCTTGGGCTTTCTTTCCTCCATAAACACGATATGCTCTTAAGATATGACATTTTGATATAGTTGATAAGTATCTCAAATGTCGTATACATACCTTTGGTATAATTTCTATCTTTTTACTTATGCAGAGAAAATCAGTACGTTGGAAGAGAAAATAGCAAATCAGGAAACAGAATTGCAAAGCAAGGAGAATTTAGTATCAGAGCTCTCCGCTCAGCTGGAAGCAGCAAAGATTAAAAATGAAAATCAATTTCATGTCGAAGAGATATCCTCAAAGTTTGCATTTTTTACTGCGTTTTCAAACAAGGGAACTAATCCTGGATCTTTACTCTTAAAGTACTTCCACGTTTATGTTTACTTGACCAGCCTTACCTTCAGAAAACCTTGCGGGTCAAAGATGTCGTTATAGAGAACTTGGTTTATGAGAAAGAGGTAGGAAAGAAGATCATTAGTTATTTGAACGAGTTTGATCGTTTTTGCATCCTCAATAGTCTCTAAATACTGTTTCCAATGTTTAGGCATTGCATTCTGAAGTGAAGAGCTTAGAGATGGTGTTACAGCGGATTCAGGAATCTGTCACCCTTATGACCGAAGAGGTGAGAGATCAATTCCATTTTTCCTTTTCTAACATTCCATCCTTGGATAATCTAGCTGTAGACTTCAAATTGAGATGAATAAGTTGTAACTTCAAGTCTTCTTTTTCTCTTGTTATGACAGGACAAAAGAGTGTTCACATCAATACTGACATTACAAGGTGCCGATGAGAGAAACAAAAATTCCAGGTCTGTAAACACACTCAAAACATTTTTTTTCTCTCTCCACTGGTCCAAGGGAGGATAGATTGTATCAGCAATTATCTTAATGATCATGAGTGAATCTATACTCTTCATGGTTCTACTTTAGATCGGCTTTTCCTTCTCATTAATGCTTATCTCTCTTTGATTGGCTAACTAGGTACAATGATACAGTTGACAATATGGAGGAACTTCCATGTGAAGCTCCCATTATGGGTTCCCAAGAAAATTCAGGTCTGGTTTCTCTTCTGCTGTTGCCGCGTTATTTCTTTTGCTTAGAACTAAATCTCACCCGTAGTCCGCAACAGAATCCAGAAACATAAACCATAACTTCTTCTACAATATTTCAGTGTTTGTGTTTATGTAAATAATTCTGAAATAAGGATTTTCTTGTACTAGAATGCTAAGAGATTTAGCTGACTTGCTGGATAGAGAGAAGAAATACGATTATCATTTAGAACTTATGCACTTATCAAATTTCCGGTTACTTTCTTTTGTAGTAAGCGTTATTCCATCGGTGTCTCCATGGTGTCAGCACCAAAACGCAGATGGCAGTTTGATGCAGGACACTGATCATCAGCTGGATTCAGCTCAGTATCTGCAGCATAACACTCTCAGTGGCCAATGGCAGAGTACTAATAACCATAACCAATTTGAGACGGAGGTAAGTGAAACCGTTTTTCTCTTTGTTTCTTGCTTACACCCGCTGATAGTAGTGACCTCATATCATAGCTTCTTCATTGGTTTAAAAACGAAGTAAAATCAAACTTTAAACCATAAGTGAATATAATCGTCAGTGTTTTGCAGGACAAGTGCAAAGAATCGATAAACCAGCCTGGTTCAGAATGCTCAACAAATCGCGTATAAGAGTAAAGTGCCTAATCACGTTTGTGTTTGTTATCACTCAAACTCTTATGTTGTTATTTTGACCTCATTAATGCTTATGTGTTTGCAGGAGTTGAAGAACCGAGGAAACTGGTTCAGTACACTTTCACCAGTAACGCCTTTTTGGCTTTTCCTTGTTTATGTTCATGATTGTGTTTGTGTTTGTCTCAAGTAGTTGAGCAGTAAGTAGTTATGAAAAGAAGAAAACACCATTAAAATATATAGGGACGTAGCTCTAACTAATACGACTGGATCTTTCTACTTACTAATTCGTTTTCCATCAAAATAGTTTCGGTAAGACTGAAAATTCAGCTCTGATAAATTCTTGCATTTTAAGTAATTTTACAACGACTCGTATACTATATGTTTATTAATCAGTTGAATGTCGCTTTATCATCTCTATTGGACGTGGATTTTATTGACCACATATGTGCTGTGTGTTAATCAATATGCTTGAAGAAAAGTTCGTTTGGTGGGGACTCAAGTCATATCAACGACGAGAACGTGAGTTTTCTAATTTCGCACGCAATGATTTAGTTAGACGTAGACAACAGATATTTTTCTTTTACATTTTCATTGAGATTGAGAGTGGAATATAGGCCTCTCAATTTTTTTTACATAAAGATGTTTCCTTTGCATACAATCCATTCTCAAAACTGCCATCGTGACAAAAATCGGGTGTAAATTTGATAATGTGTATGTATGAATTGTAGACGACAAAAAATATATCTAGATCTAGATCAAGAAAAAAATGATTCACGTGAAGGTATTGAACTGTAGTAACTACTTAGAATTAACTGAAAAAACATGAACATTTATTAAAAACATGGAGTACCATGTTGCCAGTTGAATTAATTTTCATCTTTTTATGAAAGATAACTTATTTTTGATTGCCTGGTCCATTTGTTGTAGGTTGTTTAGAGATTTCAATAAAGTTCTGTATTTTGAGCAATTAAGGTTACTTGGAGCATCAAATATGGCACCCATGGTCCACCATTTTATTTCATCGTTGGATCCAACTATCCAACATTTATCAGTTTATGTATATAAATGCAAATAAATCAAATGCTGACAGAAAACAGTAGCAACAAATTGTAAGGACGTCTATGGAGGTTCGTAAAAGGGGCATCAATGAAATGATTAGAAATAAAACGTGACTTTCCATGTTTGTGTTAACTTTATTTATACCTTTGTAAATGTGTACAGTATATGATATGATTATGACCCATCAAATGTAAGTTTGGACTTTGTTTAATTCCACAGAACTTAACCACTACACTAGATTTAAGATATTTCGTTGCGGTTTCCTTTTTAACACATTCGACTTTCAAAGGTCATTAATACTACTGTATTAAGAGTAAGTATATAAAGCCAAAGAAATCAATAGGGATAATGAAAATAATCATTATGGAAAAGTATGATATATGTTGGCTCTTGAATTGATTAAAAACCACCAAGTAAAGTATCCCATTACTTCACTTGAGAGTTGCGACCGAAGTTGGTGATATTGGTGGTTCTTGTTGGGAAAGTTGTTAAGTTTCCACTCCTTTCATATTTAATGCTACGTGTCTTTTTTTCCACTGAACCGAATTTCTTGTTTCTCTATAGTTTTTAACTTTTAACTGCTTTTATTGCGTCAAAAATAAAAGTTTAACTGTTTAGTAATGTACAGTTAAGAGTGACAAGTAATTGTGTTTGGTATAACCACAAATGATCTAATATGTAGTATATAATGTAGATACTTGTGACATTTGACAATCCCTACGCTAGAAAAAAGCTCTTCACAATGGCCCCTCGTCTCTATAATGCTTGAGACTGACACGATGTCGTTTCTCATCATTATTTGCTCGTGACTTATTTATATAGCAAAATGTGTTCTAGTGTAGACTGGCATTTATGTTTACAAACACATTATACATATACGACAAAAGATAAACTACTATGTAACGCCAATTATTTTAACACCAGTACTTAATGCAAATTTAACCTAAGAAAATAAAGCAAGAAAATATAAAAGAAACCTTGGAAATATAATTTTGATAAATTATGGTTGTATTTTTGTTTGTTTCTTCGTAAATAATCGAAATGACTGTGGAAGTGTCCGAGGCGTGTGTGGAACATGAAGGCGTCAGTTCTGAACAAATCGAAATGACAACGAGATTCTGCCAACAAACAACAACCACACGTGTGCTGTTCTTCATCATAGATTCATCACCACTGTTACTTTTATTTTGTTTTTATCTTCACAACAGAACAATCCAATTACATAGCGAATTATTGTTGAAATCAACCGAATATATTTGATAGAAAAAATGTATAAATAAAAAAGAATATGTTTCTATTGTCGACATAAGATTTTTTTATTAAAAAAATGTATATATGTTTCTTTCATTAGGCATACCTTGTCTGTAGATTACATACCATTTGTATGGTTGTTATAAAAATGAAGAAATAAACGGTGGAAACTCTTAAAAGTTATATTTGTAATTAATTTATATTGCCAGTTGTCCTTCATGTATAACATATATTGGAAAAAATATGAAAAAAAAAACATGTAGATGGAGTGAGGGTCCATGAAGATGAGATCGTAACTTGTATGATTGTCAGAGTCAAATGAAATAAGTTGGACCAACCATTTTTCTCCTTTTGTAAATTTCCTGCCATTATAACCCGAAATTCGAACTTTATGTAATCCAAAATTCAAGATTTCTCTCTTTACATACAAGTTCAGATTCGTTGCATTGTATTTCTCCTTCCTAAAAAGGTTTAAGAGTCTGTGCATTGCATTTTAAACATTGGTTCCACAGTTTATTGATCTTCTGAAAGAATTACAGTCCTAATTACTAGTATACATCTAATTTTCTTCTTTCTTTTTTTGTTTTGTAAATCTCCTAATATATGATTTACAAAACAAAACAGCACCACGCGCCCTGCCATCCGCGTAGACACAGTCGCTTAGCAGCTCCACCATTTAAAAGTAGCCACGTAAGTATCTCAGACATGACCCAGTTCTCTTGCATGGCTAATTTCTTTTGCTAAGTTAAGATAGTCACATCAGAACCTAACTTACCATTTTTTCAAAAAAATATAAAAAATTGTAAGATTTCAGCAAATGAGAGATTTTATCTAATCTTGGTTGGTAAGATAAGTATGAATGATATCTTAATATAAAACCGAATGACAACATATCTTATTCAATCGTATAATCAAACCGACTGCGAGTGACACTGCAGCTCTGGCTCCATTGTTAAGTGATAGTTAATGTTAATGACAAGGATTAAATCATCGGAATTTATGACGGTTGTGGTCGGACCAGTCCTACCGACTTAAATCAGAAACGGTTAAGAAGTCGGTTAACTTCAGTGGTTGTAAATAAAAGAGAGAAAAATAGGCTATTTACAAGAATCGCTTGGAAGAAGATGCCGTTAAAGAGATAACTCTTTTTTAACTACTTCCTCCTTTGATATTTTGTCCAATTATATTTGACTTTCCGAATCTAAACAAAATATCCAACAAAAACAAAATAATTATAAATCTTATTTTTTATTGTGTGCCAATAATAAATTGATATTAGCTCTGTTTTCTCTCTTGTTCTTCCCGTAAGGAAAGAAAAAAAAACTTTTCCTTCACCAAATAAATTTGTCTCTTTCTCAAAAATCCCTTCGACCAAGTGCCTTTCCCCCTCTAAATTTGTGGGTTTTTCATTTATAGTGGATTCGATGATGACAGATTCTATTAGCAGAAATTGATCAGAGAGAGAAACACAGCTCCCCAGATTATTTCTGGGTTTTTTTTTTTTATTCTCCTGTGATCTTCGAATGAAGATTGTAGCTAATCGTAATCTATAGAGAGAGAGCCAGAGAGAGAGAGATGGGAGGTTGCGTGTCGACGCCAAAGAGCTGTGTAGGAGCGAAGCTGAGGTCAAGTAAGCGAAGGAAGAGTCGTAAAAGACGAAAGTTTCAACGCAAGCGAGCCGCCTCTTCTCGTTTTTCTGATGGATCTTTCGACAATCTCGATCATCCTCGTAACTTCCCAAATCCCAGTTTCCGAGGTCTCAATTCTTTGCCTTTTTTCTCTGTTAGCTCTGTTTCTTCTGGGTTTCCGAGTTTCCTTTCCCCTGCATTCGATTGAATTGCTCGATTTTTGATCATGATTTAGTGTGTTTAATGGTTGGTAGATTCGTTTGAGGCTTTGTTGCGATTGGTCGATTGAATTGATTGTTGGGTTTCCCCATTGCTTCATTAATTGTATGATCTAGCATCTGAATCTTCCGGATTAGATTCTGATTACAGAGTTCTTAAAAGCTCTGCTAACATTTGTTTCACTGTTTGTAATTAAAATCTTTGTTTTATTAATCAAATTGTGAAACTTTTTCTCTTTTATCTCTTAATGACTTTTGTAGCTAGTCAAACTTTTCTCAATGAAGATTATTCACTAAATTTGATTGATGCTTTACCTCTGAATGAGTTTTTAGTACATATGAAACTTAAGAGATTTTGATTTTATTTATGTTAGAGAGAACTGTTTGTTCTCACCTAAATCTGATCCGATTGTGATGTTCTCTCAACAGCAAATGGTGAAGAAGCATGGTTCGAGTCCAATGCCGCATTTGAAACAGACTGCGATGATGATTTTCACAGTGTCAACGAAGGTAAAAACATATTCTTTACCAAATTCGTTAGCTCAGGAGCAAATGCATTTCCTCTTTGACTCTTTTTCCAACGATCTTCGTTTTTCGCTTTTTCGGTTTTTCATTTTCAGATACATCGTCATTAAACGGAGGTGAGGGTGTATCAGGCAGCTCCAGTACTTCAACCACATCAACAACGCGAGACTCTGATTCAAACTCAAACGAAGCCATGTCGCAATCGAAATCCGACGGTGACTTAAATGACACAGCAAAGCAGCCTGACACCATAGACTCATCTGCGGACGAAGGACTCTCGGAAAACTGCAGGATCTTGCCGAGTAACTGCTTGCCTTGTCTGAATCCAATAAGTGTTGTTCCTTCTGTTGACAAGAGAAGGTCTCTTAGCGCAAGCCCTCCCAGTTCGAGGAAGAAAGCGTCTCTTAGACTCTCTTCTTATAAATGGAGAGAAGGTCATGCCTCAGGGGCCTTGTGTAAGTATCTATAATAAACCACACTTTGATTCATTTCATTACCAGAGGCTGATCTCAAATCAAGAACTCACTTTTTTGTCTTCAGTCTCTTCTAAACTGGTGTTGAAGAGACCGGTAGCTGGCTCTCAGGTTCCGTTCGTTCCAATCGACAAGAAAATGCTCGATTGCTGGACAACTATCGAACCGAACAGCTTCCGTGTTCGTGGCAAAACTTATCTCAGGTAAAACCATTGGACTGAGACCATACTATGATTACTGATTTTAAACAATCTTGACAAGAAGCTGTGTTTTGGTCTTTGGTAAAGGGATAAGAAGAAAGAGTTGGCTCCTAGCCATGCTGCGTATAATCCTTTTGGTGTCGATGTGTTCTTGTCGGAACATAAGATACACCATGTCGCACAATATGTCAAGCTTCCAGTTACTGCTCCATCCACCAATCTCCCAGCTATTCTTGTTGTCAATGTTCAGGTATGATCTAGTTGTTCTGCTTATAGCCGTTCTTGCTGTGATCGGTTCTCATGATTTACGGTTTGGAACAGATTCCGTTGTATCCGACTGCAATCTTTCAAGGGGAATCTGATGGAGAAGGAATGAATATTGTTCTCTACTTCAAGCTTTCGGAGAATTATTCAAAGGAGCTTCCTCTCCATTTTCAAGAAAGCATTCGGGTAATTGAAAGCTCGATTCGGTTTTATAGAGCTGTTTAATGATCTTTGTGTTGAGTCCATGTTTGCTTTTTGGTTTGTTGGTGCAGAGATTAATAGATGATGAGGTTGAGAAAGTGAAAGGCTTCCCAATGGATTCAACAGCGGCTTTTAGAGAACGGCTTAAGATATTGGGACGTGTTGCAAACGTGGATGATCTTCATTTGAGTGTTCCAGAGAAGAAGCTGATGCAGACTTACAATGAGAAACCTGTTCTTTCGCGTCCGCAGCATGAATTCTACTCGGTGAGACTAAGCTCTATAAATGATTCTTATTGATTATGAATATGCTTAGTGACTAACCGGCTTGGAGCATTTTTGTACTCTTTGTAGGGAGAAAATTACTTTGAGATTGATATTGATATGCATAGATTCGGTTATATATCCCGGAAAGGTTTTGAAACATTCATAGACAGACTCAAGATTTGTGTTCTTGATGTTGGCCTCACAATTCAGGTAAGTTTTTATAACAAGCATTATTTTTTAGGATGGAAAAAGTCTTATGGGATTATATTTGCTTATGTTGAGGTTTTTGTATGTGTATGAACAGGGGAACAAACCAGAGGAGCTACCGGAGAATATTCTGTGTTGCGTCAGGCTAAATGGGATTGATTTCATGAATTATCATCAATTAACTCAAGAGCTCCAATGACTAACACCATTTTTCTTCTTCTTACTTCTTTGTTTTCCTTAAAAAGAGAAACACAAATCTAAAAGCATCCCTTTAGAACCCAAACAATACATAAAAAAAGGGTGATGATTTTCAAGTGAATATATAAAATTTTCGAATCTTGAATCCAAAGTATTATCCTATACTTAAACGTGACTCTTAATTTTATATTTTTACCTTTGAGAATCGATTGCAATGGAAGTCAAAGATGGATTTATTATATTTGTTAAAATTGCTCCAGTAATTTCGAAATTGCAAGTTAAATTAGAGGAAGATGCTGGTTTTGCAAACGTGTCTGCATATAAGTAATCTGGTCACATGCATTTTGTTTCTGCTCATGCAGAGAGAATCTAGGCACTAGGCACAGATCTCAATTAGACATGCAGTCTTCAACTTCTGTTTTTTTCTTGTTGGTCAACACTCAACAGCCATGAGACATGAAGTCTTTATTAAAAGATAAGAAACAGAGAGGCCTACATATACTCACATCTCAATGGACATGAGCACACTGCACACACAGATCTCAGTTCTGAATGGAGTTAGAAAAAGTTCACGTGGTTTTGTTCCCGTACATGTCCAAAGGGCACATGATTCCTATGCTCCAACTAGCCCGTCTCCTCCTTTCCCACTCCTTCGCCGGCGGCGACATCTCCGTCACTCTCTTTACCACTCCTTTAAACCGTCCTTTCGTCGCCGCCTCACTCGCAGGCACCAAAGCGACCATCATTGACATTCCTTTCCCCAAGAACGTCAAGGAGATTCCACCCGGCGTCGAGTGCACCGACAAACTGCCTATGTCCTCCCTCTTCGTTCCTTTCACAAGAGCCACCAAGTTAATGCAGTCCGACTTCGAGCGAGAGCTCATGTCACTTCCACGCGTCAGCTTCATGGTCTCAGACGGTTTCTTGTGGTGGACGCTAGAGTCAGCTCAAAAGCTAGGGTTTCCTCGGCTTGTTTTCTTTGGTATGAATTGCGCTTCCACATCTATATTGGACAGTGTTTTTCAGAACCAGCTTCTATCTAAATCTAAGGTTAAGTCCGAGACAGAGCCGGTCTCTGTGCCGGAGTTCCCGTGGATTAAGGTTAGAAGATGCGATTTCGTTAAAGACATGATTGATCCGAAATCCACCACAGATCCTGGATTTAACCTTATCCTAGATCAAGTCACAGCTATGAATCAGAGTCAAGGTATCGTGTTCAACACGTTCGACGACATCGAGCCCGTGTTTATAGATTACTACAAACGTAAACGCGAGCTCAAGCCCTGGACACTTGGACCGCTTTGTTTTGCAAGTAACTCGTAAGTTAATTCTGTATTTGATTATGATAGTACGAGAAAGAATACAGAAAAAAATGATTATTCGCATACATCTTTGTTTTCTGTCAGCTTGGAGGATGGAGTAGAAGAGAAGGTGAAATCTGTTTGGATGAAATGGCTAGATGAAAAGCAAGACAGAGGAAGCTGTGTTCTCTACGTGGCTTTCGGGTCACAAGCTGAGATCTCGAGAGAACAGCTAGAGGAGATTGCGTTAGGGTTGGAAGAATCAAAAGTAAACTTTCTGTGGGTGGTGAAAGGAAATGGAATAGTGAAAGGGTTCGAAGAGAGGGTAGGAGAGAGAGGAATGGTGGTGAGGGACGAATGGGTTGATCAGAGGAAGATATTGGATCACGAGAGTGTTAAAGGGTTCTTAAGCCATTGTGGTTGGAATTCTCTGATGGAGAGCATTTGCTCGAAGGTTCCAATCTTGGCGTTTCCGGTAGCGGCGGAGCAACCGTTGAATGCCATTTTGGTGGTGGAAGAGTTGAGAGTGGCGGAGAGAGTTGTGGCGACGGCGAGTGATGGGATTGTGAGGAGAGATGAGATTGTAAAGAAAGTGAAGGTGTTGATGGAGGGAGAGAAAGGGAAAGAGCTGAGGAAGAATGTGGAAGCTTATGGTAAGATGGCGAAGAAGGCTTTGGAGGAAGGTATTGGCTCGTCTTGGAAGAATTTAGACAACCTTATCAACGAGTTTTGTAACCATGGAACATGATAATGTTGTGTATTGATTCGTGTATAATTTCTTATCAGACAATTAGAATAAAATGATATCTTCACTAAAAAATGATGGTAAACATATTATAAAATAATTTATATTCATTGAGGACATAAGATCTAATTTCAAGTTCTGTTGAAGCTCACTGAGGACATAGGATCCAATTTCAAGTTCTATTGAAGCACAAAGAAACATTGAGAATGTATTAGCCTTTGCATTTCTAATGCATTTCGGATGGGAATTCTGTTTTCACCTTTACCTATTTGGAAATAAGAAGTAATTTTTTTTCGGAAAATTTTCTTTTATTTGAATGAGTAAATGAAGGATTCAAGAACGGTATAGGATCCAATATCTTTCAAAAATTCTTCATATTTTCTCATTTCCGTTATTTTCCGTCCCATATAATAAGAAAATATTTTGATATTATATATAGTTATTCTCGTTATGTTCCCACCAATTTCTGTCATATCTTATTTCCGTTATTTTCCTGTCCTATTGTAATAGGGGAATACTTTTGTAGCATATCTAGTGTTATATTCTCGTTATGTTCCCGCCAGTTCCCGTCCTATCTGGTTATTTCCCGTCTCATTGTAATAGATGAATACTTGGGGTAATATATCTAGTTTTTCATTCTTGTTTTGTTCTCAGCCAATTCACATCTCAAAAACACCAAAATGTACATGACTATCAATTACAGTACTTACATTGACTAGCAAAAATAAAGGATATTAAAAATAAATGCGTTTTATCGTGTTGCCTAAACTATTTAGAAATTAGAGTCGAAAGCAGGCAGGTAGAGAAGTCCTCTCATACCAACAAAATTACATACATAGGCCAAATCTTCGGCTGTCGTCTCATCGCTCTGGAAAGTTGCAACTGTCGTGCTTTCGATTCCTGCGAGATTGCTTGCATAGTTCGTCGATTTTCAGATCGAGCTCTTCGTCTTCAGGCTCCGTTTCCCCCTAATCCTTTAGCTCCAAATTTGATCCGACGCCGAAACTATTCGTTTCTCTCCCTTTTCGTCGATTTCAAGGCCTGAACCCTAATTTCTCGAAGAGTCCTTTGATATCTCTGAGGCATATTGGTCTGATCGAAGAACGTGTGACCTCGTTCGTCTCTCTTACATCGAATTCAAAGGTACTCTTCGTTCCTTCTCCAAGTCACATTTCGATTTGCTTCCTGTTTGGTTTTCATTGCTGTATTGCTCCTTCTTTGCTCAATTTTGTTTCTCAATTAGTCGATTCGTCTCTATTTCAATCCGCATCGTCAATCTCTGTGCTGCTGATTTCTTCTATTTGTGATGTTGCTTTGTTCAATGGTTTTTAGATGTTCGTTGTCGTTCAGAGGTTCTTCATCTCTCAGCTAATTATGAATTTTCTTGTTCCGCAGCTGATTTGTGTGATGTTTAACTTGGTCCTTTGGGGTCTTTGTGAACTCTTTTCCTAACATATTTTTCTTCTTCTTTTCCTTTTACCAGCTACAAGATATAATTCCATTTGGCTGAGCCCTGCGTTGTGAAACTACAGAGGAAGATGTTTGGCTCATCTAATAATCGTATGTGATCTTATCTTATACTTGTTGGTTTCGGTAGCATTCTATTTCGTTATTGTATTTACAGCTTTATGCTGTTTATTTGTTTTTGTGATACGTTAAACGAAAACTGACCTTCTGAAATATTGTTATTGTAGCTTTTGGACAGTCATCTGGTGGTAGCAGCCCATTTGGGTCCCAATCTTTGTTTGGTCAGACCAGCAACACAAGTAGTAACAATCCCTTTGCTCCAGCAACACCCTTTGGCACCTCTGCACCTTTTGCTGCACAGACTGGGAGTTCAATATTTGGAAGCACTTCAACCGGTGTGTTTGGTGCACCTCAAGCTTCCTCTCCATTCGCCTCCAACACAACTTTTGGAGCTTCTTCATCACCAGCATTTGGGAGTTCCACTCCTGCCTTTGGAGCATCTCCAGCGGCTTCACCTTTTGGTGGTAAGTACCTTGTAATGTATTCCATTGCATGGTTTGTCAATTGCCTCATCGATTTTCCTGGATATGAATATATTTTTCTGTCTTTAACATCATGATTATATGGATACCTGAGGAGGTGATCTTTTGCATTTTACTGTTTTACATTTCTTTGAAACTAAGCTAATTTATTTGTTCCTCTTTCAGGGTCTTCTGGTTTTGGGCAGAAACCTTTGGGATTTTCAACGCCTCAGTCGAATCCTTTTGGAAGCGCAACGCAGCAATCACAACCTGCATTTGGAAACAGCACCTTTGGCTCATCCACACCTTTTGGTGCCACGAGCACGCCTGCCTTCGGTGCATCAAGCACACCTGCGTTCGGCGCTACAAGTACACCCTCGTTTGGTGCATCAAGCACACCTTCCTTTGGTGCCACAAGCACGCCTGCCTTCGGCGCCACAAACCAACCTTCCTTTGGCGTCTCAAGCACACCTGCGTTTGGCATGTCACCGACTCCAGCATTTGGTAGCACTGGCACCACGTTTGGCAACACTGGTTTTGGTTCTGGAGGTGCTTTTGGAGCTTCAAGCACCCCTGCTTTTGGTGCATCAGCTACTCCTGCTTTTGGTGCATCCGCTGCTCCTGCCTTTGGTGCATCCAGTAGTCCTGCCTTTGGTGCATCCAGCACTCCTGCCTTTGGTGCATCCAGCACTCCTGCCTTTGGTGCATCAAATACCTCATCCTTCAGTTTTGGCTCCTCCCCAGCGTTTGGCCAGTCCACATCAGCGTTTGGCAGCAGCGCATTTGGCTCTACACCATCTCCCTTTGGAGCCCAAGGTTCGCCCTTCAGAACATCCCAACTACTTGTTGTGTTAGTCATTTGAACGAAGGGTGACGAAATATGTTTGCATGCTTTGTATTGCAGGTGCGCAGGCTTCAACCCCAACATTTGGAGGTTCTGGTTTTGGTCAATCACCTTTCGGGGGCCAACAACAACAAGGGGGCAGTCGAGCTGTGCCTTATGCACCAACAGTTGAGGCAGACACAGGCAGCGGTACTCAGCCTGCTGGAAAGTTGGAATCTATTTCTGCCATGCCGGCATACAAAGATAAAAGCCATGAGGAGCTGAGGTGGGAAGACTACCAGCGAGGAGATAAAGGTACACTTGATCAAACAAATCTTGCAAGACATCTTCTTAACTCTACATTCTTTTTTTTTTTTTTTTTTTTTTTTGGGGGGGGTAAAATGTTAAATTAACTTTACATTCCTGTACTTTGTTTAACAAATATGGATTCTCTACATCTTCCATTTTTAGGTGGACCAAATCCTGCTGGCCAGTCTCCTGGAAATGCCGGATTTGGTGTATCAAATGCTCAGCCAAATCCTTTTTCTCCATCACCGGCGTTTGGTCAGACAACAGCAAATCCAACAAACCCTTTTTCGAGCGCCACATCTACCAACCCTTTTGCCCCTCAAACCCCAACAATTGCTAGTTCGGGCTTTGGAGCGCCTACCTCAAATTTTGGTTCCTCGCCCTTTGGTGTAACATCTTCATCCAATCTTTTTGGGTCAACTTCGTCAACCGCCACCTCCGTTTTTGGATCATCCTCTGCTTTTGGAACAACGACCTCGTCACCGTTATTTGGTTCATCAAGCAATCCTGGATTTGGCTCTTCTTCATCAATATTTGGTTCAGCTCCTGGTCAGGGGGCAACTCAAGCATTTGGCAACACTCAGTCATCTAATCTGTTCAGCTCAAACCCCTCGACCGGGCAGACTGGTTCTGCATTCGGACAGACTGGTTCTGCGTTCGGACAGACTAATTCTGCATTTGGACAGACTGGTTCTGCTTTTGGACAGTTTGGACAGAGTAGTGCTCCTGCATTTGGCCAAACTAACATGTTCAATAAACCTTCCACTGGATTTGGCAACATGTTTTCAAGTTCTTCTACATTAACTACGTCTAGCAGCTCTCCGTTTGGACAAACAATGGTGATTTTTTTCATACTCATTATCAAGTCCAAGCACTTGGTTATTTTTTTTCATTTCCTTTGGTGATGCCTGTTCTCTTTACAGTTACTAGTTCTTTTGCTTCTCTGATTAACACCTGCACCCGCAGTTCCTTTCTGATCTAATTTTGGATTATTTCTGTAGCCTGCTGGTATGTCATCTTTTCAATCAGCTCAGCCAGGTCAAGCATCAAATGGTTTTGGTTTCAACAACTTTGGTCAAACGCAAGCAGGTACGTCGGTCGACCAAGTCAATGACGTTATCATCTTATTTCTAGATGCTAACTCTTGTATTTCATGGTCTTAAGCTAATGCAACTGGAAATGCTGGTGGACTGGGATTTTTTGGTCAAGGCAATTTCGGGCAAACGTATGGTCTCTTAGACATCAGTGCTTGCAGGATTTCTGTTTTTACTACAATTAGTTCCTTTTGTGGAATCTCTGCTATTGGAGCTTCATTTTTCATGTATTTTTCTCTTGTTTTGACAGGCCTGCTCCGCCGAGCTCTGTTGTTTTGCAACCGGTTGCTGTTACAAATCCATTTGGAACACTTCCTGCTATGCCTCAGATCTCAATAAATCAAAGTGGAAATTCACCTTCGATTCAATATGGAATCTCCAGCATGCCTGTAAGCCTACTCTTTCTTCTGTGCATTTTCTTCTTAACTCTTCCCTGAATATAACCATATAGTCTAGTAGTCTACATATAGCTGTTTTGATAATATAATTTTCTAAACTAATTCTTGTCATCGCATGCTTACTTAGCTTCACTGTAATAGTTTTGTTCTTTCTCTGCACAATTTCATCTTCATACCTCAAAATTTCTCTTTTCAATTCCTCATTGTTCATTTCATCCATTTTCCTCTTTGTTCTTACTGTTTCTGTTTCCTGTCAGGTGGTTGACAAACCTGCTCCTGTAAGAATATCGTCTCTCCTGACTTCTCGACACCTTTTACAAAGGCGGGTCAGGTTGCCAGCAAGAAAGTACCGTCCTGGCGACAATGGTCCAAAGGCACGCTTCTGTCTTGTGAATTTTAGCTCACAGAATATTTTACCCAATCTTACCTTTTGTTGCTGAGGTTCCTTTTACATGTGTAAATCTTATAATTGTCTTTACAGGTTCCATTTTTCACTGACGACGAGGAGGAGACCTCGAGTACACCAAAGGCGGATGCTCTTTTCATTCCAAGGGAGAATCCTAGAGCTTTGGTCATACGCCCAGTTCAACAGTGGTCTTCCAGGGACAAATCAACTCTTCCAAAGGACCGCCCGACTGCTCCATTACATGACAATGGTAAGCTTCCTTTTCTCCATTTCTTTGCTTATTGCATAGCTTGGAGACTTGCTTTAAGTTTCCAATAGAGATAAAGCTTTTAAGACTCTGCTTCAAGTTATTCAAGATAGAGATGGCAGCATTCAAATCTTAAACTCAGTTGGAGTTGGATCTTAATACCTACTCTTTTGCATTCTCATAAGAGCATGCTTTCTTGTTTCTTGGAAACTTGAGGGGAAGTAGTACTCGAAAAATAAAACCCTCAAGTTTGAAAAGAAAGGTACCGAGTTCAATGTTATCCTGGCCCTTTTTGACAACATTACCCGTGAATTTCAGGTAAGAGTCCAGACATAGCTACTGATGCAGCAAACCATGACAGTGAGTTTATAAAATATGCATATTTAAATAAAAATTTCATTACGTTTTGCTATTGTTTGGGCCATACTCTTGACTGACCTGAGGGTCAATATTCACAGAAAATGGAAACGGAGAACTTGGTTCTACTGGAGAAAGAACTCATCAATCAGTCAATGCAAATCAGAAATCAAACGGCAACGGCACAACACGCACAGATAACGGTGGGGAGAAAGACCGTCCCTACAGAACACTAGGCGGACACAGAGCCGGAGAAGCCGCTATTGTTTACGAGCATGGTGCAGATATCGAGGCGCTAATGCCAAAGCTGCGCAATCCCGACTATTTCACTGAGCCACGAATCCAGGAACTAGCGGCTAAGGAAAGAGCGGATCCTGGTTATTGCAGGCGGGTTAGAGACTTTATGGTGGGACGGCATGGTTATGGGAGCATAAAGTTCTTGGGAGAGACGGATGTTCGTAGGCTAGAATTGGAATCTCTGGTTCAGTTCAATAACCGGGAAGTGATTGTATACATGGACGAGAGCAAGAAACCGGCGGTTGGGCAAGGTTTGAATAAACCGGCAGAGGTAACGTTGCTGAACATAAGATGTGTTGATAAGAAGACAGGAATACAGTTTAATGTAGGCGAGAGAGTGGAGAAGTATAAGATGATGCTTAAACGGAAAGCTGAGGCACAAGGAGCTGAGTTTGTGTCGTTTGATCCTGTGAAAGGCGAGTGGAAGTTTCGGGTCGAGCATTTTAGTTGCTATAAGCTCGGCGATGAAGACGACGATCAAGTTTAGTATCTCATCTCAGTGTTGAAATGTTAAAATATTTGGAATTGCTCTGTTTTGTGTAGGGCTTGTTGGGATTGTGCTGTAGGAAATAGTGCCCTATTCCATTTGTTGTGTTTCTTACTTTCTATACCTTTCTTTTTCTTTCTTTCTTACAGTTAACATTAAAAAGTTTCTCCTCCTTTTTATTGGTTGGGTTTGTGTATTGGCATCTCTTCCTATATGTGAAACAATTTGTTTTCTTATACATTATTGTGAAACTTTTTTTTTTTGGTTTTTGATAACATTTGTTTGAATGTTTTATATGAACGTATGTAGGTAGAAAGCATAACATTTGGAGGACCATTGTCACGTAGAAAGCTTAATTAATTGTTGGACAATAGAAAGCATAATTCTACGTCACCAAAGTTAATTAATTGTTGAATTATTAGATTGGTTAATTACTAGTGTAAGATTTAGCAGAGGAAGCAGATGGGCTAGTGACGTCACGCTCTCCGTGGCCACCGAAATTGCCATTTCCGGTCAACATCTTTATCGCTATCTGAGCCACTTCGGCAAACCACTCTTCCTCCGGCAACGTCCTGTTTCACCATCATCCGTAACTCATCAATGATGATGATCATCATCGACCATTCATCATACATGTTTATGTGGAAACGTACCTGTAAGGATCGAGTCCAGTGGCTGTAACTGCTTCAATGGCTCGAGCTATAATGTCCTTGATCACTTGATGAAGGTTTCTTGACAAGTACCTTCCTTGTGAGGCAAAGATCATCACAAACTCCATGTCTAGATAAAACTGTTGAAGACCAAGCGGACCCAACGGTTTAGCTCCCGTCTCCATCTCTTCCCAGAAACTCTGATCATCAGAGATCCAAAGAATCACCGTCTCCGTCAGTCTCATCAGCAGTATCGTCGCGAATCTCTCTCTTCCAACAAACAAATCGCTCGCAATCGTCGCTATTCTTGTCAGCTTCGCAAACAGTTCCTGAAAAGAAAAACAGAGCAATTCCGTTTATATATCTCAATTCTCTGTTTCATTTCTAGAAGATGTTTCTTAACCTGAAAAATCGGGGAAGGAAACCATTCAGGCTCTTCAGTAGTTTCGTCCATGAGGATATAAATCTCAGAGCTGAGACGAACTTCTCCTTCTTCAGTGAAGATGAGTTCGAGAGCATGTTGTCTACAGAAGCTATCTCTTAACCGATCAACGGATCTTTGAAGCTTTTTCTTCCATTCTCTTTGCTCTGGTCGGTTCTGTCTATCCGAGGAACCTCTTCTTGGAGTGGACTGGTTCGTCCCATGTGGCAAAATCCTTGAAGCAGAACGCGGGATTAGCTCGTCTGCTAAAAGAAGTGCATTCACTAACAGAGCCGTTTGCTGAGACTCAGTTTCAGCTACTTTAACTATTCTATGAACCGGATTCTCTTCGTTCTCAGCTGAACCAGGCAATGCGTTGATTAAGAGATCGACGTATGCGTTAAAAACTTGCAAGACACCGTCTAATGCAATCCCGTCTAACTGTAATGCTTCGTCGAGCGGTCCAGCATCCTCCAGAAATTCCTAAATCCACAGAAAAATATATCATACTTATTATCCAAGAGCAAGAAGAAAGATGAAGAAGTTGATTACCTGAACCATGGAGTTGAATCTTTGAGCGCTTATAGAGAGCTTAAGATGCGGTGCAATGGGAGTAGTCGACGAGGCTCGTGTTCCTGTAGGTGTATAAGAGAGAGACCAATCATCCGAAGCAGCTAAAGCGGCGCTGCTTTGCTCAATTCTCTTGAGATTTCCAGTCAGTGCTTGTTCGACGCCAGGCCTAAAGTGTTTCAATAAGATAGGGGAAAGAGCTAAACCTCGAGACTCCAACGAAGAGCAGTGGGAAGCACAGAGTTGGATGCACTCTGCGGTTACTCTCAAGCTTCCCGCAGCAGCAGATGAAGCCAAAGTGTGTCTTTTCAGTAAAAGAGCAAAAGACTCTGCTTGTTTAACCGCCCACGTCACAAGCTCCGATGAATAAGCCGGATCCTCGCCAACAACTGCTTGAGAGTCGCTTGCCGCTTGAGCAATCGTCGAGAAGAAAAGCTGAGAGAGAGCAGCAGCGAATGCTACTCCGTAGGAAGTGTTGGAAGATCTCAGGCTCTGGATGTTGGCTTGTAGCCTCCTCTCGTAAGACCTGAGAAGCAGTGTGTGTGCTCGAGAGCCGTCTCCGAGTTTCTTGAGAGCCAAGACCGCTGATCTAAGCTCGCCTGCTCTTGTAGAAGGCTGGCTTATAGCTTCCGCCAATTGGTCAGCCAGCTCCTGCCTCTTTGCTTTGATTTCATTGTTGAGAGAGAGAAGAGTGTTGGAGCTGAGCGTGCGTTTCTCTTGTGCTTCCATGGCCACTCGACGACCTTCTTCTAACGCAGCCATGGATTCCTCAACTCTCTTCTCAGCTAAGAGAACTTCAAGCCTGTCAAAGAACTCAACAACCCAAGTCTCTATCTTTGAGAGCTGTTTGTTCTCCATATCGTATAGGTCTTCGTCTCTTAACTCATCGGCGTCGTCAGCGCATAACGAGCTAATGTGAACGCCATCAGCTAAGCCGTGGACAAGAGCTGCTTGAGCAGAGAGGAGGTTTCTCATGGAGAGAAGCTGTCCTTCAAGAGCTGATATCTCCTTAGACGTCCTGAAAAATCAAGAACTTTGGAACCTGATAAGAAACTAAAAACGCGTCTAATTGCGAGCGAACCAAATGATAGAAGAAGAGTTTACAGACTTGATAAAGGCGGCATAGTTTGCGTAGACGCTCTTACGCATCTCTTCCGCTGAAGCCTTCTTCAATTCAACGAGGTAAGAAGTCAAATGCCTCGTCTCCTGTAAGCAAAACACACTATCTCTCATCATTCTGCCATTTTTACAAATACGTGGAGAGCTAAGCTTAACCACTGATTTAGAGAGAAACAGAGCAATGTGGTAAATTTTAAGCAAAATCAGAGCGAAATTTAAAACTCTGATTTAGCATCAGAGACACAAAACGCAAATAGATGAAAATCTCTTCTCAGCAAGTGAGTTACAATACCTAATCTGGGCGATCAATGCGATCTTAATTTTGTATACATGACAAAAAACCAACAATGTACGACGACGATCCTTGAATTGATCATTACATGGAATCTGAGAGAGGAAAACCTTTTCGTTCATGTGCTGGCATTTGGAGGTGACGTAAGCTTCGGGATCGAAAGTGGAGCCCTTGAAAACCTTAAGACGATCAGATAGTGTCAGATTCCCTCCGACTCCGAGTTCTGTGGAATTGCCGATGCTCGACGACATTGATGATGGTCTTGCTCTTGTTGCTTCCATTTTTGCGACCCAGCGAAAAAAAAAAACTTCCGATGATGGAAGAGAGAGATAGAGAGGAGGATGAATGATGTTTTTTGATTTTTTAGGATTGAAAAATCTTTTTGCGTTGCGATTTGCGAAGGAGAAGGCGGCAAAATTGGGTCCCTTTTGACTCTGTTGGCGCGTGGGACTCACTCACTCACTTATCGCCTCCGCACGTCCTTGCCCATTAACTGGTTGGGCCCACCCAATTCAGTAACACTATGCTCTTATATTGGACTACTTTTACATGTCTTGTGTGGTTATAAAAATGTTTATTGAGCAGAGCAAAACATGAAAATGTTTTCGACTAGAAACTAAGAGAAGCAAGCAAAGATGGAGTAGAGATATGAAAGCATCAAAAATATAATCCCAAAGAACCGTGTGGCTCTGATAGTAGGCACATTCTTGGCAGTAGTGTTGTTCTCATCGAAGTCTGGCTCTACTTTCTCGAAATAGGCTCTACCAGACTCAAACCCTTTAACCTTACAAAGGGTACCCACATAAAGTTGAAGATCCTGAAAGACGAAAGTATAAAACAAGAGTTCAAATAATTGTTGTTATCTGAAAAAAAAAGTGGTCAACTAATTGGTATAAAACTCACCCGTCTCCTCTCTAGTGCAAATAAAGATAGGTGATCTTGTCTTAGGCCTAGAAGCTTCAACCATCTCTCTTTCCATCCAAGTGATGAGGATCCAGTAAGCAGGCGAATTATTCCTGGCACGGGTGTTGTTCTGATCAAAGTCTGGCTTCAATCTCTGGAAGCAGTTTGTACCAGCTTCAACGCCTTTGATCTTACAGAGGACATCCATATAAAGTTCAAGCTGGGAGGCAGAAAACTTCATCTCCTTTTGATCCATCCATTCAAGGATCTAGAAAAAAAAATTTCATAAATCATATGGAAGCTTGATTTCAATAGATGTCAACCAAAAAAAAAAAACATTCCATTGATTTCTCTATACCTTGAGGGCGTATTGAGGGCCTTGAGGCTTGCCGTCCATGTAAAAATCCTTTGCCCAGCTGCAGAGATCAGCCTTGGTGATGCGCTTCTTCTTGTAATCCTTCATAATCAAATTCATATCTAAGGTCTCTGCAGGATGAGAAGATAGCATCTCCAAGATTTTATCTTTCTACCTCTGCCTCTTCGCCTTCTGCTCAGAACCTGCACTGCTGTTCAAAAGTCTTGTAGCACCCAAGGCAATATTGCTGGTGGCACCAAAAGGTGTAGATGAACCTAAAGTGCTGTTCCCAAATGAAAGTTTCTGACCAAAACCAGATCGTGAGGAGTGAGGACGAAAGAATTAAACAAGTTGAGTTCTGGTAGTGACAATCATTTTACATACACAAGACTTGGATACGGTGCACTGAAACAAACAGAGCAATTAAATGCTCGAGAAGATCAAAAACAAGGCAATGAGGTAATATATAATACAGTATGTAAAGAGATCCTCCTCGAGATATAACATATCCAAAAAATCAATGAGTAAATTAACAAACCAGGCAATGGAATACATAGAAGGTACTTGCCAGCAAAAGGTGAAGATGCTAGAAATGTTCCAACGGGCAGAGTGAGATTCCCAAATGCTGGTGACGAAGAAACTCCAACGGTTGTGCTGGTGGCGAATGGAGAGGAGGCTTGAGTTGCAGTACCAGATGCTCCATTTCTCGCCAGCTTTACCAGAACATTTTTGTTCCAGAACGAGATGCAAACAAAAAAAATCTTCTGTGGGAACCCTAAAATATAATATCTAAGAGATTTTATAAAAATAATAATAACAGTATTACTGGATCCTTCTTTTATGCAGTCTTAACTCTTAACTACTAAAGAAAGATACTTTGCATAATATCGCTAATTAACAAAGAAGAAAAAATTGAAATTAATGAAAACCTTCTAACAAAGAAAAAAAAAACGTCAGCTATGTTTTAGGCTTTAGGGATTTAGGGTTTGTTGATTCAAATTACTGTGTTAATCAGTTTGTTGGAAACGAGTAAAAGATACAAAAATAGTAAAAGCTAGCTCTGATATTGTTCGTATAGTTCAAAAGCTCTAACATCAAATAAAATACTGGTCAACTAAGTTAGTACTTGTTGGTACGCATTAAAGCTCACTCGAAACTTGTCAATCACTTATTAATAGTTTCCCAAACTTTTGTTGGAAATATTGTAGCCCTAATTAATTAGAGATCTTCAAGATTGGTTTCAAGATTTTTTCATGATTCTACAGTAAGTGTTTACCTTTCCATTCATCGTTTGATGATATTCTGGTTTTTAATCATATGTGCATCATTTCATTTTTTAAGATTCGGACTAATTAATTGCAGATCTTCAAGAGTAAGATTCGGACTTTGGATTGTAGTCACCTAATGGTGATTTGTTTCATTTTTTTCACAGTGTCAATATATATAAGCTAGTATCTTCAGCGTTAAAACAAAAAGTATTAACCTCTGCGCGAGTTGAAAAATATACCATTCTTTGCAAGTGTTTAGCACTATAGTAAGTTGATTCCTTACATGCTGGAAAGCGGAGAAAAAGCAAATAAGATAAATGGACTTATGGTAAAGAGAGAACCAATAGAGAATCTTATAGCATGATGATATCACAGAGTTATAGAAAGGAGAAGCAAAGATTCTATCTATTAAGCTTTCTCTTCGAACCACTCCATCCTTTGATGCTCCTCGATTGAATTGGCTACCGCGAGAGAACCTTAAACTCCTTTAAAGCAGGCTCATCACTATCCAAAAAACAACCCATGACAAAGGGTGCATCACCCATTCTCCTGCTAATTTAAAGAGAATTATATAAGGCAATTCTTTAGCTTAATATTCAAGATTTATACAATAAAAAATTATTCAAAATTTATTGAAAAAATTAAGTATTTTCGATTCCCAACACAAGTCGTTAAACACAAGGTTTTTTTACAAAAGTTTTTGGTATGAAACGAAATTTGACTGAGAATGGCGAATTATAGCTAATCTGTGAAATAGTGTAGTCCAGAATAAATTGAATATAAGACTACAAGAGTATGAAAGTGGTGCTTACTTGAGAACCAAGGAAGAAGAACAGAACCGGAGTTATAAAGGAAGAAGCAATCCGACGTCGTGTTGATCCCACCGGGACAGTTGCAAACGAAGGAGCTAGTCTGAGTGTTGTAGCCACAAGCACCGTTACTACGCTCGCAGCCACCGCAGACGACAGGGTACTCATCGAAGACGTTGAACTTGTACTTGAGTGCGATTCCGTAGTTCCAATTCTCCGGGTGTGATTCTTGGACCGGACCGAGATTGTAGAAACCGGAGTAAGACGAGCACTTGAGTTTCTTCAGATCCATTTCAAACGATGGTCCGAGGTCTAGAGGCACGTAGACGCAGCACGTTGACACTTGGAGGTTTATCAGACTTATCGCTCTATAACAAGTAACAAACCGGCTTTAGAGATGGATGCTACTCAAAAGCTTGGAACAGTAATCCGGTTTAGTCAGTTAAAAAGGCAACTTTTGGTTACCTGCAATTGGAGTACAAGAAAGTGCAAATGGAGGAGCTTTGACGGTCACAGAGGGAGACACGTCCGGTAGCGTTACTTAACGGTGTGAAAACAGGGGATTCGTCAACAGAACAGTCAAGGAGAGTGAAAACGGTGTCGTCCTGGAAAGAAAACGGAGCGTCCCAATCCAACCCGAATCCATTGCTGGGTCGGGTACATGCACACGTGGACATGGACGGGTCGGTGACGTAGATCAGTTGCTTGGCGTAGTCGACGGAAGTGATAGGGTAACAGCCTGTGTGTGTGGTGAGCGTCAAAGTCTGTTGTTCCGGATCGCACGAGATGTAACGTGTAAAACGTGGGTCACCGCAACCCGACCCGGTTCCGAGTGGGTATTTGATGGATATTTGGCCGCATGTTTTTTGGCAGGCTTGTGAAGAGACATGAGAAGATAGGAAGAAGAAAAAAAGAAAGAAAATGAAGGAAGAACGCTGCAAACTCATTTGCTAGACGTTTTAGAGAAATAGGGAGAGAAAGAGAAATATGTGAATCAAGTACATATGAATTGAGTGTTGACTGTAACCTTCATAATATATAGATGCATCCCAAGAGGAATATTGTATTTAGATATGATATATATGTACACTTATATGCAAATATAGGCATATATGTTTACTTTTTAGTTTTCTTTTGTGTGTTTATTAATCGTATATTCTTTTGGTTGGGTGTCATAGATCTATATGTACATTTTAGATTAATACCGGGACGGATGTCCGGGATTACAACATTTTTGAAAGTATACTTAAGTGTGTGTAGAAAAAAAATATTTGCGATAGTATATTGTAATTAGAAAAGATATCCCTTTAGGTGTCCCAAACTTACCAGAAAACAAGGCCTCCACGACATTTCATTACATATAAAATTGCAAAAAAATCATTAATGTCAAGTGCCACTCACTCTATTGCTCCCACCCAACAAAGGGAGGGCAGGCGTAATGGAATAGATTCAAGAGAATATAGTAAAGAAACCTAAAGGCTTAAAGTTGCTAAAAGCAAATTCTCAACTTTAGTTCGTTTTAATTCATTGTATTGTAAAATAATGTATTTGTAGTTTTAATATTATATTAAGGGAATAACGAGAGAAGATAGACAAAATAAGAAGATATAGTGCATCTTGCAAAGCAAAGGCATTGTTCTGATCGATATGGTGTTATTCTTCTCAAAGAATGTTCTGGAAGCCGATCAATTTTATTTCTTATGATAAAAATGGTTGGTGAATGGTGACCTCTAGCTTAAATTTGATGATAGCTATTAGACTATAATCATTAGATCTGTTTCTTTTGTTTATTTGAAATGCATAATTATTTCATGAAATTAAACTATTATATGTTACAGGAAAAATGCATTCAATACGAATATAGAAAACATGACTAGGCAAAACAAATAAAAGTGTACGTACGTATATCAACTAACAAAGATATCATTAGAATGTAAAATACTACATGAGAATATGACAATTATGTTTTCGTAAGTGATTTTACTCGAGTGATAGATTTGTATTAAATACACATGGATTCACGATTTGTATTTGTTCACACCCGTTTGGCCGTTACGTTAAAACCAAGATATTAACTTTATTTACAGTAGTACAAACTACAAAGTCTTAAATGTCACATTAATAAAAGGAGTCGTCGATACATGAAATACAAATGTGAACACGTGAGGTGAAAATTTTGCCGGAATTTGTTTATGGTTCCAAGTGTGTGGCTACGTATGTGAACTCGTCATCCCTAATAAAGTGAGGGGACAACATTTCACCGCTTTCCCAACCGCTCGAAACACGTGTCAATTAATTGGCGCGTCTTCGCTTTCTTTCACCTCCTCCATGAAACTTGAAACCTACCCCTTCTTCGCTTCCATATATACTGCCATACCGATCTAACTCAAAGTCAAAAGCTTCATACCAACTAAGTCATTCTCTGTTTTAGATCTTGAGAAGAAAGAACATGGCCAACGACGAAGTAAAGATTATCGGAGCATGGGCGAGTCCCTTTGTGATGAGGCCGAGGATCGCTCTAAACCTCAAGTCTGTTCCCTACGAGTTCCTCCAGGAGACGTTTGGGTCTAAGAGCGAGTTGCTTCTCAAATCAAATCCGGTTCACAAAAAGATTCCCGTTCTGCTTCACGGTGACAAACCGGTCTGTGAGTCCAACATCATCGTTGAGTACATCGATGAGACTTGGAGCTCATCTGGACCGTCCATTCTCCCTTCCAATCCTTACGACCGGGCCATGGCTCGCTTCTGGGCTGCTTACATCGACGAAAAGGTTCCTTTCTTTTACTTGATCTACAAGATTGTATTTTCATATTTTTAGGTTTGTTCACGAGAAAAGAAAACTTGATCTACAAGTAATGTAAAGAAAGTAGACGATTTGCTACGTATTTTCAGTACTAGTACAACATAAGCTGATCCTTTTGTTTTCTGTGTTGGACATTGAAACATGAATGAAGTGGTTTGTGGCTCTAAGAGATATCCTAAAAGCTGAAGGAGAAGAAGAGAAGAAAGAGGTGCTAGCTAAAGTGGAAGAAGCGAATGCGCTTCTCGAGAAGGCCTTCAACGATTGCAGCAAAGGAAAGCCGTTCTTCAACGGCGATCACATCGGTTACCTAGACATCGCCTTCGGGAGCTTTTTAGGTTGGTTGAGAGTCACCGAGTTGGCAGCTGGTCATAAAATTCTCGATGAGACCAAGACTCCTTCACTGTCCAAATGGGCAGAGCAGTTCTGTAATGATCCAGCTGTGAAACCTGTCATGCCCGAGACTGCAACGCTCGCTGAATTCGCTAAGAAGATCTTTGCCAAGCCGCGGGCCTAAGTTTGATAGTGTGTATTTTTGTGGGTTGAGATCTTGCAAGAATAAATTAAGAGTGGGTACTTATTTCTAGAGTTTTTACTTTTGGTGTGTGTGTTTTGAACGTTAAGTTTGTATCAAGCTTAGTGAGTGAAGTAATTTTCTTTATTTGGATTGAAAACTGGTTGGTAAGAGAACGATATCTAAGAAAATCCCACAATGGAAGAATAAATGACTATCTTATCTATCTTATAAGCTCAACCAGCTACCTTTAGAAGAAGGGTTCTATTCATTAAGCTTTTAATGTGTTTGCTAGATCCAAACACAAAGGTGCCAATCTTCTTAGTCCTCTCACATGACAAAATTATAAACAACTTACGGTATACCTATTTGTCTCAATCAATGTTTTTGTGTGTTTTAACATCTCTTAGATAGTTTTCCAAAAATAAACAATATTGGAAGTTTGCATTCTAGCTAACTCGTCGTCATTTCCTAGAAGAGTCAATCAGTCAATAATCACGTGAAAAAGGTCCCAAGGGAATTTAACGGTTGCAGTTGTTGCCACGCGTTGCATAAATTGTCAAATTCTGCCACTTGTTTGTAATCTGTTCTTCATACATCAGGACCATCACCTAAACGCTCTTACCTTTCATACGATATAAACCGTAACTTTCTCTCTCGGACACATCGAGCTCATCTTGTTAGATTATTAGTCTCAGGGATAAAATGACGACCGGAGACGTGAAGCTTATCGGCTCATGGGCGAGTGTGTACGTCATGAGGGCGAGGATCGCTCTCAACCTCAAATCTATTAGCTACGAATTCCTCCAGGAGACGTACGGTTCTAAGAGCGAATTACTCCTCAAATCTAATCCGGTTTACAAGAAAATGCCGGTTCTGCTTCACGCTGACAAACCGGTTTGCGAGTCCAACATCATCGTTCAGTACATCGACGAGGCTTGGAGCTCATCTGAACCGTCCATTCTCCCTTCCAACCCCTACGATCGGGCCATCGCTCGGTTCTGGGCAGCCTACGTGGACGATAAGGTTTGGTTTTAGCTCTTAAAAGAAATCAGACACTTGTTATGTATACATCTGACATGAGCTAATCTTAAATCTTCTAAATTCGGTCTTAACTCGAAATGCACGGAAGTGGTTTACCTCTGTTAGAAGTATCCTAACAGCTAAAGGAGAAGAAGAGATGAAAGAAGCAATAGCTCAAGTGGAAGAAAAGACAGAGATTATAGAGAAAGCATTCGTTGATTGCAGCAAAGGATCAAAACCGTTCTTCAACGGTGACCATATCGGTTTTCTTGACATTGCCCTCGGGAGCTTCTTGGGTTGGTTAAGAGTCACCGAGATGGACGCGAATCATAAGTTTCTTGATGAGACCAAGACTCCTTCTCTGTTCAAATGGGCAGAGCGGTTCTGTAATGACCCCGCTGTGAAACCTCTCATGCCTGACACAACAAAGCTCGCTGAATTCGCAAGAAAGCTCTTTCCCAAACCTTAGAGTCAATTAGTCAATGATAATTGATATGTATGGATCCTCTGTAACTAGTAGGAAGTAAGTTATGTTTCATTCCAATGTATCCAAACCTAAGGTTAAGCACTAAACTGATAAGTGTTAATTTGTTGAGCTGTTTTATTAAATGTCACAATATTTTTAACTTCCTTTTAAGCTATCAAGAGAATATTCTGTCTAATTAAAAAGGGCAAGACGTGATCAACTTTATACCTTTTTGATAAATCACAATTAAGATGAAGTTAAAGATAAGTCGACTGAAAACGCCACGTGGCTCCATTTAGAATATTTCGAGTCATTCTCTCCTGTCTTCTTCTTCTACATTACATTGTCTTCCTTCCAATTTCAGATTTTACTCCGATTCGTTTTTCTCGCCTGCAATCTCTGCGAAATCCAAATTCCTTGTCACGATTTAGATTCGTTCACTCCTTCCTCTCGGATTCTCTCGATCGGCGCATCGTTTTCATTGGTATTGACTTTTTTTTTCTGGTGGATCAAATGGCGGTCGATTACTACAATGTGCTGAAGGTGAGTCGAAACGCGAACGAAGATGATCTGAAGAAGTCTTACCGGAGAATGGCGATGAAATGGCACCCTGACAAAAACCCAACGAGCAAGAAAGAAGCCGAGGCTAAGTTCAAGCAGATCTCCGAAGCATACGACGTCCTCAGCGATCCTCAGAGACGCCAGATCTACGATCAGTACGGCGAAGAAGGACTCAAGTCCGACGATTTTCCTACCGCGGCGGAGACGGCGGCTCAGCAGAGGAGTTACTCGTCCAGAAACTCGGAGTTTCGGTACTATCCGCGCGACGCCGAGGATATCTTCGCAGAGTTTTTCGGCGCATCGGGGGATTCCTTCGGCGGAGGGAGCAGCGGACGGACACCTGGAGATGCCGGCGCCGGGAGGAGGTTTAAAAGTGCTGAAGCAGGAAGCCAGACGAACAAAAAGACGCCGCCGCCGCCGGCGAATAGGAAGGCTCCGGCGATCGAGAGCAAACTGGCTTGCACGCTGGAGGAGCTGTACAAAGGTGCGAGGAAGAAGATGCGAATCTCTCGCCTTGTTCCCGATGATTCTGGGTTAGTTCTCTCTTTAACCCAAAATCTCCTGATCTCGTGAATTGCCATTGATCAAACGTTTAGTCATTGAAATTCAGTGAAATGATTGCTTATTGCTACTTTCCGTGTGATCCATTTGAAGTTTGATGGTGTTTTGCAAAACTAAAAGCTTCAACATTTGAGTCCTCTGCTCTGATGATATCTTGTTTATCACAGAAACCCAAAGACGGTGCAAGAGATATTGAAGATAGACTTGAAACCAGGATGGAAGAAAGGCACGAAGATAACATTCCTAGAGAAAGGCAACCACGAGCCAGGTGTCACTCCTGCAGATCTCATCTTCGTGGTGGACGAGAAACCGCATTCGGTGTACACAAGAGACGGCAACGATCTGATTGTGGAGAAGAAAGTCTCTCTTATTGACGCTTTAACCGGTCTCACCTTTACCGTAACAACTCTTGACGGGAGGAGCCTAACGATCCCGGTTCTGGATATTGTGAAACCGGGTCAGGAGATTGTGATCCCGAACGAAGGAATGCCGACTAAGGACCCTTTGAAAAGAGGAGAGCTTAGAGTCAAGTTTGAGATCTTGTTCCCGTCGAGGCTATCATCAGAGCAGAAGAATGACCTCAAGAGAGTTCTTGGTTGAAGCTGGTGAGTGGTGACTGGTGTGAGCTGATACTTAGTTTTCAAGTAAGCTCTTGATCATCTTTAATTTAATAATGGAGGCTGCTAGTCAATTCACTGTACATACATTTGTGTCTTTTTTTTTTCCCTTTTTAACTTGTGTTATGAGAGAAAAATCTGTGGATATCAGAGATCTAATAATGGCTGTCCCGGACATAACAAATCGTTTTGAACAAAAACTTGAGCTATTTGACTCTGATTGAAGAGAAACAACTTCGTCAATAATTTCTTAGAAAATGTATCTACAAATGACATTTTATTGAAGTCATATCAAAAGTAACATTTGTTCACATGTAAAATAACATTGGGTCTTATTCATTATTCCATCTGTCTTGAGATTTTATGTTTAGTCCTGTCACGTCTTGTCTTTACATGTAAGAAGATGAGTCCACATTTTCTTCTTATTTTGCTACTGAAAAATTTAGTTAAATTCTTGCGGAAGCTAAGGAAAGAAAGAGGAACCAGCGCCATGGCCCTCCACCTTTTAATATTTGAACAGGAACGCGTTTTTAGTTTGTAATCATATGGCTATTATCAAAGTCTTCTGATCACTGAGTCAAGAGAAATGAAAGTTCAACATCACACTAGACTAGATCACCCAAAAGAGCCACCACAACCAGTGTTAAATGATGAAAAGATTGGAAAAGAAAAAGATATTCAGAATTTATTATGTCAACTCTTACGGTCTAAGCTAAGTCATCCATCATCATAAAAAAGATACTATATAAACCACTTGGGATCTCCCTCGTAGGGTAAGATGCATTTGCTCTAGTTTTCTTGAGAAAAGATGAAGCCAATCTTCCATGCGATCCAACGAAACGACGTTCCAGCTTTTCAGCGTTTGGTGAAAGAGACAGAATCGTGTCTGGAAGAGAGAAGCGAGGAAGAACACAGCAACACGGTGTTGCACATGGCTGCTAAGCACGGACACAGAGAACTCGTCTCAATGATCATCCAACTCCGACCTTCCCTCATCTTTTCCCGTAACGCTTACGGAAACACTCCTTTGCATCTCGCTGCTCTCCTTGGAGACGTCAACACAGTTATGAACATGTTAGAGTTTGGATTGGAAGCGTGTTCCGCAAGAAACAACAACAACCAAACACCCCTCCACTTGGCTTGCCGCAGCATCTCCATGGAGGCTGCCAGTCTCATTGCGGAAAAGACTCGATCAATTGGCCTCGATGAACTCAAGTTCGCCATATCAAGTGGTTCCACTTGTAAGCTTCCTCAGCATTTTTCTTGATTTTGTATTAACTCACTGGTTGACTATTAACTGTGCTTGGATCATTGACAGGTATTGCAGAGATTATACTAGAGAGATTCCCAGACCTAGCTAAGGAAGAAGCTTGGGCGGTGGAAGGCTACTCGTTATCGACGCTACTGCATCATGCGTGTGACAGAGGAGACATTGAACTGACAAGTATATTGCTAGGGCTCGATCAAAGACTTGAAGAAGCTCTTAACACCAACGGTTTATCACCTCTGCATCTAGCGGTCCTCAGAGGCTCTGTTCTAATCCTAGAGGAGTTCCTAGAAAACGCTCCATTGTCTTTCGCCACACTCACGACGTCAAAAGAGACGGTCTTTCATCTCGCTGCGCGGAACAAGAACATAGATGCCTTTGTTTTCATGGCAGAGCGTGTGGGCATTAACAGCCAAACCCTTATGCAGCAAACAGATGCAAATGGCAACACTGTCTTACATGTTGCTGCCTCCGTGGCTTCTTGTGCTCCGGTGAGTTGTTTTCTTTTTGTTGCTCTTGTATTCTTTTTTGGTGGCATCTCCTCTCACATACTTCTACTGGATAAACTTCAGCTGATACGTTACATTGTTGGTAAGAAGATAGTAGATATCAACTATAGGAACAAGTTGCGTTTTGCAGCATTTCACCTTCTCCCTCAAGAAGCCGAAGACTATGAGCTGTTATCAACCTGGCTGAAGTTGGACACCGAGCTGGATTCTGATCAGAGCAGTGAAGAAGACGATGTACACTCTAAAGTCTCTAATCCATACCACAAACGATCTCTGGAACGCGTTAAGTCTTTAGAGATCTCCGGAAGCTGTAAAGAGAACGAGGTGACACGTTTGCTTAAGATAATCGAAGCGAACACATCAGAGATAGCACAGATAAAACGAGGCAAGAAAGGTGCTGCGGAAAGAGGCCGTAGGAGCTTGGAATATTAGATGCATATAGAAGCACTACAAAACGCAAGAAACACGATTTCGATAGTGGCCGTCTTGATTGCTTCAGTTTCTTATGCCGGTGGATTAAATCCTCCGGGAGGCGTCTACGAAGAGGGACCATGGAGAGGGAAGTCGATGGTAGGCAGAACGGCAGCTTTTAAAGTCTTTGCGATATGCAACAACATCGCACTCTTCACGTCCTTGTGCATCGTTATTCTGCTCGTTAGCATCATACCTTACAAGAGGAAACCTTTGAAGAAACTACTGGTGGCCACGCACAGGATGATGTGGGTTTCTGTAGGGTTCATGGCAACGGCTTTTGTTGCGGCGTCTTGGGTGACCATACCGCATTACGACGGAACAAGCTGGTTGTTTCCGGCCATTGTATCGGTCGCTGGTGGATCGTTGACGGTGCTCTTTTCTTATCTCGGAGTTGAGACCATTGGTCATTGGTTCAAGAAGACGAACCGTGTTTGTGTTGGAGATTTCCCGTTTTATATTTTCCCAAAAAAGCGTGCCTTTGCAAGGATAGCCTCCAAAGTAAATAAAAGTGAAAGAGGCATGCCTTCCTTTGCAAAGACCAGCTCAGATTTGGCCGCCTCCGAAAAATCAGGCTATTTCACCTATTGAATCTCTCTTGTGTCAAATAGTCCCACCTATGAAGAAGATGAGTATTAGGATGGAAAAACCAACTGAATAAGATAAAAGGCACGGCGCTTGTATAACAGTGAAGTAAGTCTATCAGTCTGTGTTAGACTTAACTTACCTGTGTGTTTTAGGAACTGTGTAGCCTTGTAAGGAGAAGCATTGAGTTACCTGTTTTGTTCCTATAAATCTATAATAGGCGAGTGAAAATGTCTCGTTTGCTTTCTCCTACTATTCAGCTCATGAGATTACTGCAAACCCCAAGCATGAACTTAGTAAGAGATTCACACAAGTAAATTAGATCAAATTTACTGACGCAACATGTACTGACCTGAAACATAGTAGAACAGAACAGAGATTACACAGTAACTTGTCTGAAACAATGCATTCTCATTTCTCATGACAGCACACTATAAGCAGGGATTTTCCGGATATCATGATTCATGACTCTCCTCTTCTATTCTGCTTCTGCCCAATTGCTTTCCAAAGCATTTAACGTTGACAATGCCACGTACTGGCCACAGTGTTGCGGTTGCAGTCCAATAAGCCATTTGTCTACTTTATTTCCCAATTCAGCATCCGCATGAATCTTGCCACGTACTGGCCACAGTGTTGAGGTATTGAAATATAGTTATTTTCTTGTGGAAAAGGTAAGGAAAGAAACAGGAACCGGCGCCATAAGAACGCGTTTTGACGTAGCCGTATTAGTTTGTAAGCATGTGGCTATGTCAAAGTCTTCTTGACAGAGAGTCAAGAAAAAGAATGAAAACTTCAACATAACACTAAACTAGATAAAAATACACAAAAGAGCTACAAAACCACCAGTTCTAATGATTGATATAATGAACATCGAAATCGAAAAAGACAGACCCAGAGAAGTCAAATTAAATGTCAATTCGAATGTATATATTTCCTGTGTTATCGTAAAATATCAATTCTCTCTATGCTAAGTCATTTCATCATAAAAAAAAAGATATAAATCACTTGTGATCTTCTTCGTAGGGTAAGGATATTCAAACTTTTGTTCTAGTTTTATTGAGACAAGATGCAGCCGATCTTCCATGCGATCCTTCAAAACGACGTTCCAGCTTTTCTGAGTCTAGTGGAAGAGAGAGAATCACGGCTGGAGGAGAGATGCGAGGAACAACACAGCAACACGGTGTTGCACATGGCTGCTAAGCACGGACACAGAGAACTCGTCTCAAAGATCATCCAACTCCGACCATCCCTCATCTTTTCCCGTAACGCTTACGGTAACACTCCTTTGCATCTCGCTGCTCTCCTTGGAGACGTTGACATCGTTATGAACATGTTAGAGTTTGGTCTGGAAGCGTGTTCCGCAAGAAACAACGACAACCAAACACCCCTCCACTTAGCTTGCCGCAGCATTTCCATGGAGGCTGCCAGTCTCGTTGCGGAAAAGACTCGGTCAATCGGCCTCCATGAACTCAAGTTCGCCATAACAAGTGGATCCACTTGTACGTCTTTGGAGTACAACGCTCAACATTTTGCGTAATATTTTATTAAATCACCATGAACTGTGTTCGGATCATTGTCAGGTATTGCAGAGATTATACTGGAGAGATTCCCAGAGCTAGCTAAGGAAGAAGCTTGGCCGGTCGAAGGTGGCTCGCTATCGACGCTACTGCATCATGCGTGTGATAGAGGTGACCGTGAACTAGCAAGTATATTGTTAGGGCTCGATCAAGGATTAGAAGAAGCTCTTAACACCGACGGTTTATCACCTCTGCATCTGGCGGTCCTCAGAGGCTCAGTTGTAATCTTGGAGGAGTTCTTGGACAAGGCTCCCTTTTCTTTCGTCTGTCTCACGCCGTCAGAAGAAACAGTCTTTCATCTCGCTGCACGAAACAAAACCATCGATGCCTTTGTTTTTATGAGAGAGAGTGTGGGCATGAACATCTCTAGTCTCCAGCAGCAAACAGATGCAAATGGCAACACTGTCTTACATGTTGCTGCCTCCATGGCTTCTTGTGCTCCGGTGAGTTGTTTTCTTTTTGTTGCTCTTGTATTCTTTTTGGTGGCATCTCCTCTCACATACCTCTACTGAATAAATTGCAGCTGATACGTTACATTGTGGGCAAGAAGATAGTAGATATCAACTATAGGAACAAGATGGGTTTTGCGGCTATTCACCTTCTCCCTAAAAAAGCTAAAGACTTTGAGTTGTTATCAACCTGGCTGAAGCTGGATACCGAGCTGGATTCTGATCAGAGCAGTGAAGAATACGTCGATGTACCCTCTAAAGTCACCAATCCATACCACAAACGATCTCTGGAACGCGTTAAGTCTTTAGAGATCTCCGGAAGCCGTAAAGAGAAGGAGGTAACACGGTTGCTTAAGATAATCGAAGCGAACACATCAGAGATAGCACAGATAAACCGAGGCAAGAATGGTGCTGCGGAAAGAGGCCGTAAGAGCTTGGAACATGAGATGCATATAGAAGCACTACAAAATGCAAGAAACACGATTGCGATAGTGGCAGTCTTGATTGCTTCAGTTTCTTACGCCGGTGGATTAAATCCTCCGGGAGGCGTTTACGAAGCAGAGGCGGGACCATGGAGAGGGAAGTCGATGGTAGGCAAAACGACAGCTTTTAAAGTCTTTGCGATATGCAACAACATCGCACTCTTCACGTCCTTGTGCATCGTTATTCTTCTCGTTAGCATCATACCTTACAAGAGTAAACCATTAAAGAAACTACTGGTGGCCACGCACAGGATGTTGTGGGTTTCTGTAGGGTGCATGGCAACAGCTTTTGTTGCTGCATCTTGGATTACCATACCGCGTTACGACGGAACAGGCTGGTTGTTTCCGGCCATTGTCTCGGTCGCTGGTGGATCGTTGACGGTGCTCTTTTCTTATCTCGGAGTTGAGACCATTGGTCATTGGTTCAAGAAGATGAATCGTGTAGAAGATCTACCGATTTATTTAAAAAATACAAACCGTGTAGGAGATATTCCTCCCTTTGCAAGGACCAGCTCAGATCATCTGGCCGCCTCCACATTATGTAAAAGTAAGAGTGAAGGAGATTTGCCATGCCTTGCAAGGACTAACTCAGATTTGGCCGTCTCCAGAAGATCAGGCTATTTCACCTATTGAATCTTGTGGGATAAATTGTTACTCTCTTGTGTGAAAAACTGATACAGTGATGTATGTCTATCAGACTGTTGGATTACCTCTTTTTTAAGGAGCTGTGTAGATTACTGCAAATCCCAACCATGAACTTAGAGATTCACACAAATAAACTAATTGACCTGAAAAACATAGTAGAGCAGAACAGAGATCGATTACACAGTAACTCTTGTCTGAAACAATCTATCCTCACTTCTCAAGCCTTGAGAGCACACTATAAGCAGGGATTTTCCGAATTCCAGCTTGTATCATGTCTTTCCTAATCTGTTCTGCTTCTGCCCAATTGCTCTCCAAAGCATTTAATGTTGACAACGCCACGTACTGGCCACAGTGTTGAGGTTGTAGTCCAATAAGCGTTTTCCCTACTTTATTTCCTAATTCAGAATCCTCATGAATCTTGCAAGCCCCCAAAAGAGCTCCGAGCACAGAAGCATCAGGCTCCACTGGCAAATTCTTTATGAAATTCACCGCATCAACTAGTAGACCAGCTCTGCCAATGAGATCAACCATGCAAGCATAATGCTCTGATGTTGGAATGATCTTGTACTCGCTACATACGGAAGAGAACAACTGGATACCTAACTCCACAAGTTTAGATCGAGAACAAGCCGTGAGCACTGCAGTTAAAGTGATCCCATTAGGACGCACATTCTTCGCTTTCATCATCTCAAACATCTCCAGAGCTTCCTTAGGTCTACCATTGGAAGCAAGAGCAGATATTATCGCATTCCAAGTGAAAACTTCTTTCTTACGAATTCGGTTGAAAATGGTCAATGCCATCTCCAAGTGACCGGCTTTTCCATACATATCGAGCAAAGCAGTACCTAAAGTAGCAGTGAGGATGATCTCTTTCCTCATAACATAACCATGAATCTGCTTCCCCAAATGAACACCTCCTTGATCCAAATTAGCACACGAAGAAAGTACACTAACTAAAGTAGCCTCGTTCGGAGGTATTACCACTATCATCTCCCTAAAAAGCATTACAGCCTTGTCGTGTAACCCGTTCTTACCAAACCCGTTGATAACAGTAGTCCAAGAGACCACATCAGTTACAGGCATTCTCTGAAACAACTCGAAAGCAGAATCCATCTCTCCGTTTCTTCCACAAGCGTCAAGCATACTGTTACACTCTATAACACAAGGGTGTGCAATCTCATCAAACATCTTCCTCGAGCTTCTCAAATCGCAAACTTCACCATAAAACCGAACAAAAGAAGTCTGAACATATGGGTCAGATAAAACACCCCGTTTGAGAGCTTGCCCATGTAAGGCAACACCTGTAGAAACGGAGAAGGAAGAGTGAGCTGCTTTTATGAGAGAAGGGAAAGTGAGGTCGATTGGTTGGATGTTGCTTGCAAGCATGTGGGTGAAGAGAGCAAGAGAAGTCTTGTGTTGTCCTGTAGTGAGGTAGGATCGAATGAGAGTGTTGTAAACGAGTATCGTCTTCCGTTGAGAAGAGACTAATGCGTTGCTGGTCAAGAGGACGCTGTGAATCTGCTTAATCTGGTTTGAGGAGTTGATGAAACGTTGGAGAAGATCAAGTGCCTCCTTAAGAGAGAAACTGAAACTCGGCAAGGAAGTAGAAAGCATGCCGATTTGTACAAAGATTGACCAATCTACAAAGCAAAACCAAAAAAATGGTGACTTTAGGCTGCAAATTCAAAAAGATATGAATACCAAAATACAAAAAAACGACGAGCAATTAAGCAGTGTTACTTACGTATATCGCATCTGGCGAAAAACTCGTTGTAGAAGATGAAAATACAATTCACAATTTTCTAAGAAATATACAAATTAAAAATGTGAAAGTCGAGAAATTCTCGATCGGCTTTGAGCCCAGAAGACGACGGAAAGTTTTCTAATTTCAATTGTCAGTTTATCGAGAGGGAGCAGCTCCGAGCAGCAATTTGGAGTCTCCGATGTCGTCAATTTGTAAACCAACTATGCTCTACGGTTTGGTATGGTTTGATTGATCCGATTTTATGTCGATTTCAGTCGATTGTGTACAAATTTGTCTTTTCTTCGATTTGGTTACATTAATTCGGTTTCGGTTCAGTCTAACCGAATTGGCACCCCTAATAAATGTCTTTTTCTGTTTGTTTTCCAATTCCGACTTGGAATTTTTTTTCCGGCGACAGTGTTTAATCAACCGCAGAGCGAGAGGTTAACGCTATCGAAATAATGGAGCAAGAGAAGGAAAGGGAAGTAGGAGAGGGATCCGAAGAAGCGGCGAGAGGGAAGGAAGGGTTTGAAGAGGATACAGAGAGAACGGCGGAGATGAGCCGTAAGGAGAAGCGAAAAGCGATGAAGAAATCAAAGAGGAAGCAGGTGAGGAAGGAGGTAGCGGAGAAGGAGAGAGAGGAGGCGGAAGCGAAACTAAACGATCCGGTCGAACAGGAGAGGCTGAAGGCGATTGAGGAAGAGGAGGCGCGGATGAGAGAAAAGGAGCTCAGGGAGTTCGAGGAGAGTGAGAGAGCTTGGAGAGAGGCTATGGAGGTGAAGAGGAAGAGAGAAGAGGAAGAAGAAGCGAAACGGGAAGAGGAAGAGAGGCGTTGGAAGGATCTAAACGAATTGAGAAAACTCGAGGTACTGCTTTGTTTTTTTGTCAATTTCTTCACTAGTATCAAGCTCCCTTTGGTTACTGCTGAATTCATGGAGGAGATCTTAAGCTTGAATTGGATGTCAATCCGTGAGCTTTATTTACAAACCCTTTTTGCTTCCTTTGGGCAGGCGAGTGGGAGTGATAAATGTGGCGAGGATGAGGATGGTGAATATGAATATATTGAAGAAGGGCCTCCAGAAATTATATTCCAGGGGAATGAGATCATCCTTAGGAAGAACAAAGTGAGGGTTCCAAAGAAATCAATAGTTCAGGTGGATAAAAATGAGGTACTTGACCATCTTAAGGTGGATTATACCATATGCAGTATCTTGATTTTCTTTTAGAGTTCCAATGTAGAGTTTGTTTTGAAGATTGATGACAGCCCTACATCAAATCCTTTACCTCCGGGAACCAAAGCTTGTGCCGATCATCAGGGTGTTGGTTCTGCGCAACAGCTTCAGGGGAATGTTGCACAAGAAGCACCCAACTTTGGAACTGAGCAGGTGACTTTTGTATTTCTTGATTGAGATGGTATTACTGGGTATGTATCGTTCTTATGTTCCTTTTACTAAATCCGCTTTGTTGGTTTTCTCAATTCCCAGGACAAAGCTCATTGTCCTTTCCATATGAAGACTGGAGCTTGTCGATTTGGCCCGCGTTGCAGCAGAGTTCATTTCTACCCAGATAAATCGTGCACTCTACTGATGAAGAACATGTATAATGGTCCTGGCATTGCGTGGGAACAAGATGAGGGGCTTGAGGTCTGTTCGTGATGCTTGTATCCTGATAATAATTACCTCTTCTCTACTACTATTGCCTTTCATTATCTGAATCGAAATCACCATAGTTCCTCTGCCTCTTTTTGGTTTGTTTTGCTGTTTGTTTCTTTATTATCGTTACCATATTCTTTAACTTACATCAGACATTGATGGATGATTCCCTTTATTGGAGGTGCATGATTATAACCTGGGCTGGTTTGGAGTTGCGGTTGACTTCTTTGTATCCTACTTGATTGATAGATAGCTATTATGTGTTTGTGATCTTTATCACACAAATTGTTGTCTTGTATTAGTGCCTCTCTCTTGCCTTCGTAGCTATACTATAGACACACTTTCTTTCATAGACATCATTTCTAGTGATTTGAATGTCTTCTGATTTTCTCGTGGGAATTAGCGATATGTGATAAATGATATATCGGGAATGTTTGATTTTCCTGAATTAAGAACAGAACAGTGTCCTTCATGCGGGCTGCTGCATTGGGCTATTAGTGTCTGAAAAGAAATTAATACGGTTATTATTTCGTAAGGCCGTAGTTATCCTGGTTTGGTTAATATTAGAACTACTGGACCTAACGTGCATTATATTTCACCTGGTTTCCTTGCTTGTGATCACTTACTATTGTTTACTCTCTCCATCTTTTTTCCTGTCTTCCTTGCAGTATACAGACGAGGAGGCTGAATCTTGTTACGAAGATTTTTATGAAGATGTTCATACAGAGTTTCTGAAGTATGGAGAACTTATTAATTTCAAGGTCTGTTAATTATTTTCTGCTCCTTCACTTCCCTTTACTCTTCCGTTTCCATTATCACCCTTGATGATATACTTAATCTGAATGTTAGTTTCTGAACCTGCAAGCCACACTTGCCTATCCATTATGAAAACTATTGGTTTCCTGCACCTCTTCTCATTATCGAACGAGCAACTGGAACATCCTGTTGTTGACCTTCTCTCCTACCCTTTATTTTCTGAAAAAGAAAATTTTTATGTCCATTTCAGGTGTGTAGAAATGGCTCATTCCACTTGAAGGGCAATGTATATGTACAATACAGATCACTGGAATCAGCTATTCTTGCTTACCAGTCCATTAATGGTCGATACTTTGCTGGTAAACAGGTAAACTGTTTTCCTTGGAAGACTTTCTCCACTTTATTTCCTTGGAAACGTATTTCTGGTTGCTTTTCAGCATACTGACGCTCTTATTCATGATAACTGCACATCTTCATTAGGTGAGTTGCGAATTTGTCAACATCTCAAGATGGAGAGTCGCCATATGTGGGGAGTACATGAAGTCCAGGCTTAAAGTATGACTCTTCATCTGGTGCATGCCTTTGGATTTCGTCTTGTGGCCTTATCTGTAACTCACGATTTCCATGTATTTTTGCAGACTTGCTCTCGTGGATCTGCGTGCAATTTTCTCCATTGTTTCCGAAACCCTGGTGGAGACTATGAATGGGCTGACCATGACAAACCACCTCCACGATTCTGGATTCACAAAATGTCTGCTTTATTTGGTTATTCAGATGAAGACTCGAAGCACATGGAGCGTGAATATTCAGGGACGTCAAATGATTTGAGATCAGACCGACCAACAGATTCACATAGGTAGCTTAACATATCGAAAATCTAGCTTATAAGGATCATGATTTTTGACTAACTTCTCAATGTATTTCCTGCTTAATTTGGTTGTGGACCATCATGCTCATGTGTTTTGTTTCCGTGTCAGACAACCTTCACGAAGATCTAGATCAAGGGACCATGAGCATGTGAACATTGGATCTAAGCCTTCTTATAGAAGCCGTAAGAATCATGGTGATACTCGGGACAGTACTCATGGACACAAACTTAGTAGGCATGACGAGAACTCTCATGATGGGGATGAAAGTCCTACCAGTACTAAGGACACATCGCAGCGTGAAAGCAAATGGTCTGAGCACTCTCCTGGACATCGGGTGACAAGAAAGAGAATCCATGGGAGGTATGCTGATGATAGTTCTCCTGATGGAGATTACGATGCCAGGAGAGAGAATGGTGACAAACGGAGAAGGTCGAGGCGTTATAGCAGAAGAGGCTCAGATTCAGAAGTTCAAGAACGGCTGGAAGATGAAAAGGATACGAGAACCCACCGGTCTAGCTCTGACAGGAGATCAAGAAGAGAGAATAGGGGGGGATCATCAGCTGATCGGGAGGAAAGTCATGAACGTGATATGGTTTATGATAAGTCGCAGAGAGAAAGATCAAAACATCGGCGTGAAAGAAGCAGCTCAAGATATTCGCACGAGGAACATTCGAGTGAAAGTAGACATCGTCCGCGTAAAGGATCAGATCGTCGAGACGATGGGACAAATGAGAGGAAGAGGAGTGTGGAAACTAGCCCCAGAGAGTATGAGTCAGATGAATATAGGGACAGAAGCAAACAGAGACATAGGTACAAGACTCGAGACTCTGATTCTGATGGGAGCAGGAAGAGAAAACGACGTGGAAGAAGCTCGGGAAGTAGTGTTAGCGTCCAAGAATCGCAAGAGCTCAGCAGGATTCGAAAGAGGGATAATGAAAGTGACTCCTCAAGTGAAGAGAGTTGGGATAGAGAAACATACAAAGAGAGACCTCATCGCCGTAACAAAAGAAGAAGGTCGCAACACTCGCACGACCAGACTCCTAAATTTCATGAAGAATCAGAGGAAGACGAAGGAGAGTTTGAGCGTTGGAGACCAATGTAATCTAAGCTAAGACATGTTCGTGTGACTGAATGAGACTGATTAGCACGAACATGGATCATTTAAGTTTTTTTTTAAGTTAAAAGAGTATAATTTGGATATATCGCAAACAAAAATATTTTAATAATTTTCAAAGTAAATAAATGAATGACATAAATATAATACGTGGCAAAAATGTGTGCATATGTGTGTATGTATACATTCTTCGCGGCACATTTCGCACCGTAGAAGAAGAAGTGAATCGGCCAGTGGCTGCACCGATGACGATAGCGACGCCTTTCAGTGGGGCTGCGAACTCCGTTGCGGCGGCGAGGACCGTTCTGATAACGGGAGTGAGCAAAGGGCTGGGAAAAGCCCTAGCTCTGGAGCTGGCGAATAGAGGTCACACTGTGATTGGATGCGCTCGTACTCAGGAGAAGCTCACTGCTCTTCAATCGGAGATTTCCTCTCCGGCCAATCATCTCCTTCTCACCGTCGATGTGGTAATTCCCGTCATCCGGACTCTCGTGCTTGAATTCTTCCTTGATCTATCTGTAATTCACTCGGCATTTCTGGTCGTATTTGTGGAAGAATGAAATTTTCTGGATATTGATTGGGAGTGTTTATGATTGATGACATTCTGTTGTTTCTTTTCACGTGGAGTGTATCCACAAACGTACATAACCGAATCAATTATTGGAAAGCTCTATGAATTTCGATGTGGTAGTTCTTGGAATTAGGTGAACTATTGTGCGTTCTGCTGCCAAGTTAGCCTTTTTGAACTTAGCAAGATTTATGATTGATGTTCTCAGAAATCAAACAGCAGTGTGGAAGAGCTGGCACACACAATTATGGAGAAGAAGGGTGTCCCAGATATCATAGGTATGTTTTAGAACCTTTTCTGACACTTTGCCTTTACAGTCTTCATTTTTTTCCCCTGAAGACAACAGCTTTCAAAGTTCCAGCCTTGTGCACAACTATATGAGCATGTCATGGTATTTGAATCTTGTAACTATCAGTTGCTTTAGAGAAATCATTAGGTTACATGATCATAATGTCCTGCACGTTTCTATAATTATCAGGCACACTGTTTGGCATCATTTTTAGTGTAACTTTTTGTAGTCTTAGATGTTGGTAAATGCTTGTTGCAGTTAACAATGCTGGTACCATCAATAAGAACAACAAGATTTGGGAGGTCTCTGCAGAAGATTTTGACAATGTTATGGATACAAACGTTAAAGGAGTGGCGAATGTGCTGCGCCATTTTATCCCTTTGATGCTCCCACGGAAGCAAGGGATCATCGTGAATATGTCTTCTGGATGGGGAAGATCTGGTGCTGCCCTGGTGAGATCACTTTATTCTGATAGTCTCCTTCTGTACTCTGCATTTCGATCTGCACTAGTATGATTTGCGTATCTCAAACATGGTCCCAGTGTGAGGTTAACTCTTGAAACCAAAACTGTGTCTCCAGGTAGCACCGTACTGTGCATCGAAATGGGCGATTGAGGGACTAAGCCGAGCAGTGGCAAAGGAGGTAGGTGAAGGAATGGCAGTGGTTGCATTGAATCCAGGCGTCATCAACACAGAAATGCTCACTTCCTGCTTTGGCACTTCAGCTTCCTTGTATCAAGCTCCTGATGCTTGGTAAGCAACACACCCAACCTCCTCACAACTTTTACAAATATGTATTCGCTTGTCCTTAAGAACTATTATGTTTCATTGTGAACAGGGCTGTGAAGGCTGCGACAATGATTCTAAACCTTACAGCGGGTGATAATGGCGGATCTCTTACGGTCTGATATTGCTAAGGAGCTTCTTCAGCAGAGGGTTATCTAACAACTAAACTACACTTGTCTTTTAATTTCTACTTTTTTTTTGTGTGTGTTAATGTTCTTTTCAATATTAACGAAAGATTATTTGACGAAAATAAAAATCAAATGGAAGTTAAATTGATTCGGTCTGTTATACGTTCTGACAAATATTGAGCCAATCTCGATATTAACAGTATTTGGACAAAGAAATAATCGCTTTCTCGAGAAAAAACATAAGCAATTACAAGTAACACAAGCAAAATTCAAGCAAAATATAAGTAAATTATAAGAGAAAGATAAGCAAAATATAATAAATATGATAAAATGTTATCATGATTGGCTCATATACATATTGTTTTAAATCACTTTACTACCATCAATAATTAAATTAATTCAAAGACTGCCAGGAACTAATTTTTGTTAACACTGATCTGATAAGAAATCACAAATCCAAGACACCAATAATATATCTGTTATATACAATTGGTATGCTTAATTTGTACGTATACACATGTATATTCAACTTCTTTTTGTTTCATATTGGAATATATCTGCGAATGAACGTTAATAAAGGAATTTTGTGTAATAGTTTTTCTCCAAAAAATGTTGTAATGGTTATCTTTGAAATATAAAGGAAAATTCATATAAAAAATATATTTAAGTTAGTAAAAATTAGTTATACTATGAATTGAAGAAATCCAACTGAAAGTGAAATGAAACAAATACCGTCCAATAGATGAAGAACCTCGGGTGGAAGTCGTGATAGAAACTCGGATAAACCTATGCATAGTAAAATAATAATAAAAAAATATATATATAGTTATATGAGCAAATAATCACCGTGACAGCTAGCTGAAGCTGAAGTTTTAGTGAGAAGTTAGCCTAAAATCTGTTACTCTGTTTTCCTCTTTCAACTCAATGTCCAAACAACACTCTGTATAAAGTTCTTAGTGACATTTCTTATAGTCTTTTTATGTAACGGCATTAGTTGGGTTTTACTAATTCTACATAACTACTACTACCAATCGAAACTGGAAACCTTTCACTTTCCACGCGTTACACTAATTAGAGTAATTTTTTAGCGGTATCTGAAGAATTTAAAGGTTCTGTGATGGTATTATTGAAAAGTTTAATGTTTTCATCAAAATAGTTTGATGCTATCAATAGGTTTTTGCTAAAATCTGACAAAGGCTGGAATGTTCAAAGTAGTCGAATTTGGATGAATCTTTAAAATATTGCCACCATTTTAAAAGCATGTTAAAAACTTAAAATATTGCTTATACTTCAGTAAACCACTTCGATATCGGTATGTCAATATTGTGTTAAGCACAGTGGTGTGGTATTTATTGCTTATATTGCTTATACTTCAGTTTTTTTTTTTTTTTTCAGCTTAACTTAAAAACACAATGTTTCTATATCAAACACAATGTTTCTATATCAAGCACAAAGAAAGGGACGAGCATATCTAGTAGCGAATTAAGTTAAATATTTGTTAAAAAAAATTTGGGATGAGATATCAAATTAATTAATCAACTGAAAAAGTTATTTACAAAAGAATGACCAAAACTTCATAGAGAAGTTGTACTTATATACTGTCAATCGTGGACTTCGAACGATCTTCTTAGAAGACCTTCCAATATTGATAAAAAATTTAAAATAATACAGTATCAAACAAATTAATATTGCAAGAAAACATTTGTCCTGGAATACTTGGATCAATGGAATTAACCTCGAAAATCTACAAGGTGTTAATAAAATCCTCATTACAATCTTCCCAATGCTAAAGTTACATATTGAGAAAAAAAAAAGTTAATCAAGACATTTACGTCCTAAAATAAACCAGCAAGTTGTCTTCACTTTCACTACTTGCCAAACGTACTAACGTAGCTTTCACATACTCAAGGGCAACACGTGTGGATGTCTTCTTGTAACAACTGAAGTTATATATCCGGTGTGGTTATATGAATATTCAAACCGAAGTCGAATTAGTTCCGATTCAAATATACAAAAAAAAATATAACACCGGAAATCGCAAATGTCGAGAAAAGCGACACATAGAAGGTAATATACAAAGTCAATAGTCCAAAACTTGATAGTTTTTTGTTTTTTTTTTTGGTAAAATGTTAAATTTTAGGGAAATAGTAGTAACTAACAATAAAAAAACCTGAAATTAACAAACTAACGATTATATCGTGATGGCTAGAATATGGCATGTATTTTATGAAATAATTCCAAAACTGTCCTCCAGATTTCGTTCCCAAATTAGGTCAAAAACAAGCAGTGGGAAACAAAATCAAGGGTTTGGGTTCTCGATTTCGATTGGATCGGAATTGGGTGGTATGGATGAACGACCAACAGTCTCTCCAGTTTCCGTACGTGTCGGAATCACTTTCTTCATCCCGAATTCCAGCAACGAAAGCTTTCGTTATCGCAAGCATTCCTGTTTTTCGTCAGGGGTATTTTCGTCCACAATAGTTCATTTTGGTTACTTATTTTATTTTTTCCTCGCTATGGCTATAAGCTTTATTAAGTGCCCCAATATAGTTATCTAGCAAATTTACCCTAAATTTTATACCAATTTTCAATTGTGACAGAAGTTACAGAGATAACAAAGAAAACAGAAAGACCAAAAACTACAAACAATGGCTAAGATACAACATCAAACAAATAGCAAATGAAAGCGGCAAACTAGACACACGGAGGCTTACCCAGAAGATCTCCGATGAAGAAACACCGATTCCAAACACAAGATTCAGAAATTTGGTTCACTGCCATAATTCCAAAGGAACTAGAGTCCTCATCGTCGTTCCCACGAGCTACCACCATCCAAAGGCCAGTCCTCAAAACCTCTATGATAGCAATGCCTAAAGCTTCTCCGAAGACTAACACAAAAACGGAACCACATCAACACCCTTCACTACCACCGGCGGTATAGGAGCTTCTACGGACAGCCAGAGAAACCGCCTCCGGCCACCAATCTTGAGCTTTAACACTACAAGAAACATCTCCCTCGGAAGTAGCAAAGAGCTGACGCAAAAACCGCCGCCTCTATCCATCACCGGGACACAACCAGAGCTAAATGGAATCGTCGCTTACCAAAATTTCAGCTGCTACAAGAATTGTCGCATAGTAACCTGAAAGGAAAACAAACCGGCAGAAGCTAATGGAGCCACAACAGTGACCAAAACAGAACCGTGAGCTACCAGTCGTCACCGGAAAAACCCAGGCTACGGTCAGCCACCGCCACCAACAAAACCACCGACGGAAACAGATCGAGGAATTAGACCGCGTGAGCCACATCTCCGGCGAACCAGAGACCACGCCGCCGTAGCTCTTGACGAGAACCCGGAAGAAGAGAAAACCAGGACCTTGGACGAAACAGCGGTAGAAGCTCGTCCTCTAAACTTCTACATCGCCAAATGTCCAGATCTGACGGAGCCTTCAACCAGAACGCCGAGAGCAGAGACCAGAGCGCCACATCGGAGGGAGGAGCCGCCACACACCACCACCGCACCGATCCCCATACCATGAGGTGAGAACCACCGCACGGAGCTCGAGCCGTCCGTAAGAAACCCTCACCGAGCAAAATGGAGGGAGAGCCGAGAAGGAAGGAGAAAGGAGAGGGCCTCTCCCGGCGGAGGCGAGGAGCGCTGGCCGCCGGAGAGGAAGATCGAAGAAGCTGGAAAAAAAGTTAGGCGGTGCTGTGGAGAGAAAAGATTTTAGGGCGAACTTATTCCTTGTAGCTTATTCATTCGTCCCTTCATAAACTCATAGCCATTGTTGTTTCGAAAACAATCTATACTAGATGAATAATTTCTTTCTAGATGATGACATATGATCATTTTAAACTCCTCCATGTCCATGTTTTATATATGTTTTAAGTGAAACAATTAAAGCGTAATGAAGATAATATTTAATATATTATAATATTTAGTAAAATTTTAAGCAAACTATAAGCAAACTATAAGTAAAATATAAGAAATATTACAATTTTATCATGTTTTGCTAATATGTATTTTCTTTTAAAAATACGAGCAGTCTCCTTGTGTTACACGTTAAATTGCAAAAGCTGCTTTGATAAACAAAGTTCGTTAAACTGAGGTTTTTAATTTTATGGTTTGCAGTGTCTTTATAATCCGTTGTATCTTAATTCCAATTTAATATTCAATTATTAAAACTAAACATCTACTCTCTCTAGTAACTACTATACCTTTAGATATTTAAAAAAATCGACCGTCTTAAGTCATCGAATTTGAATCACAAAAATTTATGTATAGAAAAAAAAAATCCAAGTAATAAATAGTAAACAAATATGAGTAAGAAAAATAAAAAGACTAAATCTTGATAAATATTCTTCAATCCGTTCTTCATCCGCATATTCCATGCAAGAATCAAATACACATATGAGTCTAGTTTGGATGAATCTTTAAACATTTGCCACAATTAAAATTGCCTTCAGCTGAGACACTCGGAGAAAGATGGTTCCATATAATAATTTCAATTCTTTCAATTTGGTGATAAAGAGAATGAGACATCAGCCATGCAAACAGCTAAGTGTATTTCATAAATAAGATATTACAGTTTACATCAGTTAATCATAATATAAAGCTAGAAAACCAAAATCAAAGTAAGAAAAAAATTCTTAACTGGTAACCCAACTCAACTCAGGATGCAGAAACAACAAATGAAGAAAACGGATATACAATACTACGAATGTATTTAGGAGCTCCCTGTTTATTTTTTCTTACTGGCCGTCACAGTTAATAAACTGAACACTGGGAATATGTTGGACTTTGCGGTAATCTTCCCCACCTGGCACCAATTTCTCTGACCACTCCCTCTTCATTCTCTCTATCTTCACTTCCTTTAAAGATGTTACGTACGTGAGCCCATCTGGAAGTTCTTTCAACTTCTTGCAGTTATCTATAGTCAACGTACGAAGACATGGCATCGACCCTTCTTCTACTCTCCACTCCACCAGTTCTTTCTGATAAGACATCTTTAGAGCACATAGTTGAGGAAACCCACCTCTTGAGCACACCATTCTCCTCCCCAAGAAGGCACCAGACGAAAAATAAACCGACTTCAAACGAAGCAACTTTTCAAGAATCGGTATTGGATCTTCCTCCATACGGCATCCGATTAGCCATATGTGCTCAAGCTGTGGAGGGAATAGATTCTGTTCTGGAAACCTTGGCATATGCATGGACAATGTCAAGTCCTTTAGATGAATAAAATCAAGAACCATCTCACCTCCATGATCAGCCGCACGGACTTTTTGGCGATCATATAAACCAAGGCTCTCAAGATTTCTCAACTCATGAAGAGATGAAGATAGAGTTTCAAACGTACACCCGCCACTGATATTCACACTGAGAACTCTTAGCTTAGTCATGCAGAGGAGGTCAGTCACACTAGTGTGTTTCGTTGAGAAATTCGTCAATGACTCAAGATTCACTAGATCACCCAACTCCAGCTCTGTTTTATCAGACACTGAACGAGGTAAGACAAGGTGCTTCAGTTCTTGCATCTCTTTCAAGACATTTGGCACATGAACAAGGTGTAACAGATCAGCAACACCTAGGTTCAAACATAGCATAAGCTTTAAGTTCCGCAGAGAAGAAGGGAGATGAGATACTCCAGCCTCGTACAAGCTCAAGAATCTCAAGTGGATGAGCATACCAATGCTTGAAGGTAATTTCCCACCTCTAAACTTCACGTAAGAAAGATCTAACACTCTGAGCAATGGTAGACTTCGGAAACTTGGAGGCTTCCAAAAGTTTCCATCGACTCCAAATGTCAAAACAGATCTTGCTTTTCTATTGGTTTTATCATGTCCCAGCATATCAAGTGCATTACCACTATGTATAACGAGTCTGCGTGATCTACAAGCATTGATGGTAAAAGTGGAAGTTGGGACTCTGATGAACTGAAGAAAGTTCTCTTCTCTGGCTTTAGATAAACATACCTCTCTCATCATGTCATGCATTTGACAATGTTCCATTCTTGAAGTCGAATAGCTTTCTTCAACAATAACCATGTTTCTCCTTACCAGCTCTTCTAGGTGAACTTCTCCACTATCTTGAATGGTTGATCCATCATACAACGAGGTTATTATTCCTTCTGAAACCCAATAACTGAACAATGTCTTTACTTCTATCTTGTAATCTTCAGGGAAATGGGCTAGGTAAAGGAAACAGTGCTTTAGCTGCATCGGCAGATCTTCGTAGCTCAGAGACAATACTCGGTAAACCGAATTGGGATTGTTGTCATTTAAGCCAGATTCTCCTACGATGTGAGTTCCAATATTGTCATACACTCTTTTCCATTCAAGAACTGTGTGTTTCTTAGCTAACAAGCCACCCAAAACTTTAACAGCTAACGGTAGTCCTCCACAATATGTGACCATTTTCTTACCCATGGCTTCTAATTCTTCAGCAGCCCTAAATTCTGCAAACCATCACCAAGCAATATATATTTTCAGACATGAGTCTTCACTCTTGACATAAGTATGTTGTGTAATAGTCTAGAATATTTTTGATATAAACATATGAAAACGCAACTTTATGGTACCTGATTCATTTCTTCTAGGGAATAATATGCCCTGACATAGCTCCCAACTTTCTTCTGGAGTAAGGGTTCTTGGTCTAAAGGCATAACATGATGGATCTGCATGTAACCCAACACTCTCATTGCGTGAAGTAAGTAGCATCTTCCAAGCTGCAAAAACATATCAAGTTTCATAAATATGACCTCGTGTGTGTGTGCAGCTCTCGTAGTGGAAATTTAAACAATAAGGCTCTCACCTCTTTTCTTGGGAAACACGTCACTGATTCTGTCCCAGTCTTCTTCTTTCCATATATCATCGAGGACAAGCAAGTATCTACCGGTTTCCAACAGTTTAAAGACTTCACCCTGGAGTGTATGCTCGTCCATCTGCATGACATCTTCATCATGTGGTCTAAGATCTTGCAAGATCCTCTGCCAAACATCCTTCCGCCTAAACTGTTGCGATACACAGACCCATGAGAACCCATCAAAGTGACGCCGGACTATGTCATGATGAAAAACTTTTCTGGCGAGAGTGGTTTTGCCAATACCGCCCATCCCGGATATAGAAACCACTTGAACGTTTTCATTCTCCACCAGATGACAAACCAACTCTCCAACACTCTGCTCAACTCCCACAAGATCGCTTTCGGATTTGTAAGAAAACGTTTGTCGGATCTCCCTATGCTTCCTTTGTGTGTCTTGCAGTGTCAGTGAGCTTCCACCGTTGATAATCTCTTGTAATCCAAAACTCTGCATTCCCTCAGTCTCCTCGGAGATCCTCTTTGTTGTGCTTTCGATGTCTAAAGCGAATCTCCGGCGATCCACTAAGAAGCAAGCAAGTCTTTTCACACTGTTCTTGATCCCTTTTTCGTTTCTTCCTCGAAATTCTTTGAGGAGAAAGGATTCGATTATGTCTTCAGCATCGTAGACAATGTTCTTGACATTTTCCAAGAAGTTTCTCACCCTTTCACTCTCATATTTCTTGGCATGAGCATCTTTCAACAAAGACTGTAACCTTCCAAGCTGACGTTTTAGTCCAGAAACTTGGTCTTCTATGCCACTCAATCGTTCAGATTCTCGACTCAGAAGCTCCCAAAGCTTTTCAACTCCGAACGACACAACTGCCTCAGCCATAACCCTTTTGGAGAAATCATTCAAGTTAGATTTGTAACCTCTCTGAAATAAGTAAAACAGAATAAAGATTTTTTTTTAATATAATTTTAATTCAAACAAACCTGTAAACAAGTTTTCAGATCCGTACTTGTACTTAACAAAGGGAACATATTCAAATTCATGAAACACGATCTCCTAATAATTCATAGATTTATTTTGAAGCAGATTCGGAGTAAAGTCAGCTTTAATTTGCCACAGAAAAGTACAAGTGATGGATCAAAGCCAACAAGTAGAAAGAAAATATTTATATGAAATCAAGAAATAACAAGATTTACCTTCTCTGAATCAGGTTTGCCACTGGTTACGATCTTCTGTGGAAGAAGAGGGATGAATTATTTTTTAAGAGTCTAGTTGACTTAAAGTCAAGCTTATCCAGCTACTAATCCGTTGGCTGAGGCTTGTTATATCTCTTCATTTTGATCAGATAAAAGATACCAATTTTAGTCAAGAAAATTAAATTAGATGAATATTTAAATTAAGAATGAAATTAAGTCCACTACAATTTTACATAAGAATATTTCGTAAAAATGTGCGACATGTGAGAAATCGAATTACACAAACAAAAGAGAAAGAGCTTATCACATCATCACATTATCTCATGCACACACACACACACGGATATTGGACGTTCGATTTGTTCAGGATTGTTTCTCTTCAGCAGAGATTTGCCTGACAAACCAAAAAAATAAGTATGTAAGAGCTGAGCAATAATAGTAGAATAATCGTTGGATGTTCACACCAAGATATCCAAGTATATGATGAATAGCCAGCAAATGAAAAGAGTGGACATAATACAAATTAAAAAAACTTACTTGATACGGTTCAGTTGCCACGACTTGGACAAGAGGAATGTGTTGGACTTTGCAGTAGTCTTCTCCTCCTTCAGACAACTCCTCCTTCCATCTCACATTCCAGTATACAATTGTCAGTTCCTTTAAAGATGTTATGTATCTGAGCCCATCAGGAAGCTCCTTCAGTTTTCTGCATGCAATTATAGTCAAGGTATGAAGACACGACATGGAGCCTTGTTCTATTATCCACTCTTCCAACTCCTCTTGTCCACACACTTTTAGCACACACAGCTGAGGAAACCCGCCTTTCGAGCACAGCATTCTCTTCCCAGTGAAAACACAATATGATAGTTCAACCAACGTCAAGTGAAGCAACTTCTCAAGAACCGGCATCGGATCCTCCTCCATGCGGCAATACCGAAGACATATGTGTGCAAGGTTTGAAGGAAATCTATGTTGATCAGAAAACCTTGGCATCCGAATGGCCAACACCAGAGATTTGAGATGAATGAAATCAAAAACAAATCTTCCTTCATCATGCCCATCTTGCTTGACCTCATGTAATGAAAGCTGCTCAAGCTCTCTCGATTCACAGAGACACGAAGATAGAGTTTCCAAAGTACACCCATCAAGGGAATGGACGATGAGAGTCCTGAGCTTAGTCATACAAAGGAAGTCATTCACGCTACTGTTCTTTGTTGAGTAGCCGATCAATGTCTCTAGGTTCACCAGATCACATAGCTCCAACATTGTTTTATCATCCATCAAAAAAGGTAAGAAAAGGTACCTCAGCTCTCGCATTTCTTTCAAGACATTTGGCACATGAACTGATACCCCACCGACACCTAGGTTGAGATAAAGCAGAAGCTTCAGATTCCGTAGAGAAGAAGGAAGATGAGATACTCCAGCCTTGTACAGGCTCAAGAATCTCAGATGCACAAGCTTTCCAATGCTGGATGGTAATTTCCCTCCTTGAAACTTGGCTCTAGAAAGATCCAACACCCTGAGCAACGGTAAACTCCCGAAACGTGAAGTTGATTGTATCCAAGAAGCTTCTTTCTTGGTCATGAAAAACAAAAGCGATCTAACTTTCTTAAACTTTTCAAGTCCCAACGTTTCAAATGCATCACCATTATGTATGGCCAGTCTGCGACAGCTACTACGGAACTGAGCATTGATGGTAGAGGTAGATGTAGGAACCTTGACGATTTTTAGGAAGTTATCTTCCTCTGCTTTAGACAAACAAACTCCTCGCATGACGTCGTGCATATGACAAGATTCAAATCTCGAAGTCGAAAAGCTTCTTTCAGCGATGACCATATTTCTTCTCACCAGCGCTTCTAGGTAACCTTCTGCAATACCTTGAATGGTTGCTCGATCATATGTCGTTATTAGTCCTTCTGCAGCCCAGTAGTAAAACAGTGTCTCCACATCTATCTTGTAGGTTTCAGGGAAATGAGCCAGGTAAAGGAAGCAGTGCTTTAACTGCATTGGCAAATCTTCATAGCTCAGAGACAAAACTCGTTTAACTGAACTGAGATTTTTGTCATCTAAGCCATATCCTCCTACGATCTGAGTTCCAATGTTGTCATACACTCTTTTCCACTCGATCATTGTATGTTTGGTAGCTAACAACCCTCCCAACACTTTAATGGCTAAAGGTAGTCCTCCACAGTATGCAACCATTTCCTTACCCATAGCTACCATTTCTTCATCAACCCTAAACTCTGCACACGACCACAAGGCTCAACTCTTAGAATCATGACATTGCACGAGGATATTGGATGCAGAAGATTATTAATATAAACATCTTAACAACTATAATCAACAGAAAAGAAAAAGGGAGACAAATTTGCAACATCCTCGTACCTGCTTTGCCTTTCCCAGGAAATGCTATTCTTTCGCATAGAATCCAACTTTGTTCAGGAGTAAGGGTTTTTGGTCTAAAGGAAAAACATGATGGATCTGCATGTAAACCAACACCCTCATTGCGGGAAGTAAGTAACATCTTCCAACCTGCAAAAATAATTATGATTGTAAAGGCATGCACATGAACTACATGTGCGTAGAAACGCTGCATTTTAGTGGATTATAGCTCACCTCTTTTCTGTGGAAACACTTGTTTTATTCGATCCCAGTCTTCTTCTTTCCATATATCGTCCAGGACAATCAAATATCTGTCGGTTTCCAACAATTGAAAGAGTTTACCTTGTTGTGTATACTCATCCATCTGTAACATCTCCCCATCCTCTGGTCTAAGATCTTGCAAGATCCTCTGCCAAACATGATTCTGTGTAAACTGTTGCGAAACATAAATCCATGCAAACCCATCAAAATGACGTCGTACAATGTCATGGTGAAAAACTTGTCTGGCCAGAGTGGTTTTACCAATACCGCCCATCCCGGATATAGACACCACTTGAATGTCATCATTACCCACCAGATGACCAACCAACTCTTCAACACTCTGCTCCACCCCAAGAAGATCGCTTTCAGAGTTGTTAGGGTATGTTCGTCGGATCTCCGTTTGACTCTCTTGAAAAGACAGTGAACGCCCACCATCAATCATCTCTAGTATTCCAAAACTTTGCATCCCCTCAATCACCTCAGATATCCTCTTAGTTATGCCTTTGATATCTGAAATCACTTTCCGGCGATCCACTAAGGTACAAGTAAGTTTTCTAATCTGTTTGTTAATCCCTTTCTCTTTCCCTCGTCCTTCTTTCATAAAAAAAGTTTCGATCAAATCTTCAGCATCATAAACAATGTCTTTGACATCTTCCAAGAAGTTTCTCACCCTTTCACTTTCAATTTTCTTGGCATCTGCATCTTTCAACAAGGAAAGCAACCTTCCCAGCTGAGTTTTTAGCTCAGCAACTTGCTTGTGGGCTCCCTGCAATTTCTCAGATTCTCGACTCAGAAGCTCCCAAAGCTTCTCAAGTCCAAACGACACAACTGCTTCAGCCATAACCCTTTAGGAGAAAAGACAAATCGTTCTAATGAGACTTGAAACCTCTAAAACAGAACAGGTTTTAATTATAACTTTTATTCAAACAAACCTGTGACAATTTTTCATATATAAGCACAGAAGTTCAACCATCAGAAGAACCCACAATCACAAGTCAAAGATTCTTGGAGAAAATGTCTAAAACCTTATATATACAGATCGTTTCTACTGAGACATGAATCCTCCTTAAAGTTGAATACAATATTTTATCATATCCAAAACCAAAGACAACTTTTTTTAACCATGACTGTGATTCAAGTTCGAGAAAAGAAAAAAAAATCAGATTCGTGTAACAAGACTTCCTAATCATTCAGACATAGATCAAAGCATAGCAAGAAGAATGAACCGTTTACCTCTCGTCTGAAACACACAGCTTGTTTTTGGAAGAAAATAGGAGATTTTCTAGTCCACAATGACAATGACTCGTTAGCCATTATAAAACACACTTTTTTCATTATCATTCAAGGGAAATTACAAAAAGACCCAACCCTGACCAGTTTAATACTAAGTAGTTAACTATATAGAGGGTCTAATCATATATATGGTTGCCAATTAGTTCAACCATAATTAGAATGCCAGAGACTACAGTTACATTCACAGTGACACAGTGTAGATATATATAGCCGCAGATATTTGGATCGATACCTAAAAGATAAACAGTGCCATATTACTCTCTCCATGTACACCTTTGCACTTGGCCATTCATAGCTGTCTCCAAGAGATTAACCATCAAAAATCAGAACCATCTAAATAATAACCATATTGATCATTCATAGCTGTTTCCAAGAGATTAACTTGATCGCAAATATCGAGAAAAGCAAGACATAGATAGTAAAAAAAAGGTACTATTAAAACCGAAACTTGATAAATAGATATTCTTCCGTTCCTTCATAAACTCATAGCCATTGTTTAGAAAAAAAGCAGACATGGTGTTCCTTAGATACTAAAAGAATAAGCGTCGACCTTGAATCACAAATTAACGTATAGAAAAAAAAATCCAACTAATAAATAGTAAACATATAAGTAAGAAAACCATAAATATTCTTCAATCCGTTCTTCATCCGCATATTCCCTGCAAGAATCAAATACAACACATTATTATCTCTATTATGATCCAATGGGCAAGCGAATAATTCACACTCTTCGTCACAAACAAAACAAGTGAAAGACAAATGTCTTATAACAATTAGCCATTGTTTACAAAAGAATTAAGTAAAGTACCTTAATGACTGGTTTCAACGCCTCTGAGTTTTTCCATTCCCTCTTATCCCTGAAAACAAGTGTTTTGGTTTAAGGCTTGGTATAACTCTGTCAGCTTCTCCACGACGTGCAGCTTTGTCCCTCTTTCTGTGAGATTTATTCCCAATCTTTATAGCCTTTATCTTCTGGGAAGAGTCTTTGAACCCTTCACCTGCCAAAACTTCATGTGGAGGCCGTGACACTGATCTTGATCTTGACAAAGATCTTGATTTGGACCTCATACAAAGCTTCTTCTTCTTCTGTTGCTCATCACTCATATCCGCATCCATTTCATCTTTACCCCAATCATCACCATCTCTCTCCCTCTTTCTGCCTCTTGATTTGCTTCTTGCACGGTCCATAGCAGAAGAAGGATCAAGACCAAGTGATGATAACTCTCTACCAAGTCTCTCCCTTGTAAACTTCTTATCCTTGTTAAACTTCCTCGGAACAGTCGCTCTGTTTTGTGCATTGCTCTTCTTGAGTCTATGCTCTCGAATAAGCAAAGCTTTCTTCTTACGAATAGCAGCCAACTGGCTCTTCTGCTCCTCCGTAAGCTCCTCGCCGTCAATCTCAACACCATCCTCTTCATCACGACCCTGCCTGAGATCTTCTTCTCTTTTCAACTCCTCAAGCCTAATCAAAATGTCTGGATCAACAAAATCAGCAACGTTATGACCATCACAAATCTCAGGTATCACATCATCCTTCCACTTCTCATCAGCCAAGATGTAGTTCTTCTTCAGACTAGCGGAATAAACACCAGCTCCACCATTTTCATCTTCCAAATCCTTCTCCGTCTTTCGCTTCTCCTTCTCACCAGCAGCTACCACCTGAGGTACACAAGATGGCCTCTCTTTGTCATCACGAAGCTTCGGCATCGCCACGTGGAACCTGTTCAAGTGCTCTTTAACGTTTCTTGATTTCATCTTCGCCTCTACCCTTTGATCTAACAGCATCTGACAAGCAGCATTCTTCACTGACATCACACCTTCTTCCGTCAGAGTACTCATATTCAAAACCACTGCCTCTTCCTTCCCTCCCACTGCACCTCTCATCTCTTCAATCAGCTTCACATCTTCATCAGACAGGCTTTCCACGGACACCAGATCAGTCTTGTTGCAGACAATCACCAGCGGTTTGTTCATGAACGAAGGCTTCAAGCTGTGGAAAAGAGCAGCCTGCTGAGCAATGCTGTAGCCACAAGAACCCGAAACATCAAGAAAGAACAAAACCGCTGCTCGAAGATGAGACAAGGCAGTGATACTACACATCTCAATGATGTTACGGTCTTCAATCGGCCTGTCCAAAACCCCCGGCGTATCGATAACCTGATACCTCAAGCACTTGTAATCAGTATGACCAACAAAGAGAGACTTTGTAGTGAAAGCATATGGCTGAACATCCACGTCAGCTCTTGTAACCTTGTTCATGAAAGAACTTTTGCCAACGTTAGGGCATCCACAGATCAACAGAGTTCGAGTGTTGGGGTCAATGGAAGGAAGCCTCGCCATGTGTTGCCTAACCTGCTCAAGATAAGCCAAACTAGGACCTATCCCTTTCATGGCAGTACACATCCGACCAAGAGCAGAGACTTTTAACGACTTGCATCGGTAAAGAGAGTCACCATACTTGACTAGCTTCACATAGTCGCTGGCGATTTTGGTGATGAGATTCTTGGCGGTGTTGAGCTGGCCGAGAGCGAGCTTATAGTGATCTTTGTCGTAGAGGACGTGGAGAAGATCGCCGTAAAAGGGATGTATGGCATCGAGGCGAGGAAACTCGTCGATAATGGTGGAGAGCTTCTCGACGAAGTTTTTTTGAGTGAACTTGACTTTCCTCATGTAGAAGCTACGGAGATCGCTGATTCTGTTGCTCTTGTGGATAACAGTTGGTGTCTGGCGCTGAGTGCGTGAAAGGGTGATGTCAACAAACTGTTTTCCATTTGGCACAACAGTTATCGCCTTGAAATTATACTTCACCATTGTTTCTGCTCTGGCACAAATAAAGGATAAATTTATCACCATGAGAACTATTACATAACAGAGAGATGAAGAGCATAAAAACATAAAAATATTTCAATGACACAATCCACATCACAAGATTCCCTCAAACTATATGATCAGAATCTCCAGAAGTGGACCTGAACTATAAATCTATAATAAACAAAATTATGTATGTAACAGAACATTTCGAGTTTTATTTAAATCAGACGAAAACAGTAAGATAGTAGTAATGAATCATCAACGAGAGAGCTGCTAAAATTCTATGAATAATGACAAAGCTAGGAAGAGAACAAGACAATGAAAACAGAGTTTGTAAAATATGATTAGAAATAAAAATTGACGGCAAACAGACACGAAAGAACACCTCAGACGAAGAAGATAAGACAGAGTTTATAAGAAGATATACAAATTCAAGCTCGAGGGGAACTGTTTTGCGATTGATGTGGACGAGACTATCGCCGGCCGCGGGAGGAGGAGGAGAAGTTGAAGAAGGTTCTAAAAACCCTAAATTTAAACTTCTCAAGTCAAAACTTTGTGAATTAAATAAGAGAAATAATTTCTTAAATTATAACCTTCTGGATCAATGTGAAGGTTCACTTTTGGCGAGTGAGTTGCGCGGGTTTTTCGGTTTACAGTTAGCCGGGTTTTATTATTGGACCTGGACTGCGTCACGGTATTACTGGTCCGACTATTAGGGGTTGATTGGAAGAGCAGAATCGTGAGCTTAATGCTTTTTATAAGCCAATCATGTTTAATAAATGAAGCAGGAAATAGAGCATTAAGCGCTGCTAATTGCTCGAGAGTCTCTGCTCTCATAAGGAGCTTTTCTCAAGCAGTCAGCCAATCTAATTAGAAAAAGTCACTATTATCCTTACTTTTTAATTAATATAATATCTTAAGTCTATATTCCTCTGTCTATTTTTGTAATTTTATGCCTAACTGCTCAATGCTCAACCAATCACATATTATCAAATAATGTTTAATAGCTTACAGCTTCGTAACTTCAATGCTTCTGCTCCTTACTGCTACTGCTCTAAAATAAGTGTTACCAATCAAGGCCTTAGTGTACAACTTCAAAAATATTGCAAGAACATCTACAAAAACACCGATATTTTTGGAAAAGATCATTCCAGCAGTTTCGTTTTGCCTGATAATGGGTTTTGAAATCAATACTTTACCAACAAAAGTAAAAAAATAGAAGGTGCCACTTTCCCCTCAACAATAAGATACCAAAAAAGAAGCTGAATAAGAACAAAAAAAGATTCAGGCAAACATACTCATGAAACAAACTCTTTTAACTGCAAAAACATGTGTGATAATATCTATCTACAAAGAAGACAAAACAGTAAAGTACAAATCATCCAATCCCTTCCTTAAACTAGAAAAATAATAGTAACTTAGCCCGCCAGAAAACGGAATCAAGCTCCGTGTCTTTTTCCTTCCTTTCTTTCAGGTTCTAATACCTGTAAGATGAACCAGTCGGTGGTGGTGCTGGTGGCAGCCGATTCGGGGTGGTGCGGCGGTTGCTACCAGAGCCTGGTGATGCTGCATCTCCGTTCTGAGCAGGATCGCTGTAACGGCGGCTATGACCACCAGATCCGTACTTTGACAATGAATCGGACTGTCCGTTAGCAGCGGCGTTGAAGGCATTCATCCAGTCATCTCCTGAAGAACCTCCACTCGCTCTTGGGCTAGTTTCTGTGGGTCACATTGAAAATTTAAGTATGAACAACCGATACATCATCATTACGTAAACCTACTATAGAAAGAGGTAGATGAATTTACCAGTGCCACCACCGTTGTCGGACCAAGATGAAGCAGCGGCAGCTCGGTTGTCGTGAACGCTAAGCTGCCTCGTGAGCTTGGAAAGAAGAGAGGATTGTTTCTGGTAACGCTCTCTTCGCCTTTTGACGTTTTGATCCTCTTGGATCAATGACTCAATCCTCTCATTGCCTATTGCACTAGAGATCAAATACAAGAGAGAGCGCAGGTAAGCACACCGAAGACTAAAATGAAATTCACCACAGGGAAGGGAAAGTCATTGAACCTGATAGAACTGTATAGTTGATTCAGCATGTCTTCTTTCGATTTCTCCACTTGACAAAGAACCACAGCCTGTTGAATATCATGTTGCTTAGTAGCGTGACCGAGTAATATTTGTAAGAAAGAAAAGAGATGGAGAAGAATCTTGTAGCTATAGGATAAGAGTAGTCAACCTTCGGAACATTGGCTGCAAGGCTGTTAAGAACAGCTTCAACGTAACCGCGTACTTCTTGGGACATCCAACGGAGTTCCTCTTCTGGGTCAATTGGTTTTCTAACCATCTTATCCTGAAATATAGACAACAAAAAACCCGTAAGTAACACAATTTGGGATATAAAGGACGAATACCTTAATATGCCAAAAAATATAGATGATGGACTTTAAGGAAGGAGAAAATTAAACATAAAAGTAGGCCATGAGCGACTCACAAGTGAACCTTCTGAAAGACTCTGTCTCATGGAAACGCTGCCCACTTGGCCTCCTCGAGCCTGGATAACCTTTTGCAACTTATTAATCCACTCGTTCTTATCGACTACACTCTCAGCCTTAAGCACGATGGCATTGTGAGCTGCAACATGGTAGGTTTCAGTAAAAACGCATAAAAGAGTGCATAGAGGGGGATCACGAAGTTTGAATTCTGATAACGACTTGTTCACGTACCTTTTAGTACAGTCTTATAGGGAACCTTGCAGGTTATTTTAAATACAAGGCCTGGTCCTTTTGCATCAGGTCCGTTTGCCTTCTTGTCCTTCGAGCTCTTTGACTTTTCTAGTTCGTCCTCTGGAATTTCTTCAATAGTGCATTCCTGAGTTAAGTAACAAATTTTATGAGAAATTACTATATCAGATGCTATTTATAGAGCATTCACATCTTCTCATCGATAATAATAGCATTATATAAAATGTGAAGCATATAAGCTTCACACCACTCAATTAATTGTCACTCTCCATGAAAGAACCAGTGTGGGAGAAAAAAAAACATTGTGAATATGAAACCATGTTATTAGTTTTCTCTTATCAAATTTTCACTTAGTCTTCTCTAATCATAGTTCAGCTTTGACAGGCTAAAAGAAAGCAAGAGAAGAAAATGATACCTCCAAAGTTATAGTCCCCCGGAAATTTCTTTCTTCTTGCTTCTTCGTATAGCCAAGCTAGAAAACGGTAGATGGTCAAGTCAGTAAGTGATTAGAGTGCACATAGTGCTTCCTAGTTTGCAGATACTCGGAAAACACCTGAAGGATATACATTTAAAATGCTAACCTTTCCAGTTTTCTCGTTCAGAACAAACCATCGCCTACTCCATCCATTTGTTTTTCCACTTTTCTTCATTAAGTACCCTACATGAAAGAGTAATTATTTGTTATCGACCCTGGAAGTTGGTTTTATCAAGGCTTAAGTGATAAAGAAGAAAAAAACACAAAGAAATCATGCACTTGGACTAAGACAAAAGCTATGCAGAAATTAGATCATGCAACGCAAGGAAAATAGTGTAGGGACAAAATGAAATTTTTAGACAGCAATTTGATAGACATATATTAGGATTACAACCTGCTGTTATCTCCCCCTCAGGTCCAGCAGTTTTCAGACCAGAGACCTCCGGTGTCTCCTTGTCTTGCGGACTGGGTTTGTCTTTCATTGATTTCATGCTACCACCAGCTAGAGCCCCATCTGGCTGAGGACTAGTAGCCTGAAATACATGCAGTTGTGAGAATTCCTAATTAAGTACTTTCATGTAAAATATTGTAAAACCATAAAAAGCATTTTCCACTACGTGGATCCAAATTGATTTAGAATGAAGACACACCCTGCTTAAAAGGGACTGCTCTGCGTCCTGTCCCTTCTTAGAAGATCGTCCTTTCAGCTCTTCCTCGCGACGTTGCCTTTCCATCCTGATGAAGTCAATACAGTGCAGCGTCAGAAAGAGAGAAATGAATTTCAGTCACAAGAACTTTACAGAAAATATCAATGTTAAAGTTGGCCTAAGCAAATACTTCTACAGAGAGAGGTCCAAGATTTTATGGTAAAGAAAGCATCAAAACCCTCAATACTCAAATTCACAAACAAACACGCAAAAAAAAAAAAGCAAGCTGTTATACCTCCTTTGCACAAGACGGATAAAATGTTGAGGTGGTACAAAAGCACGTTCCATATCAACTAGAGCAACAACCATTTTCTTGGCTTCATTCTTGAAACCATCAAGTGCCGCACTTGCTATAGCTACGACCTGGTTGATGATTAGTTAGGTCAGAACAGCTATTATCGAAATGATAAAATGCCAGTGAATAAAGCATCAAAAGACATTATTACTTCTCGTTTAAAAGGAGGATATCTCCCGAGTCCAGGAGTAGCATTCGCAGAGGCTGAAACTATGTCAACAAGAACTCGGTGAACCTAACCAAAAATGACGATCATATTAGCTAACCAGAGAAATATTACGAAACGGAAACATGGATGCATCATTTTTGGAATAGGAAAAGAAAAAGGTAGCTGCGTCTACACAAAGGTATATTAAAACATAAATAAACCAGATAAGTGCCCTAGAACCAGAGAAAACTTCTCAGAACTCTCAACAACAGTCAAGCGAATTGAAGTATCAAAGTAAAACCAGCAGTGACCGGTTCATAATGCAGTAAATATCTGGAATTCAATCCTACCGCATGAACCTAAAAAAAGAAAATACTTAAATAAACACACCTCATCAACACAAAGACGTGCCGGATCTTTGGCCAACTCAAGGACAATCTTTATCAACGATCTCAACCCTTTCTCGGGAGATATAAGATAAGGTTGATAACCATCTGCCTCCAAAACCACCTGATATATTCAAAGATCATTCTGCTAAGTCCACTCTCAATTCTTAAAATTTGTCTCGTGCAATAAATTTTAAGAGAGAAGCAGACACCCACCCTTTTAACATTGTTCAAGTCAAAATGTCTGTCCAATGGAAGCTGCTTGATACGGTTAGGGAAATTTCCTTCAAAACTTGCAACAACTTTCCAACCACTTCCCTGAACAAAACTTTTGTTAGAGAAAAACATTCACCAGTTCCAAAAGGGACTTCAGCTCATGAACTAGAAACAGACAAGTACAAAAGATGTAATTCAAACACTCAGCAGGCAGGCTTATGCACATACTATAAAATTCCACAAACAGATTCATGAGATTCCCAACAATATAATGTGATCTTACAAAAGTATGTTAGCAAGAGACTTTCCACTACACGAGCATCAAATCTAAGAGGGCTAATTGCTAAAATTCCTCTCTTTCACTAATTCTGAAATTTTCAGCTAAAATCTAGTTTACTTTTGCAAGAAAGTACTTACTTCACCACCAGCCAAGTGGAGAAGAAATTTGTCCTCAAACTCACGGCAAAGCTCCAAAGCTATAGCCCTTGTACCTTCAGCACTGTTAACTAGTTGTTCACCAAGCCTTGCTAGCTCATCCTGCACTGTTTGAGACTTGCCCTGGAGCCTGTACAAAGAATTTTGAAAGTCAAAACGCGTTCAAAAACTAGTGCCATAGACCTAACAATAATAAAAAAAAAAAAAGAAAGACGGGCATTCCACACTGGGAGAGGTTACTATGACATTCATGAAGAAAGTAAAAATATACGGAGAGAAGCAATACCCAGACAATATATTTGGAAGCCTGAGTTTCATTCTGCTACGGATCTGACTAGCAAGGGTGTCCACTAAGGCAATTCTGCCAAGCTTGCTTTGTGGAGCCCCAGTCAAAATGGACTTGAGACTTTCACTCTCAGCGCGCCAAGCAGTTTCTAAGGAGTTCTCACCACTTCCAGACTGTGCTGACGCAATTGAAACGGATTGGCCAATGAGAGCAACCCAAGGAATATCAGTTGTTTTTGGAGGTCCCTGATTTGAAAGAAGAGCCTGAACAGCTGCAAGGGCTTTCGGATTCTCTGCTGCCTGGTCAATCTTGCCGATAATTCCTACTGTCCTAGTGCCTATACGCATGAATGAGTGATGAAAGGTAATGAGTATTTAAGCAAACTAAAAGGTGATTGGCTAGTAAATCAACTGTTCTTATAAGTAACAGGATAACAATGTAAGGAAAGACAGATCGGAAATACTGATGTACTTACTTTCTGGATCATACTCTTTTGCAATCTTCAGGGCTCGGGATGATGAAATTTCAGATGCCTGGCTAGCAGGCACTATAACCAGCAGTATGGCATCATTATGTTGCGCATATTCAGCAATCTTGCAAAGAGATCCAAGAAACAAACGAGAATTTCAACAAGGACAAACACGATAATGAATCTACATGAGCATAATATCAGGAAATGAACAAATTGTCGAATCTTATGTTTTGTGGTTATCATGTGGATTAAGGGCATGACAAAGGCATTGAGTAATTACAAGTCTTACCATTGAATCGTCCACAATCCTCTGGTCCAGTCCAGGCATATCAACTAATTTCAGCGGGGGAGCTGAAATATTAAAGGTAAAGTCAGTTCACAAGTATCCACCCAACTTAGATTAGTTAAAAAAGTGCTATTTGGCGAGTTGATAGGCTTGCCAGTTATGATTATGCAAGTAAAACACGAATTACCTGTGCTAGTACGAAGTTTTAAGTTTATTTCATCTCGATTCTTCCCTGAGGCTCCTTTGCTAAGTCTATCTTGAAGAGAATGTCTCAGAGCACCTAAAACACACCCATGTAGAACACAATGGTAATACTATGAGAAGAATGATCAAATGCTATATTCTATATGCAGAACGAGCCTAACATACCATTGCTAAATTGCATATGTTCACAGAGGGAGACTTACTTGCTGAAACTTGTTGAGTTTTGTTGTCGATTTGCAAGATAATTGCCTTGCTGCTCAAAGAAGCCTCCCTGCTCAAGTCAATTATTATAGGAGCCCGTGTAGCACCATTCTCACCCGTCGGCTGTCCACAGATAGTGTAGCAAACACAACAGATATTATTTTCAGGAAAAGGAATTAGCCAATAATAGCCATAAGAAACTCCCGTAGACCTTTCAGTGTAGTGCTTACCAGGACTGGATGGCCAATTAGACTGTTAAGCACTGCAGACTTCCCAGCTCCCTGGTTCAGTATACAAAACGAGATAACTTGGTCACAAAAGACAGAATTTCATTTCAAAACTACTTATAGAGAGAAGAGAGAATCAAACAAGCTTCAAAGATGAATGCGTCTTAGCAAATTGTTCCAGGAAAATACGAAAAACCTAATCTAGATCCAGAAGATCCACGAAATCGCATCTAACACTAACACTCGAACACAGAAAATAAGCAACAGGAGCCTTAACACGAACAAATCGAGGAGCAGGGAGAGAGGAGTAATGCACTCACCACATTTCCTAGCGCAACGACGTTCAGGAAAGTGGATGGGCGTCTAGAAGAAGGTGTCTCGTCGGGATCTTCATCGGCGAGCAGAGACGCCGCCTGTTTCATCGAATCTGAGAGCTGAGACAACTCATCGATCGCCTCCATCACGACTTGCAAAAGCCCACCCGCGAATCAAGATCAAAGTAAGAGATCTGGAGGAAGAAGGCAGCCACTAGAATAGATCTGACCAGAACCGAAACCGACGGCTACGGACGACTTCTTTTCCCGGCGAGGCGAGTGCCGGAATTTCGAATCCGGTCGTGATGGTATTGAGCTAAGAATTTTTCGTCCGTCTCTGTTTGGGATTTTCCTATGGGAAGGCAGAAATGAGCGAAGACGAGGTCATACAGAGTGGCGTAAGAATCAAAAAGGACACGGGACAAGATTCAAATTTCAAAATAGTTACAAAAATCCATATATCTTTCTATTTTCTTTCTGATCGGACTTGAGTGCTGCTTCTTTTTTCTTTGCTTTCCCTTTTATTTTTTCCACCAAATGTAAAAAAAAAAATTCTTTGGTATACACCAATCTATCATTTGTTAGATCTTACTCAAATTATAGGATAACAAATTTGAATCCCGAATTACTTTGAATGTAAATAGTTCTAAAAAGATGCATGATGATGTATTCAAAACATGATTATTGATTAGCTACGCGTTACTTTCAACATGAAACTTGTTATTATAGGATAACAAACTCTAGTTTTCAAACTTTACCAATATAAACTTTAGATATCTCGTTACCTTCAACTCAAATTATAGGATAACAAACTTTACTTTTTCAAAATTTATTCATGTTGTCTACATTCCAAATTTACAATAGTAAAGTTTTTGTTATAGCTAAAACGAAGTTTGAAAGTAACGCGTAGCTAATCAACAATCATGTTAGAACTCAAAATACCATCAAACATGAAAGTTTTTTTGATAATATCATTATATCACAACCACTTAAAATTAGATAAGCCATAACGCATAAGCTTGACTAGTGGATAGTAGATACCCAGAACTTTTCCTAATTAATGAAATGTTGGACCAAAGAGTTGACGAGCACTAAACCACGTCACAATCGAACGTGGGCCCGCATTGGCCCATAACTTATAAGTTCTGTCCACCTGGCAAAATCTGCGGAGTTTGAACTCGTTTATGTTTTCGACATGGAGCTTAAACTCAATTAATCTAACTAACATATAAAAAAAATCCAATTAATTTTGTTTGTTTATATATAAAAAAGATCATAATCCACCACACATGGATTCCAACTAGAAACAAAAGACCAGATTTGTTGATGTTTCTTCCTTCCTCTCTGCAGCAGCGAATTCTAATTTTCTGATCTGTTTCAGTCACCGTTTCTCACTTCCTTAATTTCCTCGAAACTACCTCCATTGTTTCACGAAGATTCCCAGAGATCCAAATTCTGGCCTCTCTCTTGCAGTTCCCTTTTTTTTTTCTTCCCAATATTGTTTGATCTCTGGATTTGATCCTCTGTTACAGATTAGGAAAGCTTCGATTTCGTAATGGAATTTTGTCTGGAACAAACAGATTCTCTTTGAAAACAGCATACGATGTTTCCCTGAAACTTTTTTTTTTTGGGGAACAGTCGAATCTAACCCGAAGCGAGAGAGAGAGAGATCATCACTTAGAAACAATGGCGAGAGGGAGAGTGGGAGAGAAAGAGGAAGGCGAAAAGCACATAGGGTTACTAAAACTGGCTCAAACGCTGTCGTTTCTGTTAATATTCATGGCCGGAATCATCATCGGCCTCGCCGCCAGCTCCCACATCGATCGCTACTTCAATTCTCTCCCGACGATGTTCTCATCCTCCACCACCACCAATCTCCAAACGAGTCCTGATTACTCCAACTGCACAGTCATCCACCGGGATTGCACAGGCGACGACGAGAACGACGACGACGGAAGGAGAGAAGCCAAGGCGGAGAAACCCAAGGGTCGTGATTGCTGGAGCATCGACGGGTTTGTTCGGCCGGAGAATCTGAGCCATGGGATGAGTGACGAGGAGCTGTTCTGGAGAGCGTCGATGGTTCCGGTGAAGGAGGAGTATCCGTACGAAAGGGTGCCGAAAGTGGCGTTTATGTTTCTGACGAGAGGGCCTTTGCCGATGCTTCCGCTCTGGGAGAAGTTCTTCAAAGGCAACGACAAGTACTTGTCGGTCTATGTTCATACGCCTCCGCGGTACGACATGAACGTCTCTCGTGATTCTCCGTTTTACGACCGCCAGATCCCGAGCCAGGTACGTGTTGAATGCAAATACATTGAATTTTGTGTCTTTCTTATGTTCTTCTGTGGATCATTACAAAACAAATATTGTACATAGTTTCATCAGTGATTTACCTTAGAATACAAGAACAGAGTATTGGAGAAGCAGATTAGATGTGTTGGGTCGTCTTCCGTTTAGAGTTGCCTATTACATTGGTGTGTATTATTTAAAGAGAGAACATTATTTAAAGAGAGATATTTAGGAAACTTTTTGAGGTCGTCAACTGCATACTCTTGTGCATTGTGTGTGTTGGCCATTTGTGTCTTAGCCAGCTTCAGGTGGTTACAAAGCTCAATGCGTAATCTTGCTATGATGTTATGATGTGGAACGTAGCGGATTGATTTTAGAACAAGGAATTGGGAACAGTTTGATTCATAGGGGTGAGAGTGTGGAATTAGTTGTGAACCAGGAAACCTGAAGATACATACACTAGCTCATAGAAACATTACCTAACCTTCTCTTGTTGATATAAACCTCTTTTGTTGTAGTAATCTCTTTCACGACCCTGAAATTGGATCTGTAGGAAAAAGTTACAGACTCACAAAATAACCATGCTGGATCATTGGATTGCTTGTGTCCTTTTATGTTAGATCTCACTGATCACAAATCAAAAGACTCTGTTTCGTTTCTATTTCTAATGTTCTTATATCCTATGGTTTTTCAGAAAGTTGAATGGGGATCCGCACTGTTGACAGATGCAGAGAAGCGTCTCCTGGCCAACGCATTGCTCGACTTCTCAAACGAGCGTTTTGTTCTTCTCTCCGAGAGCTGTGTCCCTGTCTACAACTTCTCAACTGTCTACACTTACCTAATAAACTCTGCTTACAGCTTTGTCGACTCTTACGACGAGCCAACACGTTATGGCCGTGGCCGTTACAGCCGCAAGATGCTCCCGGATATCAAACTCCATCACTGGCGCAAAGGGTCTCAGTGGTTTGAAGTCAACCGTAAACTCGCCATCTACATTATATCAGACACGAAATACTACTCGCTGTTCAAACAGTACTGCAGACCAGCTTGTTACCCTGATGAGCATTACATACCGACTTTCTTGAACATGTTTCACGGTTCGATGAACGCGAATAGAAGCGTGACGTGGGTCGATTGGTCCATAGGCGGTCCGCATCCAGCTACGTATGCTGAAGACAATATCACAGAAGGGTTTCTACAGTCGATAAGGAAAAACGAGACAGATTGTCTTTACAATGAAGAGCCAACTTCGTTATGCTTCCTTTTTGCTCGGAAGTTCTCTCCTAGTGCCTTAGATCCTCTCATGAACTTGAGTTCTACTGTCATGGGGTTTTGAAGAAAATAACTGATTTCTCTCTTCTTTTTTCTACTTTTATAGGGATGAGATGAGATTCTTCTACGAGATATATATACATAGGACTCAATTTTTTTTCTTCTGTTATTAGCTTTCTTTTCTTTGGTTATCATCTTTTCCTTTATTGAGGTTTCATAGAGAGAAATGTAAAGGTCGAGCCTTTTGTATGTAAGAGTTTTGCTTCTGCCGACCTGCAGAGCTAATCTAGTTACAGATTACGAATATCTTCAGTTTTTTTTTTCATCAGCTTTTGGAAAAATGAAATATAAATTTGTAACTCCATTACTCTTTAAGAAAGAACTATACATACAAGTGTAAAAAGACAAATGTCAAGGATCAAGAAAACGTATTAGAATCATGATATTGATACATGATAACTAAATACCAGAGTTTGCAAAAAATGCCAACCACAAAGCAAAAGGAAAATTACTAGAACCAATAGTGAGGATGATGGTGCAGTCGTAATGGCTAGTTTGTCGAACTAGTTGCTCGATTCAGCTACCTTTTTCTCTTCTTCTCCATCTTGCCACCCATTGGAGGACACTGGCTCTTGTTGTTGAGGAGGATGACTGTCCACAGAGTTTGACCTCGGTGCCTGATTAGACACCTGTCCGGGTGCGGGATTTGACCACTGTGACTGATGATGGCTAGCTGGCTGATTAGACCACTGTTGCTGCTGCCCGTTCCACGCTGCTGACTGCTGTCCAGCTGTCTGGTTAGACCACGGTTGCTGTTGGCCAGGTGTCTGATTAGACCACGGTTGCTGTTGGCCAGGTGTCTGACTAGCCCACGGTTGCTGCTGGCCAGGTGTCTGATTAGCCCATGGTTGCTGCTGGCCACTTGTCTGATTACCCCATGGTTGCTGCTGACTAGTGTTCTGATTAGCCCACGGTTGCTGCTGGCTAGCTGCCTGATTAGCCCACGGTTGCTTCTGGCCAGACGACTGATTAGACCACGGTTGCTGCTGGCCAGACGTCTGATTAGCCCACGGTTGCTGCTGACCTGAAGGATTTGACCACCCTTGTTGCTGTTGATATCCCGGTGCCTGATTCGACCATGATGGTGGCTGTTGCCCTGCCGTCTGATTAGACCACGACTGCTGCTGCTGCTGGTGGTTAACCGAAGTGTTGGACCAAGACGGATTCTCGCCATTATTAGCCTTGTAAGTTCCTCCTGCTGTTTGACCTGCAGTTCCATTGGCCCGGCCTGAATTAGGAAGCCCCGCCCCTTGGCTCGTCCACGGGACCTTGTCTCTTGGCTGCTGAGGAGCTCCAAGTGTGTTTCCAAACACTGAGGGTACACTAGGTGGAGTGTTACCAGACTTCCTAACCGGCCAAGCAGCCGAATTCAAGACTTTCTCAATCTCCTCAAGACGTCCTGCTTTCTCAAAAGTCTCGACGATAAACTCCCGGAGCACGGGAGCAACCCCAACACCACGCCCAACCATCTCACCAACTATATCCTTGGCTACGTCAAGCGCACCACCATCAGAAAGACCTCTAACCACCACCTCGTAGATAGAAGCATCTGGTTTCGGTTCCTTCTCTCCCATCTTAGTCAAAACCTCTGCAGATTCTGTGAACTTGCCATTCTTAATCAGCTCACCAAAGACCCTCGTACCAAAATCAGCAACAACCCTTAGATTCACATCCACCATCCTGTTCAGCATCTTTATCGCATCGTCTATTCTCTCCGCCTTGAGATAAGCATTGATCATTGCTCTGTGACTCGGAGCATCAGGAGGCAAGGATTTGCTTACACCTTCCGCAAAGAACCTCTCAGCCTCTGGTAACATCCCTTCTTCACAGAACCTTGTTACAATGTTACAGTAACCAACATAGTCCATCACCAACGCTCTCGAGGTAGGCTTGCTCCCAACTTTCTTGAACGTATCAATCGCTTCTGTATACTGCCCCATCTTGAAACATTCATTCACCATTAGACTAACCGTCTCCGAATTCACAGAAAGAATGTTGGGAGGAGTGTGATTATCCAACATCTCATTGAACAGAGCCCAAGCTTCACTCTTTTTACCATACTTGAGAAAAACTTCCAAAAGCACATTTCCAGTCGGTGGATGCATTCTGAATTTCTTATTTAACAAAGAATGGTAAGCCTCCATAGCTTCCTTATCCTTACCCTGCTCGAACCAGTACTCCATAAAGGTTGCATTCACAATCCCATCATAAACTATACACCTTAACTTCAATTCATCAAAGAACTCATTGGCCATAACCAAATCTCCAAGGTCCAAGTACCCTCTTATCAGATTGTTGTACACAATCGAATCCGCAGCTTGACCTTTGCTCAACATCTCCTTTAATAAGCTCGCAGCATCTCCGATCCTTCCAGCTTGAACCAAACCTTTAGTCAAATGTCTATAAGTAACCGACGACGGAGCAAAAGGAGCGTTTGCTATTATGTTGCGGTACACTTCAAGGGCTTCCTCCACATGCCCTTCGTCACAATGAGCGTTGATGATCTGATTGTAGGAGACAACGTTGGGGACGATGTTGGACTGCTTGAAGAAATACTCGAACAGAGAAATCGAGTCACTGTAACGCTTGGCTCGGTACATGGCGGCGATGATGGCGTTGCAGGTGAACACGGTGGGCCGAGTGTTGGAAAACACTGACTGGCGAGCGAGACGTGACGCAGCGTCGAGATCTGATGCTCTGATCAGTGACTGGACTCTGTTGTGTAGGTTAAGCCGTTGCCCGACGAGTGAGGAAGTGGAATCCGGAACCCGCGGTGCGTTGGGATCGCGTTTCGGAGGAGGAGCTGAGGGATCTCTTCGGAGAGCGTGGAGAGGAGGCTCGATTCTGAGACGGCGTTTGCGGCGGCGACGCTCGGCCGCGGCTTCCTCGGCTGATGAGAAGGCCATGGTTCGCTGCGGGATCGGTGGAGGGATTGGGGGATAGGTGTGATTCGGAGGGATATGGAACTGGGAAGGATCATTAGCTGGAAATGAATTAGGGATTGGGCTCGTCTCGGAATTTTGATTGTCAGTGTTAGTCTCCGGATGTTGATTATCCGGGGAAATTGAGATGTTGTAGAAGCGTTGGTGGAGGGGTGAGATCGGAATAGGGCTCCGGCTGGTGGTGGTGGCTGAACAGAGACGGTTGAAGAGGGAGGAACGGCGGCGGAGGAGGTTACAGATAGCCATGGCGGAGGAAAAGGGTTAGGGTTTTACAGTGGTGTGGCTTAAACCCTTTGTGAATTGCAAATGAAATGGGATATTTGACGACCAAACAAAAAAATTGAAAATAATACTCCAAACGGCGTAGTATTATTTAGTGGGATGTTTGGTGATACGTTTATTAGTATTCAAAGGACGAGTAGAGAAGGCGTAAGATAACAAGGTGCGCAGGAGAAACAAAGGGATTAATTTCACCTCCCAGCGCAAATTAGGGCTTCTCCTTCGCAAGACTGTGTTCGTCACTCTAGCTTAAACCAGTACTTTCTCTGTCTCTCTATCTATTATTTTGTCGCATTTGCATCAACAGTCACTTTTTTAAAGAAGATGAAAGAAATTAAATTCTGGATCATGCGAGTTTTATTTAAACTTTTTGTTCTTGTGATGAATTCAACTTTCCGGCAACATCGATTTTCCAAGCTTCAAAATTTCTTCCGAAATTGAGAAACCCATCTTGTTGGTTTTGCTTTCTGGTGATGGCCATTGATTGGCATCCAAACAATCGTCGTTTAGTAGCTCGGAGAATTCGAATTGAGTGCCTTCGAAATCTCTAATTACATTTCAAAAATATTCTCTTTTTGTTAGATTTTAAAAGTCTGAATCTTTCTAGCTTCGTGCTCATGAGTTATCGATTTCACAGTGGCATAGTGATTTCTTAAGTATTTGATTGCTTCCTTCATTTGAATACTTAAGCATTTCATTGGAGATTATCCGGTTTATATAAACACTATCAATGCTATGTAAAAATGGATTATTTTTCAGTTCTTTGATGAGATAATTGATTATACATTTTCAAGTAAGCACATAGCTTTGATCTCTTTCTCCAAAGAGAGACTTTTACCTATTGCATCTTGGTACATGCTCAAGAAGGTAATGTGCTTGAAATCTAAGATAACTCTGTTCATGTCATGTGCTTGTCAGGCAATCTTACTGAAGATACTAAAGGAGCAAAATGTCGGATGATGGTGGACAGATGTTGCTCATCTATGATGATCCCTCAGATCATAGATCTCTATCTTTGGACGATGCCAGTAGTACTGAAGAGTCTCCAGATGGGAACACTCTCTCTTTAGAAGAAGTTCACGAAGCCATTCCATACATCGGACAAAGATTCCTTACACATGATGCTGCTTACGAGTTCTACAGTACGTTTGCAAAGCGTTGCGGGTTCTCAATACGTCGTCACAGGACAGAAGGGAAAGACGGAGTTGGCAAAGGACTTACCAGGCGGTACTTTGTTTGCCACCGAGCTGGTAACACACCTGTCAAGACTATGAGTGAAGGGAAACCACAGAGAAACAGAAGATCTTCTCGGTGTGGATGTCAAGCATACTTGAGGATTAGTAAAATAACTGAGCTAGGTTCGATAGAATGGCGTGTTACAGGCTTTGCTAATCACCACAACCACGACCTCCTGGAACCAAACCAAGTTCGTTTCCTTCCTGCATACAGGTCCATATCAGACGCAGATAAAAGCCGGATTTTGATGTTTTCGAAGACGGGGATCTCAATTCAGCAGATGATGAGGCTCATGGAGCTTGAGAAGTGTGTTGAGCCTGGATTTTTACCTTTCACCGAGAAGGATGTCAGGAACTTGCTTCAGTCGTTCAAGAAACTTGATCCTGAGGATGAGAACATTGATTTCTTGAGGATGTGCCAGAGCATAAAGGAGAAAGACCCTAACTTTAAGTTCGAGTTTACGTTGGATGAAAACGATAAGTTAGAAAACATTGCCTGGTCATATGCCTCTTCCATTCAGTCATATGAGATCTTTGGAGATGCTATAGTCTTTGATACAACGCATCGCTTAAGTGCAGTTGAGATGCCACTTGGAATATGGGTTGGAGTTAATAACTACGGTGTGCCTTGCTTCTTCGGCTGTGTCCTTCTGCGGGATGAAAGTTTGAGATCGTGGTCATGGGCACTACAGGTAACAACTTCTGTTTATTATACTTTGGTTGAGTAGAACATATGGCTTCTCATATAACTACTTGAAAAAGGTTCTATGCTTAGAGAAACAATCCATTTTGCTTCTACCTGACATTCGTTTATTGTTTGTCTCTTACGGAAGGCGTTTATAGGGTTCATGAATGGGAAGGCGCCTCAAACGATACTGACAGACCATAATATGTGTCTCAAAGAAGCCATAGCTGGAGAGATGCCAACCACTAAGCATGCACTTTGCATATGGATGGTTGTTGGAAAGTTTCCATCGTGGTTTAATGCCGCTCTTGGAGAGCGGTACAACGACTGGAAAGCTGAGTTCTATCGCCTCTACCATCTGGAGTCCATTGAGGAGTTCGAGTTGGGTTGGAGAGACATGGTGAACTCTTTTGGACTGCACACTAACAGACACATAAATAATTTGTATGGCTCACGTTCCCTGTGGTCTTTACCATACCTGCGAAGCCATTTTCTAGCTGGAATGACTTTGAGTGGCCGATCCAAAGCCATTAATGCCTTTATTCAGAGATTCTTGAGCGCTCAAACCAGGCTAGCTCACTTTGTAGAACAAGTATGTTTCCATATTCTTCTGACAGTGCTTATTCATTGGAACTGAATATGTTACTCACACTAAGAAAAAGTCTATGGATAGTAACATTTGATGTCATGAAATTGTATTTCTGAAGCGTGTTGTGTTTGCTATTCTGATTATTTGAGTAACGGTTGAATATATGCAGGTGGCTGTTGCTGTGGATTTCAAAGACCAAGCCACAGAACAGCAGACAATGCAGCAGAATCTCCAAAACATCAGCCTGAAAACCGGAGCCCCCATGGAATCTCACGCAGCTTCTGTCCTCACTCCTTTCGCATTCTCCAAGCTCCAAGAACAGCTTGTGCTTGCAGCTCACTACGCATCGTTCCAGTTGGACGACGGGTATCTCGTGAGGCACCACACTAAACTCGACGGAGGAAGAAAAGTCTATTGGGTTCCTCAAGAAGGCATCATAAGCTGCAGTTGCCAGCTGTTTGAGTTCTCTGGGTTTCTCTGCAGGCACGCGCTCCGTGTTCTCTCGACCGGAAACTGTTTCCAGGTCCCGGAATTTCAATTTAGTCCCCAAGTCTGGCTGGGTTCTGTATAAGTAAATAGAAGAGAAAGTGGGAAGAAGGAATTAGCGAGGGTTTGAGATGATGGAGGAGGAGCAAAGAAGCGAGAGAGTCGATGGGAATCCGAAAGAGAAACAGGCCAAGTTCTTCGACACGCCTTCAAGCCTAGTCGGGAGCATCGTCGAGAAAGCTATATCGGATAATCAGCCTCCGCTGCCCCCCAGGCACACCCTTGTCTCCTTCCCGGTTGCTCGTCATCGTTCTCACGCACCCGTAAGCATATGCCAATCCACTTGGGCTTTTCAGTTTTTCCCATTCTTATCTTCATCTTCTTATTCTAGGTTTTAGGATTCTTCGATTTTCACCTGGGCTTGTTTACTTGTAGCTCAGCTCTTTTATTTCATTTTTTGTAGCGTTGGTCTCCTTCGGGGAGCAGAGCGCAATCTAAGGACAATAATAATGTCGAGGAGGATCATGCCAGTGAGGATGAAGAAGAAGAAGAAGAAGAACGTTTCATGAATGCAGCCTCCATTGCTGCTTTTGCTAAACCGCTTCAAAGAAAGGAGAGAAAAGATATGGAGCTCAGGACCTGGAAAGATATGCCCTCTCCGCATGATAGACAGGAATCAAGGAAAGCTAAGAAGCTCATTCAAATGATACCGCTGTCTGTTGATTCGCCCACTACTCCCATGGACGTGGATAACAACACTTTTGATACGGCATCAGACGACCAGATGATAGATATTGTTTCTGAGAAAGCTACCGAAAGGATTTCTTTTAACGCCTCTCCTCCTGTACCTGCTACTTCCTCCAGCTCGTATGGACTCGGAACTAGACACGCGTCCTCATCTTTGGAGAGTGAAATTGATGTAGAGAACCATGCACGGTTGCAGACAATGTCACCTCAGGAGATTGCAGAGGCACAGGCTGAGTTATTGGACAAGATGAACCCTGCATTACTCAGCATTCTGAAGAAACGAGGCCATGACAAACTCAAGAAGCGAAAGCATTCGGTGCCAGGGCTTTCCGATGCCAACCAGGAAACAAAGAATTCAAGAACCGATGGTCATTTTTTAAGGCAACAGGGCCAGGCTGTTACTCCGTCTGCCTCCCAAGTGGTAGCAATACCAAAAGAACCAAGTGTGGTGCAAAATTCAGTGCTAGCCCAAGGCTTCTTGTGGGATGCATGGACTGAGAGGGTTGAGGCAACTAGGGAGTTGAGCTTTTCTTTTGACGGGAATGTCGTTAAAGATGATGATTTCCCAGCTGCTGAAACTGGTGAGTAGAAGCAATACATACAACTGAATCTGATGGCAATCTTAAGGTTCTTACGTTTTTTGAATTTACAGGTGAAATGTTGTCTGGCGTTGGATCTGCTGCTGAACGTGACTTTTTGAGAACTGAGGGGGACCCTGGGGCAGCAGGGTACACTATCAAAGAAGCTATTGCACTCGCACGAAGTGTGGTATGATTGCCGCAGATTTTGGTTCTCATGATAAGAATTGTTAAATTCCTTTTTTGTTTCCATTTTGGCTTTAGCTGAAGAAAATCTGTTTATATTGATATGTCAGATTCCAGGGCAAAGATGCCTTGCTTTGCATCTGCTTGCATCTGTACTCGACAAAGCTTCGTGCAAACTTTGTCAGAGAAGAATCGGCTACACAAGGGAAGGAAAAGATAAATCCACTGATTGGGAAGCCATCTGGGCTTATGCACTTGGACCCGAACCTGAGCTTGTCTTAGCATTGAGGTAATATCCTGATGGGTGACTTATTTGAAAAGTTAACACTCATATATCATACGCTTTTCCTTCTTATCAATCTAAGTTTCTTTTCTTTTTAAGGATGGCTCTTGATGACAACCATACCTCTGTTGTTCTAGCATGTGTAAAAGTGATTCAGTGTCTACTGAGCTGTTCTCTTAATGAGAACTTCTTTGATATTTTGGAGGTATAGAGTTTTCTCAATCCTTAGAAGTTTTAGTCCCCTTAGCTCTCAGTACTATATGTTCAAACTCATAAAATCATTTCTGTTTCCAGAATATGGGACCACACGGAAACGACATCTTCACCGCCTCTGTGTTTAGGAGTAAGCCAGAGATTGATCTTGGCTTCCTCCGTGGTTGCCACTGGAAGTACAGCGCTAAACCCTCCAACATTGTTCCTTTCCGTGAAGAAATTGCTGATGAGGAGACAGAAGATAAGGAAACTATTCAGAAAGATGTTTTTGTAGCTGGACAAGATGTTGCTGCTGGTCTTGTCAGAATGGATATCCTTCCAAGAATTTATCACCTTCTGGAGGTAGATCATTATCTGTTTGTCGCTCAGCAAGGAAAATCATTTTCGTTGTGTCCTGTGGCTTAGAGGTTTATGGTGTATTTTTTTTATGATCATGATTTCAGACAGAACCAACGGCAGCGCTCGAGGACAGCTTAGTTTCTGTTACTATTGCAATAGCAAGACATTCTCCAAAATGCACAACTGCAATCTTGAAGTATCCCAAATTTGTGCAAGCAGTCGTCAAAGGATTCAAGTTGAACCGAAAAATGGACGTTCTTCCTTCTCAGATCAATTCTGTTCGCCTCTTAAAGGTAATACTGGTCCGCTCGTACATAAGTATCTTTGGGTCGATATGTTCATTCGTCCTTGGTGTTTTTTTTTTTTGACAAAACCTGATGGTCAAAGTTTGATAAGCTATCAGTTATTTATTATAACCTTGGTTTTTCTTTTCTCTCTTTTTAATTTCACCAAGGTGTTGGCCCGGTATGACAAAAGCACTTGCATGGAGTTTGTCAAAAATGGGACATTCAATGCGGTCACGTGGCATTTGTTTCAGTTCACCTCCTCTCTTGACTCATGGGTGAAGTTAGGGAAGCAGAACTGCAAGCTTACATCTGATTTGATGGTTGAACAACTCCGGTTTTGGAAGGTCTGTATCCAAAGTGGCTGTTGCATATCTCGCTTCCCAGAGCTATTCCCAGCTCTGTGTCTGTGGTTAACTTGCCCATCATTTGAAAAGCTCAAGGAGAAAAATCTCATCTGCGAGTTTACTTCTGTGTCAAAGGAGGCTTACCTGGTCCTTGAGGCTTTTGCTGGAACACTTCCTAGGATGTACTCACCAAACATTTCACGGAACGAAACTGGGGCTTGGGACTGGAGTTATGTCAGCCCTATGATTGATACAGCACTGAGCTGGATAACATTTGCCCCCCAATTACTCGAGTGGGAGAGAGGAATCAAAAGTGTCTCTGTGTCCACTACTTCTCTGTTGTGGTTGTATTCGGGTGTCTTGCGTACAATTTCCAAAGTCCTTGAGAAAATATCTGCCTATGTAGAGGAAGAACCTCTGCCATGGCTGCCGGAGTTTGTTCCAAAGATTGGCCTCGCCATCATCAAGCACAAGCTTCTTAGTTTTTCCGTTGCAGACGTAAGCAGGTGTGAAAAAGACTCTCTCATGTGTTCCTCTTTTATGGGATTTTTGTGTCTTCTAAGAGAACAATCTCAAGATGAAGAACTAGCGCTTGCTTCTGTGAGTTGCCTTCATGGGTTAACGCGGACTATCCTGTCCATTCAAATTCTGATAGAATCTGCTAGATCTAAGATGAAAACTCCTCCTCAGGGAAGCGTTTCCGCTAGGGATGAGTCTTTGCTTGCAAGAGGAATACTGACAGAGTCTCTCGCTGACCTAACATATGTGTGGAGCTCTATAAGAGATTCCGTTGCATCAGAATGGCCCATCGTGCAATCCATTGAGCTACACAAACGAGGCGGACTAGCTCCTGGGCTGGGACGTGGTTGGGGAGCTAGTGGTGGTGGGTTCTGGTCGACCAGAGTTCTGTTGGCCCAAGCTGATGCCGGTCTTCTGAGTCTCTTTCTTAACATCTCTCAAATGGACTCGCAGAATGATCAAGGATCGGTTTGCTTGATGGATAAAATGAACTCTGCTTTAGCTATGTGCTTGATTGCTGGTCCAAGGGATCATTTACTTGTGGAAAAAGCCTTCGACTATGTCCTTAGACCGCATGCTTTAGAACACCTGGCCTGCTGTATCAAGTCAAACAAGAGAACCAAAGCGTTTACATGGAAATGTAGTGAAGAGGATTATCATCACATGAGCAAGGTGCTCGCTTCTCACTTCAGACTCAGATGGTTACACCCAAAGAGAAAATCTAAAGCCGAGAATGAAGTCAGTGGGGTAAGGAAAGGCGCAGTGGGTCTGGAGACTATTCATGAGGACGGTGAAATGCCAAATTGCTCGACTCAGGACCAAAAATCAGACTCTCTGGTCATAGAGTGGGCTCACCAGAGAATGCCCCTGCCTCCACACTGGTTTCTCAGCTCCATGTCAGCAGCCAATGGTGGTAAAACTCCAGCGGGGCCACCAGAATCGAGGGAGTTGCTTGAAGTCGCGAAAGCCGGGGTTTTCTTTCTTGCAGGACTTGAGTCATCGACTGGGTTGGGATCGCTTCCGTCTCCAGTTGCAAGTGTGCCGCTGGTTTGGAAGTTTCACGCTTTGTCCACTGTGCTGCTTGTTGGAATGGAGGTCATAGAAGATGAGGACACTAGGAACTTGTACAGTTTTCTCCAGGAGCTCTATGGGCAGGTTCTTGATGAAACGAGACAAAATCAGCATGAAATTAAGCTCCTGAGATTCAAGTCTGACATATCCGAGAATTACTCTACCTTTCTGGAGATGCTGGTGGAGCAATATGGTGCAGTGTCGTATGGTGATGAATTGTATGGCCGGCAGATGTCGACCTACTTGCATCAGTGCGTGGAACCCTCAGTTAGGCTTTCGGCATGGACTGCGCTTGCCAATGCCCGTGTTCTTGAGCTTTTGCCGAGTCTAGACAAATGCTTGGGAGAGGCACAAGGTTACCTCGAACCAGCTGAGGTAATTTGGTGGAAAAAAAAGAGTGCAATATAGTATATGTAGTAGGTGTTGAATAATGGCATGTTTAACTTGGTTAATTGGCGATTTAACAGGAAAACGAGGGGGTCCTGGAGGCATACCTAAAGGCATGGACAAGTGGAGCTCTGGACAGAGCAGCGACGCGAGGATCTGTAGCGTTTACACTAGTGTTGCATCACGTTTCATCGTTATTGTTGAGCGAGGATAAAGTATCCCTGCGGAATAAGATTGTTAAGTCTCTTGTGAGCGAGGATAAAGTATCCCTGCGGAATAAGATTGTTAAGTCTCTTGTGAGAGATTTATCCAGAAAGCGGCATCTTCGTGAGGTAACTTGGAATCCCTCATCTCTTGCAGGTTTTGAGATCTGAGGGCTTGATTAATAATGAAATGTGAGTTCAATGTTTCAGGGGATGATGCTAGAACTCCTGCGATATCGTAAATGGTGCGCAGATGCCATGGAGGAAGAAGAAGAAACAGCAACGGAAACAAGGGAGAGACAGAGAAGAATAGAGGTGTTGAAGGAGGCTTGCCAAGGAGACTCCTCCCTCCTCACAGAAGTGGAGAAGCTCAAATCAGCCTTGTTTGGAACCATGTGAAAGTGGTGTCATCAGAGATAGGAAAGAAAGTAGTGCGTTTTTGTTGTCATAACTTTTGAGAAGGACAAAAAGAGACTTAGTGTAAATTAAGATATGGCTAAATCTAAATGAATCTAACAGTAATGTTGTTGAAGATTGATTGAGATTCTTCTATCTGTATTCTCTATGACGACGTATGGTATAGATTTTCCAAATAATTAGACTGACATGTGTCGTATGGGCGAGAGACACTTTGAACTTTCAAGTCTCTCTCTCTCTCTCTCTCTCTCTCTCTCTCTCTCTCTCTCACTCATCTCCCAAATTCCAAATTTGTCGGCGGAGACGATAGATCCAGCGCGATGGTGTTTAGTGCTTCAGCGAGCCTGTTAACGCCTAACCTCTGTTTTCTTCCGGAGAAACCTCCCATGAGACTCTCCGGCGCAGTAGCAATTCGGTCTTCCTCCTCCTCCTCGGCCTCGTTATCCGCTTCCAACTTCGATCTGAGGACCTACTGGACGACTCTCATCGGCGAGATCAACCAGAAGCTCGACGAAGCGATACCGGTCAAGTACCCAGCTGGGATCTATGAGGCCATGAGATACTCTGTCCTCGCACAAGGCGCCAAGCGTGCCTCTCCGGTGATGTGCGTGGCCGCCTGCGAGCTCCTCGGTGGCGATCGCCTCGCCGCTTTCCCCACCGCCTGTGCCCTAGAAATGGTTCGATCTCTCTCTCTCTCTCGATTGAATCCTGTCTCGATCGAATTAGAAATACGAAGTCACTTGAAAATGGGTGTCACATGTCACTTGTCACTTGTCAGGTCCACGGGGCTTCGTTGATACACGACGACCTCCCCTGTATGGACGATGATCCAGTGCGAAGAGGGAAACCTTCAAACCACACAGTGTACGGCGCAGACATGGCCATTCTCGCTGGTGACGCCCTCTTCCCTCTCGGATTTCAGCACATTGTCTCCCACACGCCTCCTCACCTTGTTCCTCCTCCCACCCTTCTCAGAGTCGTCGCCGAGATTGCCCGCACCGTCGGCTCCACCGGTATGGCTGCTGGCCAGTACGTTGACCTCGAAGGAGGCCCCTTCCCCGCTTCCTTTGCTCAGGAGAAGAAATTCGGAGCCATGGGGGAGTGCTCTGCCGTGTGCGGAGGGCTCTTGGGCGGTGCCACTGAGGACGAGCTAGAGGTACTCAGGAGGTACGGGAGAGCCGTTGGGATGCTCTATCAGGTGGTTGATGACATGAGAGACGATGAGGAGAAGACGAAGAAGAAGAAGAAGAACTATGCGGCATTCTTTGGAGCAGAGAGGGCAACGGAAATGGCGGAAGAGCTCAAGGAGAAGGCGAAGAAGGAGCTGCATGTGTTTGACAAATATGGAGGAGACGCAGTTGCTCCTCTCTACAGCTTCGTTGACTACGCTGCTCACCGACATTTTCTCCTGAATATATGAATATATATCGGATGCTCTCCAAATGGGCCTTCTCTATACAACTTAGGCCTTTTAGCCCATATACTGGGCCGCTGATATTGACATTCGTTTCCCTAAGTCTTTTGAGTTTATGCGACATGCCAACATTTCCTCTAAGAAAATTGCGAATGTGACAGTTACTATTGTTTGTAAATTAGGACCAATGCCAAGTCTATGTTTCTTAAACCATCCACTATACTAATCGTTGGCATCTTATCCAGCATATTCATATACATGTCTACATCCTATTATAACTTATATATATACACACTATCCCAACATTGTCTACTTTTTCTTTAAAACAAAAACCAAAATAAAATTCACCAGTCTCTTTCATGCGGATTATCATTACACTTCATTTAGTCCAAAGAAACGTGTTTAATGGGACTAAATGAATTGATTTGTGCCAACTCACGGTTCACACCCACACCATCAGAATTCCATGTCTTGATTCAATGTATCTATTATACAATTTCTTCGCATCTGTTTTCTTTCAGTAAACGATACAATATGGATCGTGTAATATCAACTACATTCTGGCTCATAAGTTGTGATTTATACGTTGACCAAAAAAAAACATTATCTTAGTTTGGCCGTTTCTTTTAACATGATCCTTTTTTCCTTGACCAAAGGCTTACCTTTAACATGATCCTTGACCGAAGGTGTGTGTGTCAATTGATCATTAGGGTTTATCATGGAAGTAATTAGACGTAAGTTATAAAAGTTATGCTGTATTATTTGGTGATAACATTTTTTAAGTGGTCTGACATTGCGTTTGAATTTTTAATATATCTTGGTACTTGATCAACTAATAAATAGATATACACATGTATTCCGATATTTGGTTGCTTCGTGAGATGAATATGATAATATATAACTGCATACATACATACATACATAAATACATATACTTGGCAATACTAGGTTGATCTAACACATGCAATACTCAGGATGTATTGTTTAATATACAATGGGATGGTTTACCACTCGGTTATATGATTAACTACAAACGTGGATTTACCAAATCAGGCTGTTCTTTTATAACCTCAGCATCGTTTACAAGAAAAATTAGAACAAAAAAGAAGCATCATGGGCATTGTCTTGGATAAGATTGTTGTACGAAACTCAAAGAAACAAACATTATTACTAGGCAAAAAGAAAGAAAGAAGTGGATTTGAAAAAAACAGATGGTGGATTAAGTAAACTTATTAATTAAGAACGGCGACAGCTCGCGGCTTCGCTGGCCTTCTCCCGCTTAAAAGACGCGACCTTTGGGTAGAGCAAAGGGACAACAGTCCACGTGGGAATGAAATGCAGCCACGTGCTGCCATGTCATCGACATTGGGGCCGTACTAAACAAACCAATCCTATAATTACTAATTAGTCATCGCTAATACTCTGATTACCGAATCAAATTGGTTTATTCCTTTTCTGGCTGCCGCATCTCTAGCCTCTAGTCAACTCCTTCGCTCTTGATCATTGTTTTCCTATTTTTTTAGTCACCAAATCTCATTTCCTTGTTTCTTGTTCTCTCTTACTAATCAGCCATTACTGTTCATCTGCCTTTGATAACGTCTAACAATTCTCCCAATATGACCACAATCGCATTGCATCGCATCACCACTAGGCACTAACTGCTTCCCATAGTCGCATTCCCGGGCCAAGCATAGGCAAGCTAAACAATCGATTATTTTAAAAAAAAAATCATTTGATCAAGAAAATGACGAAGTAAGAAAAATGGGCGTAACTGGTGTTTCTAGTCGTTAAACAAAAATATATAGAAGAAGCACAATTCTTCTCCATTTACAAGTGCTGCGTCTCCATTGTGATAATATTCTAGAATATGCGTGTTTAGTTATACATAGTTTATAATTAATTTGTTATACTTCGATTCAATCATTAGCAATATATATGGATTGCATTATCTTATTATATACGACCGTAGACATTTTTATTTTATACAAGAGCAGGCATGCATGCACTGATGCATCTTGGGAATTTATGTATTACATATGTATGTTTATAGTTTATACTAGTACAGTATGCAACTTTTGATCGCAACTATAGGCTACATTTGCAATATCATACTGTATAATGTATCTGTATGTATAAATTATATATGGTGTGTTACAACCTACACGCATATATGCCTTATTATTCATACAATACATGACCTCATGTAAATAAGTTTGATTAGTGATAACATAAATATAGTTTTAATTTATGTTGGTCGAAAGTTTAGACAATAATTTCTCCAAGCACGGGGGAGTTTTTATGCGACTGAGACGTTTTTATGATTGGGCCCTATTTCCTTTCTCTATGTTTTCAATCTGTTTATGTGAGAGAGAGAGAGTGCTAAATTTACATAAAATTTGCAATGAAATAAAAACATGATCCTCCACCAAATTCTGACCAATGAGAGCCACATTTACGAAACTTGAGGTCGAAATACAATTTGTACATACATGCGAAGACAAAAAGAGGACAAAGGGTGTTTGAACAAGGGAATAAAGTAAAGGGTAGGAAAATGGAGAAGTAAGAAAAGAAAGGGGGCGGGGGATAATAGGAAAATAGAGGTGGAAGCTGATCCGGATAAGTGTGGGGTCTCTGGTGGAATATGCGCTAGAGTGTGGGGTCACTTTAACAAACACCCAAAAGGGACAAATGGAGAATGTGTGGGGTTGGGATTTGAATTTTGATTTACCCTTTTTTTTTTTTGATTAATTATAGTATTACTACTTACTACTTCCACGCTAATCACGATTAAAATGGCAATTAAGAAAATAAAGAAGCTTCCTAAGATCCGCCATACACATTGAATTTCCTCTAATACCCTCAGAGGTTAAAAAGGATTAGCATCGCCACGGCGGCATGAGTCATCCGCTGCATGATACGACGTCGTTTTAAACCACAAAATAAAGAAACAATCATCAAATGAACAGAGAAGGAAGGAAGGAACAAGATAAAAACGTAAAGGCGCTCCTCATAAGACCTCTTCTTCTTCCTGAATCCTCTTCCTGCCTCCTCGATTCTGATCCCATCTCTCTCTCTCTCTCTCTCTCTCTCTCTCTCTCTCTCTCTCTCTCTCTTTTGAATTTCTTATAAATCAATCTCACCCGTCTTCTTCCACAAGTCTCTCTGTATCGCAATCGGAAACGCTGAATCACTTTCCTTTCTTATTGGAGCCACTTTGTTTCCTTTTCCATTATTCCTTTCCTCTCCTCTCTCTTTCATTCTTCATTTCTCTCCTCTCTCTCTCTCTCTCTTCTCTCTCTCGTCGCTCAATGGTGATGGAGGACAACGAGAGTTGCGGTAGTCGAGTCATTAGCGACGCCTTACCCGCGTCGCAGGCTGCCATGGACCGACGGGAGCGCATGAAACTCGAGGTTTTCGTTGAGGTTCTCCGCCGCCTCCGCCAATCTGACATGATAGACACGGATCGGCCTGGTTTCGAGGACGAGCTCTGGACTCACTTCAATCGCCTCCCCGCTCGGTAACTCTTTTTTCAATCCCTCTCTCTCTCTCTCTCTCAGCCTCTTAGGTTAGGTTTGCGCTATGTCCCCTTCCTTTCTTCTGCTTCGGCGTCTGCATGTACCCGCCTTGCCTTTGTTTAGCCTTACCGAATTCACCCTGCCCATTAGATTTGTCCTCTCCTACCTACTCCCGCATTTTGCTTTTTCTCTCTCTCTTTCTCATCAGTCTAGATTTACATAATTTATTCTAGGTATGCTTTGGATGTGAATGTAGAGAGGGCAGAAGACGTGCTCATGCACAAGAGGTTGCTGCAGTCAGCTCATGATCCAGAAAACAGGCCATCAATCGAAGTTCGTCTCGTGCAGGTGAGTTGATTTCCAGATCTCTCTAGCCTTTTCCTCTCTCTTGTCTCTTCCCTCCTTCCTTGTAAATAAGCCAATCAATTCTCCCGATTCAGCAGCATATATCTGTTGCTTGCTCGGATTCCCTGGCCTGATCTTTCATCTTTTATGTTTGCCTCTGTGAACTTTTGGCTGTGTGGGCTCACAGGATGTTTGGTCACTGATCTTTTCTTAAGGTTCAACCTGCGGGGATCTCTGCTGACCCGTCTACCTTGGATTCTATTACTTTCGAAGCTGATCAAACGTCTCCCACACTCTCTACCAAGAAAAGGTTTGCCTCATTTGAAATTACATTATGTAAACAAGCAAGTATCTCGACTCCTCTGATTTTGGTTCATTTTTCCAGCATTCATCCGCCCCCTGCCTTTGGTTCGTCCCCCAATCTCGAAGCACTTGCACTTGCAGCCAGTAGATCCCAGGACGAGGATGGAGACAACTCTGTGCGAAACAATTCACTTTATTCACGGTATGTGCTTTCTTGTAGCTCAGAGGGAAATGCAACAACTGTTGTTTGTATATGTTTTTCCTTTCTGCCTGCCAAAGGAATACTGAGTTGCCGCACTTCTAACTCACCCTGTTGATTCAAATGCAGGCCCTTGCACGAGATTACTTTTTCCACAGAAGACAAGCCTAAACTCCTTTTTCAGGTATACGCTCGGTGCTTAAGGTTGTGTGATACTTTTGATTCGTCAATGTTTTACTAAGCCAGTGTATATGATGCAGTTAACTGCATTGCTTGCTGAGCTTGGGCTCAACATTCAAGAGGCCCATGCTTTTTCTACAACTGATGGCTTCTCACTAGATGTTTTTGTTGTTGATGGTTGGCCGTATGAGGTACTCTTTTGTTTCCGTCTTTTTCTCCTTCGTTATTGCAACCATCTCCTTAGTGTACTATATCTGCTTTATAGATCAGAAGTGTTTTGGCATGTTCATTCCTTTTAAAGAGGTTCTTTTACTTGTGGATTCCTTTGCTTTATTTTTTCAACCATTTACTGATTGAATAGCTGAAATGCAACTATTTTTACATGGCAACGGTTTCTAGTTTTAACTGTGGCTTGTATGCTACCTTTTCAACTATTCAGGAAATAGACAGACTTAGGATAGCATTGGAGAAAGAAGCAGCGAAGATCGAGGTACTTGTTCGATCTATTGACTACTATTTCCTTGTGATGAAAATGGAGTTGGATGCTTTTTCACAGTGACAACATCTCATGCTCATGTAATAATTTTCCATTATACTCAGCTGCAGAACCAAAGCTGGCCTATGCAGCAATCTTTCTCCCCTGAAAAGGAAGACGGGCTAACGGGTGTCAGAGCGGCGAAAGATCATGTGGCAATACCCAATGATGGAACAGATGTTTGGGAGATCAACCTTAAACACTTAAAATTTGGGCTTAAAATAGCATCTGGTTCTTATGGAGATCTGTAAGTTGACTGTAGCTATCAAATGCATAGTCGGTTGAAGATGCTCAGATGCTAATCTCTCTCCCTGTTTCTCCTTTCCTCTTGTATTATTCAGGTATAAAGGTACATATTGTAGCCAGGAAGTTGCTATCAAAGTTCTCAAGCCAGAGCGTCTAGATTCTGAGCTAGAGAAGGAGTTTGCCCAAGAAGTCTTTATTATGCGGTTTGTGAGCCTTGTTGTGTGCTTCCCTATGTGGAGAAAAAGAATAGCATCTCAGATATAACTAAAAAGTCTTTCCGTTTTCAGGAAAGTTCGGCACAAGAACGTTGTTCAGTTCATTGGTGCTTGCACAAAGCCTCCACATCTGTGTATTGTTACGGGTATGTTGCAGTGACCATCTTTATGCGCAGTGTTGTGTTTGATATAACGTTCTGCCGCTTATTGTTTCCCTTCCTTTGGTCTCTTTGACAAATAAATAGAATTCATGCCCGGTGGAAGTGTATATGACTATCTGCACAAGCAAAAGGGAGTCTTTAAACTTCCAGCTTTGTTTAAAGTAGCAATAGATATTTGCAAAGGGATGAACTACTTGCACCAAAACAACATAATTCACAGAGATTTGAAAGCTGCAAACCTTTTAATGGACGAAAATGAGGTAATATTTCCCAGAACTATACAGTTAATGATTTCTCATGTGGATAACGATTTAGGAGCGGGTTGATAATGTTGTTACTAGTACAGGTGGTAAAGGTTGCAGACTTTGGGGTAGCCAGAGTGAAAGCACAGACTGGAGTTATGACAGCAGAAACTGGAACATATCGTTGGATGGCTCCAGAGGTATGGTTGACAAAACGTCCTTTGATGCCTATGAGATGACCAGTATCTGTTTGATAACCCCGATTGTGTTTTAGGTGATAGAACACAAACCATATGATCACAAGGCTGATGTATTCAGCTATGGAATAGTGCTATGGGAGTTGTTGACTGGCAAGGTAGGTAGTTGCGTCCCTTGTCGGTGATAGTATTTAGTCTTAAACTAACTAACTCATGGGCTTGTTTATGGTTGATGGCAGCTTCCATATGAATACATGACGCCATTGCAGGCAGCAGTAGGGGTGGTCCAAAAGGTATGTAAATTGCTTTCTTCCTCTTAGAATTTCCCTCTTATCAGTTTGAAGGGGAATGAGCTAAAAGGAAAATGTTGGTGGCAGGGATTACGGCCAACAATACCGAAGAACACACATCCGAAGATGGCAGAGCTGTTGGAGAGACTGTGGGAGAAGGATCCGACGCTGAGACCGGACTTCTCAGAGATAACGGAGCAGCTGCAACAGATAGCCAAGGAAGTAAGTAGTGTAAGAGAAATGGTTGAAAGTGGAGGGAACAAACATTGAGTAATTAATTATTGATAACAAGTTAACAACGTGCGTGCTGTGCTGTGTGTTGTGTGTAGGTAGGAGAAGAGGGGGAAGAGAAGAAGAAAGCAACAACAGGAGGAGGTATCTTTGCGGCCCTGAGGAGAAGCGCCACACATCATCATTGACTGTATAGCAAATTTGGAGAGAGCCTCTTTTGTCTTTTGCCTTTTGCTTTGCTATTCAATTCATTTTGATCCTTTGTAAGTTATACGTTTATGTACTACCTTCACCACAGTTTATTAAAAAAAAAAAAAAAAAAAAAAGGAAAAACTCTTCAGATTCTGTTTTTTTTTTAGCAAGTCAAATACTACTATTCAGTAGCAAGTAAATAATGAGTTGGATAGAAAGGTATTAATATACAAGAAGTTTAGTTTAGGGAAGGAGACAAAAGTCAAAGGGTGGTATGTATAACCTTTGACTGTGTTCCCCCTTCAGTTTAGGATCTTCGTCGTCTTCGTCTTGGTCTTGTGAGCTTTCCTCATCATCATATCTGGGCTAAGCTCGTTTGTTCAGTCTGTTACTTTGCTCCCGATGAGTGGACGGCCTGCCACAAGGCCGAGAATCGACCATTCCGTCGTGAATATTTGGGAAAGGGAAGTTGGTCTTTTGCCCAATCGCTCTTTCTCCAACCGTTTCTCTGCCTCTCAGGTCTCTCTCTCTCGCTTCTCCCATATAGTTGGTCTACTTTTAGGGGCTTGTAATTGATAATCTATAATCTCTGCCCTGGTTTCAAATCGAATCAGATTCTAGGGCTATATGATTTTGTTTGCCTTACCCTTACCCAACAATGATAGTAGATTAGATTCAATGGGAGGCTTCCTCTTCTGACTCCTTGTATCGTTTTCACTTTGATCAATTTGGTAAAGCAGGATCTGTTACAGCGTCTTGGACTCGACAAGAGGCTCCGAAAGCATAAGGGGTGTGTCAACACGATAACCTTCAATGCAGATGGAGATATCATCCTTTCTGGCTCTGATGACAGGCAACTTATTCTTTGGCACTGGGAGGCTGCTGCTCCTCTCAAACTCTCTTTCGATTCTGGCCATTCCGACAATATCTTCCAAGCCAAGTTCATGCCTTTCTCTGACGATCGCAGCATTGTCACATCTGCTGCTGATGGACAGGTGCTCTTGCAACAACCTCTCCACACCACAGCTTTAGTTTCAGCTTTGCATTCCTTTTATAGGATTTATTTGTTACATTTGATAATATTCAAACTCTCAGGTCCGCTTTTCCCAAATTCTAGAGTGTGGAAAAGTAGAGACTTGTATGTTGGGTAAACATCAAGGCCAGGTCCACAGCTTGGCTGTTGAGCCTGGAAATCCATTCACATTCTACACCTGTGGTGAGGATGGGGTTGTAAAGCATGTGAGTTTGAGTTTGAGTTTCCTCCTCTTCTCTTCTCTTCTTCTCTTGACTATTGAAACCTAACCTAGACGGCCTATAACGACATGATTTTCATAATGGTTTTCCAGTTTGATCTTAGGACTCGGGTGGCTACAAATCTGTTCACGTGTAAAGAAGCAAAGTACAATTTAATAGTCTACTTGAATGCAATTGCAGTTGATCCGAGGAACCCTGGCCTGTTTGCGGTGGGTGGAATGGATGAGTATGCTCGTCTCTATGATATCCGCAGCTATCGCTCCGAGGCATGGTATAATTATGCCCGGCCCGTTGACCACTTTTGTCCTCGCCATTTGATAGGAACAGCCCATGTGGGAATCACAGGTCTGGCTTTCTCGGATCAAAGTGAGCTCCTTGCTTCTTATAGTGGCGACTTCATCTATCTTTTCACCCCTGATATGGGGCTGGGCCCAAATCAGTCTTCAACTAAGGAGAGCAAGACCAAGACCAAGACCCCACCGCAAGTTTATAAAGGGCACAAGAACGGTGAAACAGTCAAAGGTGTCAACTTTTTTGGACCCAAGTGTGAGTATGTGGTTAGTGGTTCTGACTGTGGCCGAGTATTCATCTGGAGGAAGAAGGACGGAGAGCTTCTCCGTGCCATGGAAGCAGATAAACATGTTGTCAACTGTGTAGAGTCTCATCCTCACATGCCCTTCTTGTCTAGTAGTGGCATCGACTCTGACATCAAAATATGGACTCCTGGAGGAACTCAGATACTCGCTGCAAAACTGGTAATGCATGCCATCTCATTCCTACGCTAACCTCCTTTGTTTTTGGATACAATACATGTGACCGGAGAGGCTGAATATAGTCTTGGAACATGAACTAATTTGTCTGTATTTTGTTTCCTGGAAACAGGATTCGATGTCTGTGTTTTCTGATGAAGACGACGATGATTCTGATTCTGATTCTAATGAAGTTAGCGATGAGATTTCAGATGATGATGATAGTGCGGAAGAGGAGGAGGACAATGGTGAAGACGACGTTGAGATTAAGGATGATGATGGTTAGGATGAAGATGAAGATGAAGATGATATACCTGTATCGATTACAAAACTCATGCAAAACAAAAAAGGTTTAATTTTACATAGCTTAGTTAGATTTTGGGTATTTGTATCAACATAATTGTCTTGTAATAGGCTTGACAAAAAAAAGGAAAACACTGATTGATAGTTCACAGAGAACAAAAGAACCAATTATGTCTTAAGATCAGAAATTTTCACTTGGCAAACATTCTTCATACTCCGGTTCTGTTCGCTCAAGAAAGATCGCTCCATGAGAAATGGACCTTCCTGAGAGGAATAGAAGAAAGCTATTTTAAGCAGAAATCGAGAATCAACTGGTTAAAGGAAGGGGATCAGAACACGACTTACTTCCAGAGAATCGCCCAAACAAGAGCAAGCTACAACTCCATCAGATCGTTCTTGCTCTCCAATGGTGAAACAATTCAGGACCCGATAGAGATGAGTTTCCACGCCATTAATCACTTCAAAACTATTCTTGGGCCTTCAGTCTTGCCACCAACCTCGCTGCTCTCCCCTCCCTCATGGTTCCAGTCTCTCTCACCTTTCCGCTGCCCCCCAGAGATCCAACTAGGAATGGTTGCTAGACCATCTCCAGAGGAAATCAAAAAGGTTTTATTTCGCCTGAACCCGAATAAGTCCTCGGGGCCCGATGGACTAACCTCAGGCTTTTACAAGGCTGCATGGGACATCTTGGGTCCGGAAGTAACCGCTTCTATCTCAGATTTCTTCACCAACTCGTTCATGCCTGCTTCCACCAATGCAACCATCTTAACTCTCATCCCGAAGCACCCAGGAGCCTCGATGATAACCGACTACAGACCCATATCGTGCCTCAATACCCTCTATAAAGTTGTCTCTAGACTTCTGGTGCGCCGTTTGAAGCCACTTCTGCCATCCCTCATTCTCCCCAACCAAACTGCATTTGTCAAAGACAGATTGTTAGTTGAAAATACAGTTCTTGCAGCGGAAATAGTCAATGGCTATCACAAAACAAAAGGACCAAAGAGAATCACAATCAAAGTTGACATAGCAAAGGCGTTTGATAGTGTCTCTTGGGAATTCTTGTTCAACTGTCTAGAAGGTCTAGAGCTGCCGGAGCAGTATAGGAAGTGGCTTAAAGCTTGTATCTGCACTACTAATTTCACGGTGGGATATAACGGTATGGTACAAGGCTATTTCAAAGGGAAGAGAGGACTAAGACAGGGTGACCCACTATCTCCCTATCTGTTCGTTATAGCTATGAATTGCCTCTCACTAATGTTAAACAAGGCAGCAGGGGATAAGAAGTTTACCTACCACAAAGGCTGTGCTGGCTCCAAGCTGACGCACCTTTGCTTTGCCGATGACCTTCTTATCTTTGCGGAAGGGACTTTGGAATCTGTTCAGAACGTGTTACAAGTCCTTCATAAATTCCAGAAGCGATCAGGCCTTGCTGTCAGTGTGCAGAAGTCGAGTTTCTTCGCCGCGGGTGTTTCTGAAGCTGATTGTGACTTGATAAAATTCAGTACGGGAATGCCTCAAGGAACGTTGCCAGTCAGGTACTTAGGAGTCCCCCTGTGTAGTAAGAAACTAAGCATGGCCAATTGTGAAATACTAATCCAACAAGTAAAGATGCGTCTTACCTCCTGGAGCTCGAAGTCGCTGTCTTTTGCGGGAAGGCTTCTGTTGATAAAGACGGTCATTGCAGGAATATCAACTTTCTGGTGCTCCTCTTTTGTCCTGCCAAAAGCGTGCATCAAAAGAATTAACTCTCTGTGTAGTATATTTCTATGGCAAGGGAACTTGGAAGCTCATCACTCGGCAAGAGTCTCCTGGGACACAGTAACAAAAACAAAAGAGGCAGGAGGGTTGGGAATTCGTGACCTGGTTGTTTGGAACAAAGCGTGCTGCTTGAAATTGATCTGGCTCATCTTTTTCCAATCAGGTTCAGTTTGGGTAGCTTGGTTTAGAACAGAGATCCTACAAGGGAATCTGAGTAACTTCTGGACAGTCAAACCAAATCAGAGAAACTCGTGGTTGATCAATAAGTTACTCAAGATAAGGGAGGAAATATACCTATGGATCAAACTGAGAGTCGGGAATGGGAGGAATTGTCGATTCTGGTCGGACAATTGGTCGCCTTTTGGCAACATCCACAACTACCTACTGGGAAATGAAGGCTCAAGACTAGGCATCCCTCTGAAGGCGACATTGGCAAGTCTCCATCGAAGAGATGAGTGGCGTCTGCCCCCTGCAAGATCTGACAGATTGGTGAGTATCCAAGCACACTTAACTACTATCTCAATCACTAACCAGGAGGATTACTATGAATGGGAAATAGAGGGGCAGGTCTCGAAGAAATTTGGGACTGGGGAGGTTTATAGGCAACTGAGAGGAGAGATGGCAACGGTACCTTGGACTAAGGCAGTGTGGTGTGGAGGCGGAATTCCTAGGCACAGCTTCTTGACTTGGCTTTTTACACTCAATCGATGTCCGACTCGTGATAGGATTCTGGGTTGGGGTCTGCAAACGGATCCTGTTTGTCTTCTATGTAATGTAGAACCAGAAAGCAGAGACCATTTGCTCTTTCGATGTGAGTATAGCTGGAGAATATGGAGGCCATTGGCAAGGAGATGCAATCTCCAACCTTTAAGGTCTTGGAACACCTCCCTACAACAAATGCAGTCTCTCACCCTGGGAAAACTGTGGAAGAAACTAGCGCTTATCACTTGGCAGGCAACAATCTACTGGATTTGGGCAGAGAGAAAGGGCCGACTTCATCGTGGAGTCTTCTCCTCGGACTGCTCCATTTCATCCTCCATCGATAGACAAATCCGGAATCGAATCGCTAGCTTCCGAGACACAAACCCTCTCCATGCATCAAAACTCTTGCAATTGTGGCTCTCAACGGGATCGCAATCGGCAGACTTTTCTATCTGATCGGCAATATTCGATACCACCGAAGCTGTTTGGCTCCTCCCTCAAAGATGGGCTTTGTGGGTTGGTTAACTAGAACCCTTTAATATGTATCTCACTTTGGGCATTGGGCTTGCTCTAACTATTATAGCCCACGGGCTTGTAATCTTTTTCTTCTTTATGCAATTTAAATATGAAAGCCATTTACAAAAAAAAACATTCTTCATACTGTGAAATAAGAAACAAAAAAACAAAGCATAATCTGAATGAATCAATGGGTGGGCCAAAATGACAGAACAAACTCCAAAAAGACTTAGTGCCAAAACGCAAAGCCCAACAAGGTCCATTTTTTTATCATCGAAGGCTAGCGAGTAGCGAGTAGAGCGAGCTTTGGTAACTTTGAGATTTGCAGAGGATGGTGGTTTCTCCGGCGCTGCTCAGAAATGGTTCAGATCACTATTCCGTCCAGTCAGCTTCTATACTTTGCTCATCTTGATCACTGCTTCTTATTTTGGTCTTCATTTTCAATTCATAGGCTCAATCCGATTGGCTCGTCCCCAAATTCCGTCACACCGGAATCAGAGACGCAATGGTTTTGGACCCAATTTCTTTAGGAATTCGGTAATTTCATATTTCTATGACGGGTTAAGTCGTTAAGACAAGGAAGAGCTTTGACGTAGCCTGTGTATGATTGTTTTCATTGTTGTAGACTCTCAATGGAAGAGTTAGCTATAACTATAAGCATGTGGGTTTGTCTTGCACGGCATCTGTCGGAAACCCGAGCTTCCACGAGGAGCTGCCCGAAGACCCCTTATGGTTGAGCCTTGTTAGGGACATAGTCTGGTATGTAATTTCTCAATCAATCAATCAATCAAAGAAAGCTCTCTCATCTTGATTCTGATTCTGATTAATGTTCTTCATCTTTGAAAGGAGCACGAGATCCCTCTGGTCCTTTATGGCTGAGCAACCGAGCCAGCTGAAATTCATAGAGTGGCCAAGTTTTACAAGCACGGTATGTCATGTGCTCTCTGTTTCATCTTGTTAGTTGTTACCATCCATATGAGAGCAGTTTTGTAACTTGACTAGTTTTGGTTGAACAGCTAAAGACGGCCACACTGAGTCTCTGTCTTGTAGCTGTCTTCATTGTTGCGCTCTCATCGGTGGACTCTGCTCTTTGTTACATATTGGCGTTGTTCTTGAGAAAAGCCCCATGAGAGTAGAGACCAATGTCATTTAGATTGTTAATGGTCATATAGCTTTAAGAATGGATTGCGATAAAAGCCTCTTTCTTTGTACTGTATTATTTAGGTTTCGACTTGCAACATGTACCCAATCAACCTCTGCTTCTTTGATAATGGTAACACAACATAGACATAAGAAGAGCATATATCTCCCTCAAACCATAAATCTCAACATAGAGTTATGTAATGGTTGGTTTACAAAAGGAAAGCGCTACTTGAGAACAACAGCAGCATTGCGAATGGAGAGATACTGGTGGACTTGCTCGGAAGAGAGTGACCTTACAGTCTTGAAGACCTCTGCATTTGCATACCTCAGATTTGTTCTTGGGTCCACATATGGTGCCTATCACACAAACATCATACATTATATATATCATTTACCTATTAGTTAATTAACTTGGTATCAATCAGCTCTAGGCATCAATTACCTCATATCCAGTTATATCGCAAATTCTCTTGCATGGTTGAGTGGACGGAGGCGACTCAATGTTCATATCTGCACAAATCAAACAACAAAAAAACCAATTCTATAACACAATTCAGTTTTCGCAAGCATGAAAGAAAGGGCCTAAGAAGAAGCCATTCAACTTACAGTTGGGTTCTTCGGGAGGATAATCATGAAAATTCTCAGCTTGAAGAATCTGCTTGAGGTGTTTCCACCTTCCTCGAGACTGCCCCTTCGGGTATTTTTCATGAGACTGTATCTTCTTAAAGCTCAAGTCCGATGCAAGTACTATATCTGCCTCCAATAGCTCGCCCTCCATTCTCTCTGATTCTCTGTCGTTTGTTAGTCTGGGAAGCAACCAACCCTAGAATTAGAGATTACCAGAATTACAGAGAGGATCGAGGAAGAGGACGAAGCCCCTTTATTGGAAACGCTGTCGTTTTTGCGTGATTGTTAGTAACCGGCCTGGTTCGGTATGGTGATTGAAACATTATTAAACCAATCAAAAATCAGACTGGGATTCATCTTTCTAGATCCATTCAGGTGGTGATTCTGAGTGAGTGCAGAGAAGAGAGAAGAGAGAAGAGAGAAGAGAGATTCGATTAGGAGCTCTGCTTGTTCAGTATTTCAACCCATTCTTTGCTCTCATAAGTCTAAATTGACGACTCGGTAGTTGGATTTTCTCGTAAGTTGATCGATCTGGGCTTTCCTCTTCATTCGATTTCTCTCTGCCATTTTGTTTTGCTTTTCAAAAATCAAGTTGGCCTCTGCTTTCGCTGCTGTAGTGTTGTCCCGTTTGGCTTGCCTACCTTTAGCTCTGGAAATGGTATCTATGTGTTGGTCGTGATGACAATCGAAAGACAGCAGTGACGATGAGTGATTTTCAGCGATCACTTTCTGTGCGGTTGAGCCGCCGGGGCTATCAAAATGCTCAATCTAAAGGTCTGCTCTGAAACATAATCTGTGCCTCAATGAGCCATGAGTTTATGCTTTTAATGAGAGTATTATATGTATGTATTGAATGTGTTTCAAACACAGATGCAGAGGCAGGCTTCTTCTCTCCCACTAGACTTCATACTGATTACACTATGAAAAAGATTTGGAAGGCTGGCTTCCTTCGTTTGCTGCTTGTTGGAGGCATTGTGTGGATGCTGCTCATTCTTTTCGCGCTGCTCTTTCATGTTTGGTCATGTCAATCTTCTCTTTCATTCTTCTCAGGTATTCTCCATGTTTAAGAAATGTCAATCTTCCACTCGATACCATTATGTTTAAGCATTGCCAAGTAACATTATGTTTCGCTTGCAGCTATATGCAACAAAGAAGGCAGACTCTATGTCATGTTAGACACGATTGGATTTGTACCAAAACCGCAGCACCGTAAGATTTACTATCAATCTATTTAGCTTAGTGTGGCGCTTAATCACCGACTCTGTTTCTTTGATTTTTCTTTCAAGGATGCCCCATTCCGGTAGCCTATGACCCTGATAAGGTGCTCCTTCCGAGTGGCAAAACCGCAGATACAATAGTCAGAAATCTGACCTACATCACAGAGGATGAGTCCTCTAACTCTCAGTTTCCTCTTTTTGGCGGCAACATAAGCTGGTCTCAGCGAGAAGAAAGCTTCCAACTCAAACCTGAGATGAAGGTAAAAACGCTTTCACTTTTTTAGCTGATGGCTAAACCTCTTACGAATCATCTCATCGCAACCAAAACGTTTCAGGTCCACTGCGGATTCATGCCAGGTGGTGGAGCAGAAATGTCATCTCTGGATAAAGAATACGTCAAGAAATGTAGATTTGTGGTTGCGACAGGGATCTTCGATGCATATGATGAACCCCACCAGCCGTCAAACATTAGCGAGCGATCCAAGAATCTCTTCTGTTTCGTTATGGTGGTAGACGAGGTCTCTCTCGATTTCCTAAGCAAAAACACTACGGTGAGGAAAGATGTTCAAGGAGGCAAATGGGTTGGCATTTGGCGTCTGGTTCTACTCAAAACTCCTCCGTATGATGAACCTAGGAGGAATGGCAAAGTCCCGAAAATCTTAACCCACAGGTTATTCCCTGAAGCACAGTACAGCATTTGGATTGATGGGAAGATGGAGCTTATTGTTGATCCCTTGCTTATTTTAGAAAGGTACGGATACATCGGATCCTAAAAGGATGTAGCAAAGAATTAAAGGCTACATGTTCCTTGTATATACTACTATTCACTGTCAGTCTCGGCGTAACCAAGAAAGTGCTAAAAGATGCATATATTCCGGTTTCATCTTGTCTTTCAGGTATTTGTGGCGTGGGAAACATACGTTTACTATTGCTCAACATAAACATCACCGAAACATATATGAGGAAGCTGATGCGTGCAAGAGGAGAAAGCGATACGCCAGGCCTCTTGTTGATCTTCATATGAAAATATATCGATACGAGGGACTGGAACCCTGGAGCATCAAGAAGAGCACTGTTAGTGGTACAATACCCATCATAACAAACATATTCAATGTTTAATATGATAATATACTAAGCCTCTTGTCATGCGTTACACAGATGTTCCAGAGGGAGCGGTGATAATAAGAGAGCACACGGCAATGAACAACCTGTTCAGCTGCCTGTGGTTCAACGAGGTACACCTGCTAACACCAAGGGACCAGCTAAGCTTCGGGTATGTAGTGTACAGACTAAAAGGAGCCTTCAAGGTGTTCATGTTCCAGAACTGTGAGTACAACTCTCTGTTTGAACTGCACCCTCACATCCGAGAACATTCCTCGAAGATCGAGTGGGTCAAGAGTCTTAAGGAACTCAAAGGCAAAGGAGAGAGTTTGAGGGAGAGCCGAGGCGGCTTTGGGCTCTGGACGCCTTACCCTGGGGACCTTGATTCCGTTGAGCTGCCCAAAGTAGTCAGAACTTCTAAAGCTGGTTGACGCAGAAAACATGTTTGATTCACTAGTTTTTGCCTTTCTTTGATCCTTCTCTGCGGATGGATTGAATTCCAAGTTTTTCCAATTTATATTATATAATACATGTTACATACACTTGTTTTTTTAACCATATTTTGTAGATGGAAGAATCAAACGCAAAACTCAACCAATTGTAAAATCAAAAAGAGAAGCCGCCTTATAACATTCATTGTCACCATAGCTCAAGAGTTTTTAAAACGAATGTATATATTGTTGAACCAGTAAAAAAAAAACAAAGGAAAATCTCATAAGTTACACAAGAGTCTCAATTATCTCTTTCAAAAAGAATAACATGCTTCCTTGCTTGCTCAGTAAAGGGTCTAGCGATTGGGAACAAGCACCATTTTTATTTGGAACGGACGAACCAACCAACCGGAGAAGTAAAAAGAAACAATTCGGAGAGAAAACATGACACCACTGATCAAAGGGTTTCTCAGTTGGTGCTGTCGCGGCTGTAAAACTGATCAAGGGTCTTGGCGGGTATACGGTGAAGCAACTCACGGGGGAAGATTCGGAGGAGCGTCCATGCCAGGTCCAGTGACTGGAAGATATTTCGGGTATCGTAAGCTCCCTGAGCCACAAACTTCCTCTCGAATTTGTCCAAGAACTCAAGGTACAGCTGTTTGCAATCAGACATATAAAGTGTTAAAAAGAGGAATAAGAGAGACTGTTGTAGACTTGTAGTAGAAACTAAAAAGAAAAGAAGATAGAGACCAGATCTTCGGAAGAGAGAGCTTCTTCTCCAACCACAGCTTTCATGGCCTGTACGTCCTTTCCAATAGCGTAATTCGCATACAACTGATATAATCACAAATGAAGGTAATAACAAGTTCAGCTCAGGCTCAACTTCACTAACAAAGGTTGTAATAGTGACAAACAAGAAATAAAAGTCTTACTTGATTAGAAACATCAGAATGGTCCCTGCGAGTCATACCCTCCCCAATGGCACTCTGCAACACAGTCAGTTAAGTTTTACCAAAGTGATATTCTGGGTTGGTTCATCTATTAATTTTGAATTTTGAAGCGCCACCACACTTACCTTCATGAGACGAGACAAAGATGGCAGCACATTGATCGGAGGGTATATCTGTGGAACACAAACAATAATTAGTATTTTCATATCTGCGAAACTAGAAGCTAAAGTGAAACAAGTTTCAAGTCTGCCTTTTCCGAGAAAAATACACAAACATATTTCATGCATAAGAACTGTACACTATAACACCTTTGAAACAAAATTGTACCTGTCTATTGTGAAGTTGTCTGTCAATATAGATTTGGCCCTCCGTGATGTATCCTGTCAGATCTGGTGTGGGATGCGTGATATCTGGACAGTGAATTGGAAAAAATATATATATATTAGAAATCTCAAACAGAATTATTCACTCACCTGCATACCGTTTATATGGGACCAACAAATATGCTTGCTTCAGTAAGAAGGCTACATTATCAGATTTACTAGCATAGGTGTACACTAAGCCTAGTATATCATCAGCTCAGTTTGTTAGAGTCCCACACAGCTAGACCTAGATGGACGCTATGGCATCAGAAATAATTTTCACGCAAAACAAAACACCTACGACCAGAGAAACCACAGAAAGTAATTTTATGGCAACTAAGAATTACCATCGTTTGGCATGGTTAAAATGGGGATTTGAGTGATGGAACCCTTCCTCCCCTCAATTCGTCCTGCTCTCTCGTAGATGGTAGCCAAGTCGGTGTACATGTAACCTGGGTAACCACGTCTTCCAGGCACTTCTTCACGGGCAGCAGAGACCTAAGGATATTGATCAACGTTAAAACACTATGTCAGGCTTCCTATCATCTCAAAGTACATGACTTGTGATCAAAGTATGCAAATATCGATTGTCACCTACCTCACGAAGAGCATCAGCGTAGGAACTCATGTCTGTTAGAATGACAAGGACATGCTTTCCACATTCATATGCCAAGTACTCGGCCGTCGTGAGAGCAATACGAGGAGTGATGATACGTTCAATCGTAGGGTCGTTTGCCTGTACAGGAAACAGAATGCGAAACATGAGAACTAAAACTTGTTTCAACATGTCCATAGCGTGACTAGGAGACTTGCCAAGTTCAGGAAAAGTGTCACTCTCTCCATGGACCCATTCTCCTCGAAATCACGTTTGAAAAATTGTGCAGTCTCCATGTTCACACCCATTGCGGCAAACACAATGGCGAAGTTATCATCCTCCTGGTCCTGCAAATTCACACAAATGGACCAATGTGATACTGTGTTTTTTGTTTTTTACCATAATCACTGTACTAACGAAGTGGCTAGAGCCCTTTGACATGATCCAGTAAAGAATATTTTACTGAATCAAACAGATGATTGCAGTGTAGTCATGAAATAAAAAGAGATACCTCAAGAAGATTATCCGACTTCTCTAAACGCTTGACCAAACCAGCCTGACGGCAAATCTGAGCAGCGATTTCATTGTGGGGAAGACCAGCAGCAGAAAAGAGGGGAATCTTCTGTCCTCTGGCAATAGAGTTCATGACATCAATGGTGGAGATCCCAGTCTGGATCATCTCCTCAGGATAGGTTCTCTCACTGGGATTGATAGAACTTCCTGGAGAAACAAAAGTTAAGAATCAAATCCCTGTAATGTAATGAAATTTGAAAACGTGACAAGAGGGAAAAGAAGGTCACCAGAAATATCCAAATAGGCCTCTGGCAAGATAGGTGGACCATTGTCAATGGGCTTCCCTGAACCATTGAAGATGCGACCAAGCATATCCAAGGAAACGGGAGTTTTCAAAACCTATTGGAAAAAGGAAAAAGTGAGACTATGGATACACCACTAGGATAAGGATATCAAAGAAAAAGAGAGAGAGTAGCGTACCTCTCCTGTAAATTGTACAGTAGTGTATTTGTTGTCAATTCCAGATGTTCCCTCAAAAACCTGAACAACAGCTTTCTCGCCATCAACTTCGAGAACTTGACCACGTCGAGTAGTTCCATCCCCAAGACGGATATTGACAATTTCTTGGTATTTAGGACCCTAAAGCCAAAAGCAGCAGCATCAGGGAAACCACAGGAGCGAGAATGCCATAGATTCAAACAACAACCAATCTCTCTCTCTCTCTCTCTATATATATATATATATATGTATATACCTTGACTTTTTCAAGGATGACAAGAGGCCCCGCAACACCAGAGACAGTTCTATACTCTGCAGTGTCAAAGGAAAAGAAAAGCAAAGATGATCATCATTCATGATTCGTAAACTCAGCTGAAAGAAGCTTACAGTCTTCAACTCTCATATCTAGCTGCTTCAGCACATACAGACTGATAACACAAAACACAAAACAAGAGTAAACAACTATATTCATATCAATTTTTTTTTGTTTTTTTCGGTCATACAAATTTTTGTAAGCAGACTAAAAAATGTATTTACTCTCGTACTAACTACCAGAAAAATGAGCTCTGTTCCTCGGCTAAAAATCCGGCTTCTTCGGCACAACTTCTGCTTCACCAACGGACTCGACCGCACCATGAAGTCCCTTTACATGGCTAGTCATGCCACTAATTCTGTAAGCCTTAACCATCGTCCTGTATGTAATCTTATCAGGTTTAAACCCCTTCTTCTCCATCAGTTCCAGAACACCTTTCATCTCTGCAAACTTCCCCATCCTCCCGTAAGCATCCACCAGACAGTTAAAGAACACAAGGTCCAACCTTATGTCCGAGTTCTCGATGAAACGCAAGACTCCTCCAATCTTATCCGCTTTACCAGCTCTTCCATAGGCACCGATGATGATGATGATGATATGATGATGAGTTGATGATGATGGTGACGATGACGATGATTTAATTAAATAATCTAAGTGCAAAAAATCATGTATCCTTTTACTTAGATAGAAATTTAAAACAATTACATTTACAGCCTTTTCTTAGCTCTGTCTCATTTTCTCTTGATTCCATATCTGCTCTTCACAAAAATGTGCATTTTTGTAAAATAATCTGACAAGTGTTTCTATGATCTCATCTCCAAAGGATACATAGTTGCAGGAGGTGATAATACTAAAAGCTGAATATAATAAGCAAAACAGAGAGCTAAAAGGAAACAACTGTTACAAGAGTTGTTGTGATTTTGGTTTCCTCCCAAGTCCAAAGCTAAGAAGAGGAACAAACAAAACTACCACCTTGATATGCATAATGCATCCTTCTCAAATCACAGTCAATAATAATAAGAATCAAATTATATATATATAATATAGATATAGTTACAACAGAAGGACATTGGAAAGAATAAACAAAGGAGGAGGTTGGCATAATAATAAAAATTGAATGGGGACAAGTCCAAAGGTCAGGAGGAGGCTTGAGGTTGAGTAAAAGGCGCCAAGGAGTTGTGGGGAAGGGTGACGCCGGCGCCTCGGACAGAGACGGAGGGTCGGGAGGCTCTGCTGACGAGGCCTGCGTCGAAGAAGACAACAATCACTGTTATGTCATCGTGGAAATGCCGTCGAACCCCTCTGTCTATCTTCTTAAGGTCCGAGTATCTCATCTCTCTCTTCTTCGCCGCTTCTTGCAGCGCCACTTTCACCAGCCTCTTTGCTATTCCCTGCACACATCATATCCATTCTTATCAACAACAACAACAAGAAAGAAGAAGAAGAGTAGACTGTGTGTTAGTGCATGGAGATGATTCAGATTCTCACGTTACGCGGATGGTTGTGAACAATGTCAACAGCTTCTTGATTACTCATATGTTCCCACAGCCCGTCCGATGCACATATGATGAACTGATCCTGCGGCTGCAGTCTATGCTCCGTTATGGACGGCTCTGCGCTCAGCAGCGGCCTGCTGAAGGGCGACCTCAGCCTGAATTTGGCGTACAGCGGTTCCCTGTTGAACTCTGCCCGTTTCAGATACACATCCCCTATGGACCTTGATACCTGTTCAACTCTCACTCAGTAACACATACAACCACAAAAGCAAACACACAACATATTTGATCTTTCTAAAACTAGAGATAGACCTCACCTGAATGATCCCTTTGACTCGCCACACGTTATGTTTGAGAACCACAATATCCGGATGGTCCGGATGCAGGGCCTGAAGCTCCCGTCGCACCGACTCGATAGACGCATTGTGCTCAGCCGAGAGCTGAGTGGCGTGAGCTTCACCGCTTCCCCTCACGACTTGCCCAAGCACAGCCCTCGAGTCACCCGCATTCGCCACATAGAGCGTCCCATCGCAGATGACGCTTACAAGGCAGCATGACCCAACCGTCGCTATCTGAGGTCTCGTTGGGAACTGGCTGCTTACTATCGCCAAGAACCCTTCTTCTGTCGCTTGGAACGCTTTCTTTATCACTTCCGCTGACATGCACTGTTGCTCCGCTGCAAACCCTGTGGCACAAACAGAGAAATGCTTATAAACCAATCCAAAACAAACACTAAAGCATGCATACATAGGGGACATTCCAAATCCTCCTCACTCTTGAGGTGATGGAACATGTGGTCATTGATGAAGCGGGAGGTCTCAGGGCCGCCGTGGCCGTCGTAGACCCCGACAAAGGTGCCATAGGGACCAGAGGGGAGGGAGCTAAGAGAGCCGGACTCGAGCTGGCTCTGGTCCTCGAGCAAGCTGTTGGCTTGGACGACGGCCATGGAGAAGTCACCGGAGACGTGCTGACCGGAGTCACGGTACCAGAGAAGGCCCTCTTGACGGCCGCCAGAGTCTGAGTGCTGATCTGAGCGTGGCCAGAGACAGGCATTCAGAAAGTTCATCAATCCAGAGAGCATCCCTCATCTCATCCGAATATCCCACCTCTTCTTGTTACTCCACATAGTCTTTCACAATCTTAATTCACACACACTGCTCCCTCTTGTCTTCCCCCAAATGCCAAAGTCTTGTGCTTCACTGACTCTTGTCTTCTCCGCAAGCTTCACACTGCAGTGTCAACTGTTTGATTAAGAAGCGAGTTCGTTAAAATTAAGCTCCTCATCTATACAGACAATGAATCTCTATGTTCGTATAAATTCTAATCAGACAAAACAATATGGGCCACTGTTTCACAATATATGACTGAATTCAACAATCTAAGAAAATTTGATACAGGATTGAAAATCATCGGAACCAAAACTAGTTGCTCGGTTTTGTCAGAAACTGATTTGGTCAGGCAATCAAGGAAAAGTACAAGTCGAACGATTCGGAAATGAAAACGAAAATTAAAAGGGTTCAGCGGAAGATTCAAACTTGTTCGTATTGCCCAACCCCAAAGCAGCCAAAAAAAGATGAAAACTTTACCTTGCAAGATGGAATCTAGTTCTGAATTTAAGCAAGACGAAGAAGAGAAAGATCGGTGGAGAAGAGAAAGGGAGTCAGGAGATGTGGGCGTGGAATTTCTCACTTGTAGATCTACGGATCAACCAAACACAAATTATAAAAAAAAAAAGGATTAAAATAAACAAGAAGAAATTGAAGTGAGCGGATGAGGAAGAAGAAGACCAATTAACAAATAACTTAGTCCCTACAATATTTTTATTAAAAAAAAAAGAAGAAAAATTGGAGTCTCGCAGCTTATGATGTTTCGATGTCTAGAAACAGTGTGAGCGATGGAAGAAGGAAAAGGGAAAGAGAGAGAGAGAGAGATAGAGAGATAGGTCAAGTCGCCGAACGAGACGTCTCTCTCATTCTTCTGTTTGTGTTTGTGTTTTTCTTTTCTTTTCTTCCACAAAATTTCACCTTTGTGTTTGCACTTTTGGCGTGTGTGTTACTTTTTTTCTACAATTTAACAATATGGTAGAAATTAAAAGAGAAACTCTCTTTTTCTCTCTGCTCTAGACTAGAGTGCAGTGCACTAGTGTAGTGTAATTTAGACTTTAGAGCAAGAGGACTCATTCATATTCATATTCATATAATCGAATGGATACACATACAGTATTCATATATTAATGTGTAGAGAGCAGACAAGACCCATAAAAGACCAACGAAGGCGAGGTCGGAGCCAGCACATCAAAGGTCCCAGCTTTTTTGGGCTCCACAACTCCTCGTCCTTTCTCTGCCTTATTAGAGAGAGAGATAGAGAGATAGAATCATCCGATGGACAAACCTAAAAAACCAGAGTCTGAGATAATAAGAGAGAAGATACTATTTACACTTATAGCGATCCTGATCAAGTCTCTTTTTTAATTAAGTTTCAAAGGTTTAGCTTTAACATTTGAAACGAGCTTTTGCATGAATTTGGATCAAAGGGAATAATCAAGGTCTCTTCAACGGTCAAAAAGACAAATCAAACTTCAAACATGTACTGCTTGCTTGTGGCTGAGACCGCCGAGAGTGCACAGGCTCTCTCTATTATCAGTTTATATTTGGCTACGTGGCGCCAAATGACTGGCTCATGGAACCCACGTCTTTTGGTTTTAACCAATTCGCTACTATCTTATCCACCGACTTCTTTAATAGCCCTTTCCTTTCTTTTTTTGAACTTTCGCTAAATTAAACCATAAAACTGTGCAATCTGTAATGTAACACACATATCACATGTACAGCATACCAAATTTTCTATCGGTGTAACTATAGGGTTATTATAACTTGCGGAGTCTTGAAATAGTATATGTGGATTTATCTTTCATTTATCTAACGTTTAATGCCTGAGATTATACAGAAAAAAAAAAACTAAAAATAGAGACGAGGCTTGAGATTGAACCTTGAAGAATGAAAAAATTAGATATCAAAAGATGGGACCCGAAAGTGATTGGGATAAAGTGAGATATGTCACTTTACCTAACATTATTCAATTTTATATTAATGTATGTACCACTACATTTGGCCATTTCTCCCCATCGACTCTTTGTAGTTATTTATACTTTTTGTGGTACCAATAATGGAACAAGCAACTATTAGTCATTTCAGCTCACATGACTAAACTAAAGTAAAATTTCAAAGTTTGTTTCTAATGATATACTCATAATTATATAACCTGTCAATGTTCTACATATATAGTCTCCTGGTCCGGATTGATGTACATGAACTTTTTTTCATTTTTTTCTTTCAAAAAGAACATATGCCGTTAATGCGAAGAAAGAAAGATGCATGATGATATGATCTTGTTCCAATGGAAGAACCAGCCGTGATAGAGCTGTTACATCAGAAATCTCGAAATCAAAATGGATAACTAAGAGCTATTCTTAGCAAGTAAGAGACCTAGAGTAGAGGGGAGGAAAGGGAGGTGTAGATGGTAGAGATTAGAGAAGGGTCCCTACTTATTACATAAAGAGAAGGTAGCTTCCATCAATCGCACAAAAGTCCAACCACTCTCAAGTTCTCAACCTTTCACTTCGTAAGGACCAGCTTCATTATCCAATCATCTCCCAATACCCTAATTCACTCATCTTCTTTTACATATACAACCATTCGTATATTTATATCAAAGTTCATTATCCTCTCAACCTTGTGTTAAACATTTTGGTAATACAGATTTAAGTTTGAATCAACTCAGTGTAATTCATGTAATCATGTTTATGATACTTAACCTATTAAAAGTAGCTCTTCTCTGCTGTTCAATTTTTATTTTCATTTCATTAACTTCTGATGTGGAAGATCAAATTAAAGATGTATTCATTATGTGCTATAACTTACTTGATGCGAATAAAAATATTCACAAACATACGCAATTCAATTAGCGATAATAGCGACAAAAGAAAAAACAATAAGAAACGACAACCCAAAAAAAGAAGAACATCAGCACTGATACTTTCGAAGTCTTATGCTTCAAGCAATATAGTTTTCACTTGTTCAGATAATAGATACTGACTGGCTCATCAAAAAACCATAACCATTGATAGAATCAGCCTGCACTAGTTTTGTAAGTTGTAACAATCCTGACTCCTGATAACAAGTACTGGTTTTTGAAAGTATATATAGTAGATTGACAAGTTGGAACATATATCAAAACCAAATAATAATTGTTTTAAAATATAATGATACAAAACAGTATATTTGATGCTCTTCTTAGTGCTGTGTTTGATTTGCACCTCAGAAAGCAAGGTAGTATATATGCCTCGACAATTTGATCCTTTTGTGTTTATTCATCGGACCCATGATGCATTATATAATCATCAATAAGGTTTTCATAAGCAAGGTTACTTTATTTTTTATTTTTTTAAATAATAATGCGAATAGCAAGACACGTTCCTTGAGATGATAACACGAGCATATATTCTTCATCACTTTTAAAGCATACATCAACTATGTGTGTGCGTTTGTTTCTCAGAATGAACAAGTAAGAATTGAAGGAAAAATCAAATGTCGGAGACATTCAAAGTGTGCTTCTGTTGCAGCAGAAGCTTCAAGGAGAAAACGAGGCAGCCGGTACCAGGGAGCATCAAGAGGCTCTTCGAAGCTTACTCAAGAAACGGCAAGATGTCTTCCGATGAGCTGCTTAGGTTTGTGAGCGAAATCCAAGGAGAAGGGCGCGCAGGGGTGGAGCACGTGCAGGAAATCTTCAACAGCGTTAAACACCACAACGTTTTTCATATACATGGACTTGTTCATCTCAACGCCTTCTATCGCTACCTCTTTAGCGATGCAAACTCTCCTCTTCCCTTGTCTCGCCAGGTTATCCATAACTACTGCTTATTTTATACAAAGTTTTGTTCACATGTATATATATATATATATATATATATGAATTGAAAAAGGGGTATATAATATATGTTGGTAAATGAAGGTGCATCATGACATGAAGGCCCCGTTATCGCATTACTTTGTGTACACGGGACACAACTCTTACTTGACTGGGAACCAAGTGAACAGCAGAAGCAGCGTAGAGCCCATCGTCCACGCTCTAAGAAAAGGTGTCAAAGTGATCGAGCTCGACTTGTGGCCCAACCCTTCTGGGAACGCTCCCGAAGTTCGTCATGGCGGGTGGGTCCCACTTCCCTCTTCTAATCACAAGAGAAAAAGAGTTAATCCCTGTCTGTCTCAGAGAATCAGAATAGATATATATATGTGTGTTTTGGTTCTTATCAGGACACTTACATCGCATGAAGATTTGCAGAAATGTCTCAACGCCATAAAGGATAACGCCTTTCATGTGTCTGATTATCCTGTCATCATTACTCTCGAAGATCATTTGTCACCTACTCTTCAAGCTCAAGTTGCCAAGGTCAGATATTTTCTTCTTTCTATATATTTTTGGTTTGAAACAGAGGATTTACAAATTTGTAACATAATTGATGTTATGTTTGTAGATGTTAACTAAAACATTCAGAGGGATGTTGTATCGTTGTGGCTCAGAGAGTTATAAGCATTTTCCATCACCAGAAGAACTAAAGAAGAAGATTCTGATTTCTACAAAGCCTCCAAAGGAGTATCTTGAGAGCCAGGCTGTTCAGGTGGTCTCAAGAACTCCAATGCATCATAAAGAGACTTCGTGGAGCAGACCAGCAAGTGTAACAACTGATTTAACGTGAAATTCAAATGATTTTGCAAACATTCTTAGCTTTTCTCTCTTGTAACAGGGTGCTAATATGGCATGGAGAGGAGAAAACAAGAATCCTAAAGAGGAAGGAGAGGAGAGTGAAGCAGTTGGATATAAAGACTTGATAGCGGTTCAGGCTGGGAACTGCAAAGGTGGTTTGGAAAATTGCTTGAGGGATGATCCAAAGAAGCCTCGAAGGATAAGCATGGACGAGCAGCTGCTAGAGACTGTGGTTAGAGCTAGAGGAACTGATGTTGTAAGGTAAAGTGATGCACCATAAGTTATGTTGATAAAGAGTTTGATTATTATTAAAAAAAGGGAAAGAAAAACAGGTTTACACAGAGGAATATTGTGAGGATATATCCAAAAGGGACAAGACTGGACTCATCAAATTACGATCCTCTTGTAGGATGGACACACGGTGCTCAAATGGTTGCTTTTAACATGCAAGTAAGTCCATCATCATCATCGTCATGTATACATAAATGTAATCACAGAATCACATGGACTTGATATTTGGTGGTTGAAAGGGACATGGGAAGCAACTATGGATAATGCAAGGCATGTTCAGAGGCAATGGTGGATGTGGCTACCTTAAAAAGCCTCGCATTTTGCTGGACACGCAGACACTCTTTGAACCCTCCAAAAGGCAAACCATCAAGACCACTCTCAAGGTGAAGATCTTCACAGGCGAAGGATGGGATCTGGATTTCCCTCACACACACTTCGATCAGTACTCTCCTCCTGATTTCTTCGTCAAGGTATATATATATATATATATATATATATATGAGCTTCAATTAGTTTGTAGAAAAGTGAGATATTTACAGAGGAGAGGAGTTGCATGATCAGGTTGGAACAGTAGGAGTTGCGAGAGACAGCATATCTTACAGAACGGAGACAGCGGTTGATCAGTGGTTTCCTACATGGAAGGATGAGTTCCTGTTTCAGCTCTCTGTTCCAGAACTGGCCCTTGTGTGGTTCAGAGTGCAAGACTACGACAATGACACCCAGAATGACTTCGCCGGACAGACATGTCTCCCTCTCCCGGAACTGAAGCCCGGAGTTAGAGCCGTCCGGCTACACGATCGAGCAGGAAAGCCTTACAAAAACGCGAGGCTTCTCGTCAGCTTCTCCTTTGATCCTCCTTACACCTTTCACAACATCTCCTGAGTCCTGAGTTGAGTTTTGGAATACTTTCAAATAAGCAGAGAGAATGTAATTGTTAACTCCCACGCGCCCCTCGGGATTGTTTTGCCACGCGCTTTGTCTCCTCTTACACGATGATATGATTAAATTAGCTCTTGTTTATAATCAAAATCAATCCATCTTATTACTGTTACTATTACAAATTTATAATAAAAAAGATTCGACTTGTGATGACTCTAGTGTAGCCGCCTGCATAGAACTGGGTGCCTTGTTTGACTTGCCATCTTTCATCTTCCTCCTCTGCATATTCCATTTTTACTTATAAAGTACTAGAGATAACAGAGGACGAAAAGCAGAGAGCTTTCCAACATCATCAACACAAATTATGGAAGAAATAAGCGCTCCAGATATCCTCATCGTCGGCGCTGGAATCTCCGGCCTCTCCACCGCCGTTGGGCTCCACAGGTGTGTGTGTGTGTGTGTAAAAGTAGCTGCCTTTTAAGTTATATAAGCAGAGTAGTAAGCTAATCAAAGTGGTGCGTGTGTCTGTGTCACAGGCTTGGGATCAGAAGCATGGTGCTCGAGTCTTCGGAGACACTGAGAGCCACAGGATTCGCATTTACCACTTGGTTCAATGCTTGGAAGGCCATGGAAGCTCTCGGCGTTTCTCACCATATTCGCAGTCTCCATGATCGCCTTCAAGGGTATATCAATCTAGAAATTTAACTCTACTCTCTACTCTCTACTCTCTACTCTCTACTCTCTACTCTCTACTCTCTACTCCCGTAACAAGGCTACTTATCTTTGATCTTGATGCAGATGGGTGGTGGGGCCCATCTCTGCAGGAAATCCTTCTAAAGAGATGATCTTTCCTGAATCCGAGTATGCTTCTTCTTCTTCTTCTTCTTCTCTTCACATAAATCCTTCTAAAGTTTTAAATCTTCTTGTTGGAATGGAATTTCCAGAGAATATGAGTCTCGATGCGTACAGAGGAAGCTATTGTTAGAGGCTCTAGCGGATGAGTTGCCTCAAGGGACCATACGGTTTTCCTCTAAGCTTGTTCATATCGAATCGTCTGGCCACTACAAGATGGTTCATCTCTCCGACGGAACTATTCTCAAAGCCAAGGTAGTAACTAGTAACTAGTAACTCCTTGTCCTGTTAGGGAATTTCTAAAGGACATTCAGGTTTTGGTAGGGTGCGATGGAGTGAACTCAGTGGTTGGTAAGTGGCTCGGCTTCAAGAATCCGGCTACAACCGCCCGGTTAGCAATCCGAGGGCTCACACATTTCCCTGCAGGCCACGGTTTTGGCCAAAAGTTCTTCCAGTTTTACGGCAACGGTGTTCGTTCGGGTTTTATCCCCTGCGACCACAACACTGTCTACTGGTTCCTCACCCACTCCTCTCCTGAGATAGGTATATGCAACTCTACCTACAACTTCTTTTTCATATCCCTCTGCTGTCAGTGTCACTGACTCTTCTCGTTGCACTTGTTAGATGAGGAGACAAATCCGGAAGACCTCAAAGAGTTTGTGCTGAGCAAGCTCAAGGACTTGCCTGAAAACATCAAGAGTGTCGTGGAGACCACCGATCTTGATAGCATGGTGATGTCTCGACTCAAGTACCGACCTCCATGGGAGCTCCTATGGGCAAACATCACTAAAGACAACGTGTGCGTAGCAGGGGATGCCCTTCACCCAATGACTCCTGATATCGGACAAGGCGGTTGCTCAGCCATGGAGGATGGTGTTATCCTCGCTCGTTGCCTCGGCGAAGCTATAAAAGCTAACAAGAATCTTCAAGGTGAAACAGAAGACGAAAACGAGAGCTATAAGCGGATTGAACAAGGTCTGAAGAAGTACGCAGGGGAAAGGAAATGGAGAAGCATTGATCTTATAACTACGGCATATACGGTAGGATTTATACAGCAGAGCACAGGGAAGTGGATGAACCTGTTCAGAGACAGGTTCTTGTCGTCTTTCCTCTCTCGGTTGCTGCTGAAAAAGTCCCATTTCGATTGTGGAAGCCTTGCCCCATAATTCTCAATAAACAAGCAAGCAGGAGTCTAAAGTTTGTGCTTCTCCTCATCAACTATAAACTACTGCAGACCAGCTTTCGCATTTACTTCAGGATTATCTATAACTGTGTTATTGCTTTTGTTTAATACATATACATATATTCTCAATCAACAAAGTCGCAAGGCAAGGTTTGGTAGCGAACAAGAACAAACGTTTACTAATATAAGGGAAAATCTGAGTTGCAATATTAACAAGTGATGAGAAGAGAAAATGCCTTATTTTGAATCAACAACCATAACACAAGAAGGAAGATTAGATTACATAAACGTCTGCAGACTAGAAAGCAAGTGAGATGATCAGTTAAAAGTGTATGACCTAACAATGTTGCCTACGGATTCTCCAAAGGTTCTCGAAGTGATCTTTTTCCCAGGTACGTGGAAAGGGTTAGAGACGGCATCCACGTATGCAGCATGGAACTTCCTGAAGAACTGTAGAGACAAGCGGAGAGGAGAGGATGTAAAGGAGGTGACTGTATAAATTCTTGTTGAGAGCAAAAAGTACCAACTTTCACTTTCTGAATAGAAGAAGCTTTAGGAGGGACATTGTATAAATGGCAAAAAAGAGAAAGCAGATACTTACACTTCTGACATCAGTGTCTCTGACATCCAAATCAGTTGTGACCATGATAAACTTCACTTTTGTATTAGTCAAGTAACCATAGCTACAAGGCAAGAGGTCAAGAGATGTTACAGAGTTGAGTTTTGGCACGAAAAGATGTCAAATGAGTGATATAAAAGAAGAAAAAGCTCCATATATTGATATGCTTACACTTTGTAGTTTAGAGTGGGATAAAGCAGACCAAGAAAAGCCTCGTTCAATGTTGTACCTGACTTTTTCGGATTGTTCACTGGAAAAAGAAAACAAACTTCGAGATTACTAATCCATGTAGAAATGCGGAGAGTATGCAAAAGAAAGCAACAGACTTTGAATCCGTGAGAAGACACAAGTTTATAGATAAAAAGTGATTGATGTCTGTATAGTGTCTATGTTGTTGTTAAAGTCGATGAAATCCCAGAAACCAGAGAGAAAGAGTAAGAACCTCGCTCATCGATGACATCGAGGGAGCAGTGGACAATGTGGTGGAGCTTAAGGGCATCGTCAGCTTCCGTGAAGCTCTGAATGTAAAGCGGGTTGTTCTGTTCGGATCCAAAATCCAAAAGGACACAATGTCAGAGAAAATGGACCCACTGCGATGGATCGGATCAGATCAAATCAAAGCAAAACTGTAAAATCAGCGGCATAACCTGGTGGCCGACGACGGCGACACAGACGATCATCTTCGCACGACTCCGACTCCGATATAAGAAGATATCGAATGTTTTGGTCGGAAATAGATCCCACCACACGCTGCGCTTCTAGAGTTCGATATCATCTGAGCTGGGCTTTATTAGTTTCGCCTCTATCTGGGTCTGGGCCTTTCTTTCAACATCTCTAAATTTCTCATACTCTACTTTGATATTTTTCTATCAAAATTATCAAGTTTGTTCTGGTCAATCAAATCAGTGCAAGTATATTGCGACTACTACTTTCTAGTTCATCTGGGTTCTTCGGTACATTCCGACTCATTCAGACTATCAAAATCTACATTCATTTCTATTTAGCCTTTCTGTGTCTGCAAATTGTTAGATTTGGTGGTTCAAACTTGTCAACAGTAAGATACATTCTCTCTGTAAGAAAGAATGAGATTTGCAGTACTAGCGTTTATATAATTTGCATTGCAAGAAATTTCTTAAAAAACACGGTTTAGTAAGAAATTTCTCATTATGAGTTTATACATAGTGAATGGATCCAACGCCCACACCCAAGGTTCTGAGAAGGACATGAAGCTTCTAAGAAAAGGTTGCAATCAGATATCTTTCACCTCATGGTAAAACAAAGACTTAAAGAGTTTATCTACATCCACACCAGATGGATCCATATATGTACAAAGAGTGTCATACACAACACTAAAACAAAAAGCGTTAAAACACGGATTGTAAGAGCACAAACCCCTCAGGGCTTATTATGCTTTATGTTGCTTCTCTATGTCATACAGTACACACACATCTGCAGCCGTTTTCATCTGCAATACACATCCACAGAAAAAATAAAAAATAAACATCGATAAGAACTAGAAACTGCCCACTATATTGGAGGGAGGGATGGACAAGTGTTCGGATCAGCCTTAATTACCTGAATCACATTGATGATCTGCTTGATCGACCAACCAAATATGCTCAAAGCCAAGAGTAAAGAGAGCGGTGAGCACTGCATCAATGATTCAACTACCACCTGAAGGATGACCCGAGTGATTTTAGAGCACCAAGAGACTAGCTATAGAGATGATGAAAGGGGAAGAGAAGCGAGAAGGGAGAAGCTCACCTTGATCAGATTTTCTGTTTGGTTCTTTGCTATGAGAAGAAGGATTATATAAAGAACCTGTAGCCATTTCAGCAATACTCTGTGTTACAATGTCTCCCCAAAAAGAAGTGCAAGAGAAAGAAAGTTAGTTAGTTCAGATATGAACCTCGCAGGAAACACAGCAATAACCCATGAACATGCGGTTTCCATAGTAGAGTCTAAACAGCCAGCTCGTGCTATCTTTCACATCCTTGTGACTGGTCTTCCCTGATAGAAATGTACTGTGACTCGAGTATTAAACTTCTGGTTTTGCCATGTACAAGAATTATATTATGGTCTATGGACAATTTAAATGAAGAGTTAACGGTGCAGCAAAGAGTACCTGTACATTTGCAGCCAGTGACTAGCAATATCTAGAGCCAGCAACGACAGGAATGCCAAACTAGGCCTGTTTACAATCGTGAGACTAAGTTAAGCATAGATCAAGTCTGCCAGCAGAAAGTAGTGGATAAGATTTCAAACCTGTAAATTTGGGAGAGAATCACGAGAAGACAGGCAGTGCTGACTCTGTAACCATGCGCAGACACCAAATTATAACAAAAAGGCCATATTAATATTATTATTTTAAGAAAACTAAGTTGTAGCGGAAGACTCACTCACCTATCTGTAACCATGTCCAGAACAGCTCCAAATGTAGAAACTGAAAGGGCAAGTAGAAAAGAGCTGTGTGTCACTGTTCACTTGTATAGTTTTAAGGCGCAAAAGTTTTGTTCAACTAAAACTAGTAAGACCAAGTTCTATATACTTGATTGATAAATTGAAATGGGGAGAGTGATAACAGTACCTTGGTTGAATTTACGAGCACACCATCCGTCGACAGCATCACAGCAAAAACTGTAAAACCCACATTGATCATATTAACACACAACATCCCAGAGAAGAAGGACATGGGTGTCAGTGAGGAGGGTTGTCTCACCTGAAAAAGTATAACAGAGAGAAGAGCGTCTTGTTGGAGAAGCACACAGCGAAGGCAATGCAGTTCAAGATAACTCTCATGTACCCTGCCATTTTTGAATGTGTAACAACACTAAGAAGACCCACGATATTCTTCAAAACACAAAAGCAGAAGAAAGTAGCAAACACATACCGACGATATTCGGAATGTAAAGGTAGACGGACAGCGTCGCCGGTCTCTGCTTCGCTTTGTTAGCCATAAGAGAGAGACTTCACTTTTGCGATCTATTTCCCAGAAAAACAAAAGGAACAAACTTTAATGAGAACCCAACAAGGGAAATGCAATGCCATAGAGACAGGAACCCATCTCCGGTGTATACGCCAGTAGCTCAATCGAAATTCAGACGTATGTGCTCAACTCGATAACCGTAAAGACAGACCGAGATTATACGCAAGTGGAAATAAACCATCAAAAGTAGCCATTTCAAGTAGAAAATCGAAAAACAGGAGCAAGTTTTCTCACACAGACTCTATGAGAGTAACAGAGAGGGAGAGAAGAAGAGATCCGCAGCAAGAGCAGAGTCAAAGTTGTCCTTCTTCGAATCGAATCAGATTCGCCTCTTCTCTGAAGCAAACGATGGAAGACGTCTCGTTTTAATATTCTCAGTTTCGCCCCTTAACACATTTGCAATTTGTCAAATATTTCTCTATTTATTTATAAACTTGACCCCTTAATTGTTCTCGAGATAATAGTGTCAACCCAAATTATTCAAACTATAATTATGAGAGGACAATCACACAAATCATACAAATTAACGAGCGTATAAATTCGGTTTATCTCACTCATAGGCTACAGCTATGTATTCTTGCATAATGAAGGCCCAAATTTGATTTCACCACCGACAGTAATAATGCAATTATATACTCCCAAAATTCGAAGAGTGGGCCTCATAAGGGGATCCAATATAGGCCCAAAATTCGAGTAGACCAATAAACAAAGACTGGTCAAAGTCGGCACGTCGGTGTGACTTTCCGAGTCATCATCGGTTATCCAAAAACAATTTGTGTTTGAAGTTAAAGCAGCAGAAAATCTAACGCACGACGCTGGTCCCAATAACACGTCATTAGTTGACAATTTCATACTAGTGTTTCATTGCAAAGTTTTAATTAGTTTTTTTGTTTCAAGTTTATAAGAGAAAAGGATACAGTAATCAAATTTAAGACAAGGCAGAAAAGTAAGATAAGAAAATGAAAACCGGTAATTAATGAAGACGTGGACTATATATAAAACTGGTGGGACAAGGAAAGAAGGGTGAGCCATCATCATTCGTTTCATTTAACTTCGAATTGATATATTAATATTTTTAAGTATCTTTATATATAGTGAATTCTCATCATTTACTTGTTTACTCCTCCACCACTTTCCCTTTGCCTCTAAACAGATTTCACTGTGCTTGTGCTTTGCACCTCATCCTCATAACACACACACACACTCTCTCTCTCTCTCCTTCTCCTGAAGTTTCCTTTTTATTCTTCTGGGTTCTTAGATATCTTAGGCTTCTTTATTTTCTTTGGGAAAGAAAAAGAAAAAGGAAAATGGGTGTTCTTGATCAAGTTTCAGAAATGTTTGATTGCTCTCATGGACACAAGATTAAAAAGCGCAAACAGTTGCAGGTAACCCCACCTTTCTTTTCTTCTGATAAATTTAGCTGAGAATTTTAGATCTTGATCTGGGAAAGATAAAAAAAAAAAAAAAGAAGATTCGTTGAAAGGTGACAAGTCTAGTAGAAGCTAGATTCCTTGAGAATGAAAGACTGAGTGAGATGTGACTGTTTCTTAGTAGATCTCGTTAATTAGTTTAGTTCCATGAATAGATCGTTAGCAATCTTCGACTTTTCAATTATTGCTTTTCTTACTTATAAGTTCTACTTCTACCTAATACACTGAAAACTCAGAGAGTAGAGAGTAAAGTTCAGATTTTTAAAGAAAAATTGTCGAACTTCTTCTTTTTACTTTTATATTTTTAAAATTAATATAATTTTGAAGAAAAATAAAATCATCATCTCAGTACTTTGGATTTATTTGAAGCGAAATTTGTTTTGAGTCGATATTCATAACACCGACCAAATAGATTCGTTCAATCTGGAAAACAAGTAACTGCAGTTGCAGCCATCTGTTAGATTTACACCGGGATTAGTATTCTATATATATTCTCTGTCGAAGTTTGTAATTATTATATTTTTTTAAGGAAACAGCAATCGTAATTTCGGGGAAATCACGTGAACTAAAACTCACAAGTCATGATGATTATCTCAGAGACATTAACTATTTTTCTTAGATATTTCAAAAGTAGTAACTAATAATGTTCTTGTCGTTTTGTTCTGGATGAGAATAGACGGTGGAGATCAAAGTGAAGATGGACTGTGAGGGCTGCGAGCGGAAAGTGCGGCGGTCAGTGGAAGGCATGAAGGGTGTGTCGTCTGTGTCGTTGGAGCCCAAAGCCCACAAAGTCACTGTGGTCGGCTACGTAGATCCCAACAAGGTGGTGTCTCGAATGGCTCACAGGACCGGCAAGAAGGTCGAGCTGTGGCCCTACGTGCCCTATGACGTGGTGGCACATCCTTACGCTGCCGGAGTCTACGACAAGAAGGCACCGTCGGGTTATGTGCGGAGAGCGGATGACCCTGGAGTGTCGCAGCTGGCTCGTGCTAGCTCCACCGAGGTCCGCTACACCACTGCTTTTAGCGACGAGAATCCAGCGGCTTGTGTGGTCATGTGACTTTGTCATTTACTCCAGTTCGATTTGTTATGGATTCAGTTTTAATATTGTTGTCTTGTTTGTTTTTGTATATTTAAACCATCTGGTAGGTTTCTTGTTTTTGTTCTTGGTGCCTTGTTCTCTGTACCCGTTACACTCTTGTATTTGTAATTTTGTTTTTCTTTTTAATTCCAAAGACTAGTAGTGCTAAGAAAAATATCTCCGTCTAAAGTGTTTTTATCCCAGAAACACCATGTGCAGATATTTGTTTCCTATAAGCTTCTTTAGCATAATAATGTATCTAAGATATTTAACGTCTGATCTAGGATATTTGATAGGGGTCCAAGCCTGGTCTCGCAAGATCAAGACTGCACAATGAGCAAAAGAACATAGAATTTGAAATGGTTTTTGATTTGTAGGCTTGTAGCCTATCAAAAGTTTGAATCAAATAGAATGCTTGAGAATTGCTCCTTCGATAAAGATAAGAACATCAAAAGTTGTATTTACAAAAATGAAAAGGATAATAGAAACAGAACCGTATAAAGATGAATGAGAGAGATGCAAATATTTGCGATCATAAGAAGAAAAAAATCATCAAATGATGTATGAAGTCCGAACAATGCGCGTGACAATTTGTAGTAAACAAAAAAAAATAGAGAGAATTGTTCAGACAAAGATTCCGAGCTTCCCTCTTTAACCTTGGAAATATCCTCGAAACAGGGGAACATTATAATACAAGTTTCAATCGTTCTTTACACGGAGGAAAAAAAAAGTAGAAAAAAAAGAATGAAGTCAAGAACACTATACTTGCTGGCGATTCTGCTTCTAATCTCGTTATGTATAAAGGCAGGGCATGCCGGAGGAGAAGATGATGATGTGGAGGAGAAGAAGAAATTGAAAGGAGTAACATACGACGGAAAATCATTGATAATAAATGGAAAAAGAGAGCTTCTTTACTCTGGCTCTGTTCATTACCCTCGAAGCACACCTGATGTAAGCAGATCATCTAGTATATGTTTACTATACCCAATCAAGAACAAGAAGGCATGATGCATGATGCATGATTTCAGTTTTACAATATTTGTTTCAGATGTGGCCTAGTATCATTGAGAAAGCTAGAGCTGGGGGACTAAACACCATACAGACTTACGTTTTCTGGAACGTGCATGAGCCTGAACAAGGAAAGGTATCATCAACTTTTTCAGGTTAGAGAGATTTGTATAGATTTGAATGATTTTGCTTATGAATTGGATTTCAGTGGGATTTCGAGGGGAGGTTCGATTTGGTGAGATTCGTCAAACTGATACACGATAAAGGTCTCTATGTCACTCTCAGGCTTGGACCCTTTATCCAAGCCGAATGGAACCATGGGTACGTATGTACACCCATAGATCCAAACGGAACAAATATACATGTATATATAAAATAATTGACTCTTTGTTTCTCTTTGTGCCAGAGGGTTGCCGTATTGGCTACGCGAGGTCCCGGAGGTTTACTTCCGTACTAATAATGAACCTTTCAAGGTAGGTTAGGGTAGGAATATACAAGTATAAGCGTAGTGGAATGTAGTAATCTTGTCTTAATAGCTGTCATGAAATCTGAGGCAGGAGCATACAGAGAGATATTTGAGGAAAATACTTGGGATGATGAAAGAAGAGAAGTTGTTCGCTTCACAAGGAGGTCCCATCATCTTAGGACAGGTACTATATATATATAATTAATAACGAGTTAAGCAAATTAAATGATGTGAAAAAAGAAGAAGCAAACTCTAAGCATAGATACGTACAGATAGAGAATGAGTACAACGCGGTGCAGCTAGCTTACAAGGAGAGTGGAGAGAGATACATAAAATGGGCAGTGAATTTGGTGGAGTCAATGAAACTGGGGATCCCGTGGGCTATGTGCAAACAAAACGATGCCCCTGGCAATGTCATTAATGCTTGCAATGGAAGGCATTGCGGTGACACTTCCAAGGGACCTAACCGACACGACAAGCCTTCCATATGGACCGAGAACTGGACTACTCAGTATACATATTCATTCAATCTCTCTCTTCAACAAACTATATACACAATATCGAGATCTTCATTAAATTGTTTTCCTTTCTTTAGGTTTCGAGTTTTTGGGGATCCTCCAACACATAGAACAGTCGAAGACATCGCTTTCTCAGTTGCTAGATTCTTCTCTAAGAACGGATCTCATGTCAATTACTACATGGTATAACCTTAATCTCCTCATTTGTCTACTACTCTACAGAAATTGTCTATATATATATATGCAGATCATTTAGCTCTGTTTCTGTGCAGTACCATGGTGGAACAAACTTCGGACGCACGTCTGCTCATTTCGTTACCACTCGTTACTACGACGACGCTCCACTTGACGAATACGGTAAATCAACAGTCAACACCTGCAAGTTAAACCTCTCCCGGTTTAGATCATAATCAAAATTCGTTTGGCTATTTATATATTTAGGTATGGAGAAGGATCCCAAATACGGTCACCTGAAACATGTGCACAGAGCACTTAAATTGTGCAAGAGGGCTCTTTTTTGGGGTCAACCTCGTGCCCAGAAACTTGGTCCAGACACCGAGGTTAATTACCTAAATCTGTTTATAATTAACTATCCAGTTTCCTGTTAACCAGGGCTTATGGTCTAGTTTTTTGGTTTCGGTTTTTGCAGGTTAGGTACTACGAGCAGCCAGGGACAAAGGTCTGTGCGGCTTTCTTAGCTAACAACAACACAAGAGAATCCAATACCATTCAATTCAAAGGTCATGATTACGTTTTACCCTCTCGTTCCATCAGCATCTTACCTGACTGTAAAACTGTCGTCTTCAACACTGCACAGGTAAGCTCATCAATTGACTGGTTTTGGAATTTGGTTTAGAGAAAACCGGATTTTCTGAATGAAACCGTTACCATGCAGATTGTGGCGCAGCACAGTTGGAGGAATTATGTGAAATCGGAGAAGACGAGCAAAGGTCTCCAGTTTGAAATGTATAGCGAGAATATTCCTTCCAAACTCGAGGGTGATTCCTTAATTCCAGCTGAGCTTCATTACTTAACCAAGGATAAAACTGATTATGCTTGGTATACCACAAGGTAACTTCCTTCGCAAGCAACATACTGTAACTTTTTTTTGTGACTTGTGAGTGATGCTTTGATTAAATGGCTACAGCATAAAGATTGAGAAAGATGACTTACTATACCACAAAGGTGTTAAGACGATACTGAAAGTAGCGAGTCTTGGTCACGCAGCAGTCGTGTACGTTAATGGAGAATACACAGGTATACTTCAATCTTATTTAGCTTAATTAAAGAACAGAGGGGTTTTGTATCCATTTTTTTTTTTTGTATAGGAAATGCGCATGGAAGCCATGAAATGAAGAGTTTCGTCTTCACAAAACCGGTTAACCTTAAAATCGGAGATAACTACATTTCAATATTGGGTGTACTAACTGGATTGCCTGTGAGTATATATACACTAATACACAGATTAGAAACACTCAAGTTGGAGACTATATATGTTACACCAAACAAATCGATGTTATAATCTTTCAGGACAGTGGATCATACATGGAGAAAAGGTATGCCGGGCCGCGAGGTGTTTCGATCATCGGTTTGAAGTCGGGAGTCCGAGATTTAACCGAAAACAATGAATGGGGACATCTGGTATGTATGACCAAGGACCAACGTAACAGACAAAATTTTATATTTAATTACGAAAACATTTTCTTGGTCTGTTATGTGAATTTGACAAAGCTTTTTGAAATCCGGTTATTAAAGGCCGTTTTAGAAGGCGAAAAGAAAGAGGTGTATACAGAGAAAGGATCCAAGAAAGTCAAATGGGAGAAAGATGGTGAACGTAAGCCTCTTACGTGGTACAAGGTAAACATAATTATTATTAACTCAACTACAAGTCTACAATACGTTCTTATATTAATCATAATGAATGGATTTGCAGACCTATTTTGAGACACCAGAAGAAGAGAATACAGTCGCGATTAGGATGAAAGGAATGGGAAAAGGATTGATTTGGGTGAATGGGAATGGCGTAGGGAGATACTGGATATCTTTCCTTTCTCCCCTTGGAGAATCTACTCAAACAGAGTACGTTCTTCACTTTTGAGAACATTGACTTGCGAGTCAAGAACAGAGACTAACTCTTTATGCATGGTGGATATTTCCATTATACAGGTATCATATACCGAGATCTTTCATGAAGGAGAAGAATGAGAAGAACATGTTGGTGATTTTCGAAGAGGAACCAGGGGTGAAGCTGGAGGCTATTGATTTTGTGCTGGTGAACAGAGACACGATTTGTAGTTATGTGGGAGAGAATTATCCAGCGTCGGTGAAATCTTGGAAGAGAAAAGGGCCAAATGTAGTTTCCAGAATCAAAGATATGAGGCTCAAGGCAGTGATCAAGTGTCCACCAGAAAAACAGGTGGTGGCGGTAGAGTTTGCAAGCTTTGGAGATCCGACAGGAACTTGTGGGAACTTCACTATGGGGAAGTGCTCCGCATCTAACTCAAAGGAGGTCGTTGAGAAGGTATTAATGTAATGTTTGAATTTGATCGATGCATCATTAGATGGGATTTGTTTGGTTGACTGGCTCTTGGTTTTGTGTTAATTTGTGGAAACAGAACTGTTTGGGAAAGAATCAATGTTCGATAGTGGTGGGAAAAGAGACGTTTGGGGACAAAGAGTGTCCAAAGATAGCGAAAAAACTAGCAGTGCAGGTAAGATGTGAGAAGAAAGAAGGAAAAGAGGATGAAACGGAAAAGAAGAATAAAGAGGAAGAAGATAAAGATGAAAAACAAGACAAAGAGAGCAACGATGGAGAGGACAAGGAGAAGCAAAAGTAGTATCTGTAAACAAGATTTCTCATTTTGATCTATCTTTTGTGGGTTTTTTTTCTTCTAAAACATATTCATTTTTCTCTGATCGTTACTAGTTAAGCAAGGATGAAACTGTAAGATTTTAACCAGCATCGAGGTGGAACCTATTGTATTGGAAAGAGTTGTTCACTTATTTTATGGCTTGTGTTTTTCTTCTTTTGTTCAAAGTCAAAGTAAACTCTTTCTGCAGGTGAGGATGCTCTCATTTGAAACAATTATTTCAGTTTATGTATTTTCTGGTGCAAATGCTCTCTATATTAGGGAACAAAACTGGAAGTAGAGTAGCAAGGGAAAAAAAAAATTCTCTTTGAAATTAATTTTTCCTCAAAATAATAGAGGAATGAGGAATACATTAGTTTATTATTTTTATTCTTTGATCCCTTACTTACATGTAAACTACGCTAAACAAATGGATTTGCCAATTTTTTTGTGAATACAAATGAACTATCAACTAGACGGACGAGTGGCATCCGCAGATATTTTTTGGGGAGATAATTACATTTAAAGGCACTTTGGAGATATTTTATTACATTTCAAGGCACTTTCAGAAACAAGGTAACTTTCGATAGTTGCAATGACCAAAATACCCACTTTCTTTACACATCTTCCTCCGACTACATCTTAAAAAAATTTCATCTGTGTTTATTTATTCTCAGATGCTTAAATTTTGAAACAAATCAAACAAGACTAAAAAACTGATAAGAGTGATTCTCTTTCAAATCGTCGAAGAGAGAATAGCAAGAGATGAGACTGTTGAGTCTCCCTCCGAACGATGGTCTCGGCGATTTTGTCATCGAAGTTGATCTCGTAAACTCAAATTCCTGCAATTCCATATTCACTTAGGTTTTTTCATTTTTATTTTCTCTAAATTTTATACTATATTATTGAATTTTAACAGAGTTTGCTTTGATAATAAAAATTCCATTCACGAAACAATATATATGAAACAAATTTTGAGCTGAAATTTGTTTTATCTGCTACAGCCAACAATCACTCCATAGGTTATATCGAAGAAGGTGAACAGAAACAAAAACAAATGCTCATCCACAAAATCATAGCCACATGAAACTGTCCAAACCGCATCCACTTGGATACACCGCTGTGGACAGCCAACATATCCACAAGAAACTAAACAAACCGCATCCACTTGGATACACTGCCGTGGACAGACAAATCCCAAACATGTAGACCTCTTGTACAATGACTTCCGTCTAGAATTGGGATTACTTCATCTACCATGTCTCTCATCTACATTTAGGATCAAGATGCTTATTATATTCACGCCTTGGACAATTTTAGTATAGTATACAAAAAGATGGTTTGAGTTCTCTTGTTTATGTGTCTCATAACAATCTTTTTTTTAATGCTCCAAATTCTAAAAATCTGAGATCAAATGACACAATTTCCATTACTACACAGGTATCAAATAATTTTTCTCCTCATAATGTCCAAATGGACAACCTCATATAGACATACTAAAATGTACACGTTAATACAACCTTAAAACAAGATATATGCAAATATTTAAACGTAGATATGACTCTGTAGTAACAGTATAGCTACGTTAATACAAAACTTGACAAAATACAGGTATAGCTACATATAGATAAAACGTTGTGGACAAGAGCATATGGATAGGAAAACCTTAAACAATACAAAGATACACCGTTTATGTCCATCCGTTTAGGTTCATGAACTATAGCCACAATCACAAAATCAAACCACATCCACTATTCTATGTTATTTACGAATCCTAAAGTTGAGACATTAAAGTTGTAATTCTTCTTTTTTTATCCGTACGACTGTGTCCATATTTTGTTATCCATATGGATATATAACACATATGTCCATATCAAAGTATAAACATGATTCTGAAATTGATTCTGAAAAGAGACCAATAGCCACATGAAGTCGTGGACATGATATTGTGAACATGATATTGGATGTATTCATTTGGATTTCATAGCCCTTTATCTGATTGTAAATCAACTCAAAATCCTATACTAGCTTGACTTATTTGTATTACCTTTCAATGTTTTCTTATTTACTCAAAACCCTATGATAATTTGTTGCGTTTATCACATAAATATCAAAGTTGTAATTTTTTTCTTCTACTTTTAGTATTTTAGAGCTTGTGATGTATATAGTAAAGATCTTTTGACCCTATATTCAATACAGAAACAGTCTGAGATCATAAAAGAAGACTTTTAATGGCAACAACAGCAAGAATCAAAATGTCATAGATCAAGCTTTCTTAACCTGCATTTTGACATACGATTTTACTCTGTTCATCCACAATATATCGTCTATATGTTCCTATCCACATACGCCTATTTAGGTCATCCACTATATATTGTTTATATGTTCATATCTATGTGAATTTATTCATTTTAGCTTACAACTAGCAAATCTCATAGTTGCAGGTTTTGTATCCACTATCATGTGTACATTTGGAGGTGTCCACACAAAGATTTATAATGGGAGAAATCGTATCTTCATAGCTGGTCCTCTCTTATGGTATGCACTTATGGTCTGTTTCATAGTTTTATCCACATATCAAACATCAAAATAATAAGTTGATTTTCGCAAACATGAAACTTAAACATCGTAAGAATGTGTCAAACCAAATTAAAAAAGAAAAAAAAAAATATATATATATATATATATATATAGTCCCATCACAGATTAAATTAAACTTTAGCCTCAAATCTCTTCCATATGAGATTGTCATTTTCGTGTTCGTAGTAGTCTGTCCATTAAAAGCTGTCCATCTAGTCATGTCTATATGTACAATTTGATATTATCTCACAAGAGTGTTTCATGGACATGTGTCCTGCTGATTGTGTCCATACTTCGATATCCATATGAAAACTCATCTCACATTTATATAATGAAAATTCATCTCATGTTTACTAATGTTCTCTGAAATCATGCACAAAAACATCATTGTGTGTCCACACATATGTATCCACGCGGATAAGTCCATATATGTGAAAAAGTATGTACATACATCTTTGTTTTCTTAATAATGGTTTTTTATCCACACGCTCTACTCCACATCAGACTCAAGAGTTTACCCTGTTACTATACATATCTTACATTAGTTTTGTATTCGTGTGTCCATTGTAGTCTGTCCATAGGAGGTTGTCCATATATATGTGTCTATCTTGTTAAAATGAATAAGCTAATATTCATTATCATCCAAACCCACACATCCATGTAGATAGTTTCATCAAGAGCTCAAAATTGTTAGTTTGAACCCTGAATCGCCAAGAAAGGGAAGAAGAAAGAAGGAAAACTTACTCAGTGAACAGCAGACCACACCTCATCTCTTTTATGGACCAATTTTGAAGATGCCATAGCCATTATACAATCACTGTAGAAGCTAAGAAGGGAAAAGAGGGGAATCAAAATTGGCTCCGCCACCACAAGCTCAACAAGTTTCTCGTCGTTATGTGCAATCAGCCCAGCTGGAATCACTGTGATGGCGTAATTTCAAAGAGAAAGAAACATATATTATAAAAAGAAGAAGAAGATGAATAAGAATAAAAAAAAGAAAGGGGATCCGAAAAAAAAAAAAAAAGATAAAGCGTGAGTCATGAAGAGAGAGAAGAAGGATAGTATTGCTTTAAATTTCTCGAAAACAACCCAAAGTCACCTAAATTTATAAAATGCATTTTTTGTTACTTTGAAAGTGCAAAGTGCCTTTCACTGTAAATCACTCTTTTTTGGGAAACTTAGTTTTTTTTTTTTAAACACTTAGTTACAAAATGTTTTTCTTCCCTTTTAGAGCAAGATAGGGAAAGACAAAAAGAGTCACAAGACTCACAATTAAATAACATTAAAAATATATTAAAAAAATTGCAGAAGCTTCTATTGCATCTACCTAACACCTTTGAAAAAGTCGTAAATTTTTTTTTAGAAAAAGAAGAAGAAGAAATGCATTTAAAAATTAAATTAAAACTATATAAAAAAAAAGCTTTTAGAAAGAAGAAGAGGCAGGTGCGCCTGTCTTCTTCACTTGTGTGGTCATCTTTTGTCCTTTTCCACTTTTTCATTATCTCTCAGTTCTCACCACTCCTCTCTCCCGTCTCTTTCATTTCCAAGTATCCTATAATCTGATTATCTTAATTACGATATGTAATTAATCAACTAATTAATTACTTAAAACCGTAAATCTTGATGTTCAAAAGTAAGAAAACTTTAGTAATTTTAGTTAGACAATACTTGATTTCCGACACTATTAATTGTTGTAGCCAGGGAGAAGTCTGATTTCCAGTATTCTTCAGTTAGTCTATTCATCGGAATCGTATATATCCCATGCATGCTTAAGCACCAATGCAAGTAATTACACCACAACTTGTAATTAAAATATTTGTAATCATATAAGATTTCCAAAAGATATGTTGGCTGAGATCACAACGATATTTGACCTACATATACACAAAATTAAAGTGCACAACAAATTGGTCAATTTAATCACTTTTTTGTGTGGGTATAAGGATTTGGTGCCGCCAAAGTTTATCACCAAATTATTAACTACAGATTGGTGACAGATTCAAATGATCGCTCATCGGTTTTAATTCCCTCGCAAATATAGTTATGTGTATTGTCAGAAACTTATCAATTTATCACGTAATGAAGAATATTTATAAGAAGAAGAAAAAATAGTACTCCATCTATTAGTTTGAGAATTGAAAGACGAGATATAGTAGTAGAGGGGTTTCGAATTTTGTGAAGAAGATCAACGAAAAACGAAAATATACAAAAACAGTTTTAATAAGTATCTGTATCTTACGATAGAACAATGTTTTACGAGTCACTCAATCTAATTTCAAACATGTGGCTACATTCAATGAAACTCCTATACAATGCATGCCATGTATGCATGCATGTGGATAGATATATATGTATGTATGTATATGTGGATCGCAAGTGGACAAAGGATGAGGAAAGGTTGGTATATAGGTTGGTAGGGAGATGGGTAGTGAGAAATAAATAGTTTGGTAGAAGAAAGGGTCCATTGGTTGTTGCTTCCTTCATTTATGGTTTTTTCTTTTCTTTTTCCATGCATATATTTTTATTTTTATTTCCTTTTTTATATCTAACATTAATTTTGCTCCTACCTCTCCTCTCTTACAAGTTACAACTCATCTACTCGTGCCAGATTAACTACAAACCTCACTCTCCACTTGTCATGAATCATTTGGATTTATATCCATCTCATGTTCTTCTTAGATCTCTTTATATAATCTAAGTATTATGTAATGAAGTATATATCTTGCCATACTAACCATATTTCTTCTCCTTATTTGGCTTTTCTACAACATTGGATAAGGAGTTTTTTGGGCAACCAACCTCTTGCTACATAAACTAATCTCAACCGTTTAAAATCATCTTACAAATTATATTATACGTTTTCTTATAAATAATCTCACAAACAAGAGAGATCCATCTTCATTAATCCTTATACGTACTAAACATTCAAAACTGCAAAACTCAAACTCCACTTGATTTTCGAATAGAAAAAATATGATCGGCGCCGATGATTATATTAATATAATACAACGAAGTTTTTTCTTTAATTTGTAAGAAAAATATGTTGTATATATAGTTTAAAAATGAAAGAGTAAATTTTCTCATACAAAGTGAAGATTTACATTCAGACTCTCTAGGCAAATAATTTTGTACAGTTACGCCTAAAATTGACATTATATCATCTCCAAGCTTCTAAAACCTAAAAGAGAAGAGGTATCTTTCTTTGCCAACCCTAAAAAGTCAAATCCGTTGGTGACGTCACCGCCGCCGGTGGTACCTTCGCATCTCATTCTTCCGCATCTGCACTCCATGCCATTTATCATCCCTATGCTGCACTTGAAACAACGCGGCGTTGATGAATTTCCCTCTCCCACCAAGCCTTGACGAACATCAGGAAGACTGATTCTAAGCTCGAGATTCAAGTCTGGGAAATTTGCTTGGATTGGGCACTCATCTTTTTCCTCTTTGAACGTGAGCATTGAGACTTTCTCTGATTTTCCAAGAAAACTCAAGCTCTCCTGGAAAGTTTCGACCTTGGGAGCAGAAGAGAAGGAGATATTAATGGTGTTACTCGTGATTGGTTCTAGCTGAGTAGGTTTAGAATCATGAGAAGCTGATGATTCTAGGATTGGTCTATGAGTCGTTGGATCAATCCCTCGGTTTATAAGCTTTCTTCGAATATGTGTGTTCCAATAGTTCTTTATCTCGTTATCTGTTCTTCCCGGTAATCTCCCGGCAATAAGCGACCATCTATCAAAGAAAACAAATTACTTAAATATATATAGTTTTGTTTAGCCATCGAAATTCCAAACAAGAGACTAATTAATGAACCAAGCACTCACTTGTTGCCAAGAAGGCTATGGAGCTTGATGATGAGCTCGTCCTCTTCCTCGGTGAAGTTGCCGCGCTTAAGGTCAGGCCGGAGATAGTTGATCCAGCGGAGACGGCAGCTTTTGCCACACCGGAGAAGGCCGGCGGCTTTAGGGAGAGATCTCCAGCAGCCTTCGCCGTGAGCTTTAATGTATGCTATGAGCCTCTCGTCTTCTTCTTTGGTCCATGCTCCTTTGTTTGTGTGAGCTTTCTCGCAACACGGTGACCTTCCCATACTCTTTTTTTGTTGTTGTGTGGTTTAGATCTTATTGTATATGAAATCTTATGTATATATATATATATAAAGAGGTATGAACGATCAGTTGTGTTCTTGTTATTTAATTTATATTTATTGGGGATTGGCTTTTAGTGAGGGTTTTGGCTAAAAGGGTATAAAGGGATTGAGTTGTTTTTTGGTGTAGTGGAAGGGGATTGAAGCATTTGGTGGGACACTTGGATTTTGGGTTTGGTTGAAGGTTCAGAGTTTTGGTGGATAGTTTATATAGGGTTTTGACTTAAAGCTAGAGAAGAGAGGTATATATATAGTTATATATACAATTGCTTCTAGATGATAGAAGAGGAGAGAGAAAAAGACAGAGAGAGAGTTGAACTTATAATTGCTTCTAGATGTGAGTTGGTGGGATGGATTTGAATGAGTTAGTGTATGGTGGCCTTTCGTTTTGGTACAATAAGTGAGAAGCTTGACATATATGGCACCATGGTCTCTTTAGACGTTTTTTCATAATCATGACAACAATTTCATGTTTAGTTGCTGAAAAAATATTTAACCATATATACTTATCTTTTTTGTACACAATCTCTACTTTCTGTACATAAACTACAAAAATGATAGAGCAATTTTTTTTTTGTAGATATATTACATTTATTTTTTTGCATGTTGTACATTTAGTAACTGAAATTTTGTCAATAGCTTTTACCGCCAGATATTGGCCCAACAAAAAGAAAAACAAACAACAGAGGGGATTTAATTTGGTAGCAATAATGAGGAGGAGGGATAATTACGTTGTGGAGGTAGGTGGTAAAGTTAATGAGTGATTTTGTACAAGTGCAGGTCAACTATAGGCTGTGTGGTTTGTATTGGTCAACAGTCTCTTCTCTTCTCTGGTGTGTATATTAATTATTGTTTTCTTTTTGATAAATGTTATATACATTGATCTAAACCCTAATACGATTGCCCGCTAAACATAGCATTATCAAATAATTAATCACATGTGCGACCAGGGTAGCTGATACAAAATATATGTACCAAAGTTTATCTCAAATGACAAGCACTTCATGTTAATATATCTGTGAAATGGTCATGCTTCTTTTATACACCAGTGTATGAACAACACAACAAGAACAGCCAAAACAGTGCATGTATAAACAACAAAGTGATCAATTATTTAAATAAAAGAATTAGTCTTCTAGAACCTTGACTATGATGGTTTTCTCTAACCAACTTCTTATAATTTTTTCCAATTAGAGAGACTTTTGACGGAATATAATATGAGCTATACGTATATCTATCAGGAATAGTTTTTATTTTTAGTTTTTTTTTATTGTAGGATATGATTACACTAAACGTTTCCATTGTATGTCAGAAATAGTTGAACGATCGATGGAAAACATAACGGTAATTAATTAGCAGAATAAGGAATATTTGATTTTGATCATCTTGTGTTATGTGTAGTTGTGTGTATGTACATATACGTCTCCGTGTGTTCAACAAAAGATTGAACTAAATTGTGAAATTTGGTAAGTTAGGTGGAAATTTTAAGAAGAATTCAAAAAAAGGAATGGTTTATAGAAAAAGATGGAAAAAAACGAAAAAGGGGAGTTGTTGAATTCCAATTTTAAAATATATTGGTATACAAATACAATCACTCACCTCATGCATGATGATGGCGCTCTTCTAGAAGGTTAGGTTCTCAGCTATATTCTCTATATCAGCAACAAAAGTTACATTCATTTACATCTGAATCGGATCAAACCCCAAATCACCTTTGTCCACATTCGGTACATACCCTAGTCAATTGATTTCTTCGTGGTTTCGGAATTTTATTATTACTTATTGGTCTGTTTAACTAGTATTCCTAGTATTATGAAAAAACAAATGAATAACCTCTACTTCATCCTTGGCAACAGGAGAAGGAACAAAAAACATTACATGCAAAGCCTCTCAAATATCATCCGAAATAGTTGTTTGAATGATCTACTGAATTACTCTCTGTATTTTTTGGCGCAATAGAATAATACTTGTCATTAGTACTAATGCGATTGTAAATGAGGCAGATGAAATAGCGATATGCGATGAACAAACAAAAATAATTTGTTTTTTTTTTCCAAATATAAAAAGTGCCCTATAATATATAAAATAATAATTAATTTGTCATTTTCTTGAAGTAAATGACATTTTTAAAAGAGTTGGATAATTATACTATTATTAAGGTCCGTATGCGGTTGGGGACGTGTGATTTGGTTCACCTTCCACATTTTTAATATTTTACTTAAATAACGCATTCATTTGTTTGATATTTTAATTTTAACTCAAGATGTAGGATCACCTTGATCCCAAGATAAAATATCGACTTTATTCAAGACCATTTTTCCTTTTTTTTTTTCTCATAACAATTGTGATGTACTAATATGGGGTTAAAACTATCAAAAAGGAAAAAAACTAAAGTGAGATTTTCTTTGTTAAAAAAGGTAAAATGGGGTTTAAATTTCAGCAGAATAAGATGCTAGCTAGTTTTTTATTTTATTTTTTTTTTTAAAAAGAAAGAAAACCTTTGCGAGACGTGGAAATAAGGTGGATGGTTTGGTGACGGTGAAGGTTTAATAATACATATAAAATGGTCATAACACACGCATATCTTACTTATAAATATCTACAAATACATAGATAGAGTGAGTATAATAGAGATAGAGAGGTCCATTTTTTTTGTTAAAAGAGATAGAGAGGTCCATTTCCACCAACTGTAACCAAGTGCGAAGTGATCTAATTGTGCCTGTTCCTTTTTTGCTGCAGAAATTTCTCAATATTTTGGCCGAGCCTTTCATTATTTATCGTTTCTACAGAAGCGGTAAAGAAAGCGTTTTATATAAAGAAAAAAAAAGAGAAAATCACAATAAGACAGATAATAAAAAAGGGGTCACAACGAAAGCTTGGGAGCGTGAGCATTTCTGTTGGAAATTCCGTTTTCAGAAAGAGAGCCACACTAGAGCTGTCAATATGGGTGTTCATGTCCATATTGGCTCGTCCAAAAATGTCCATTTGTTTGTGGACAAAATATTGTCCATGTCCATAATAGCCCATGCCCATAATGGCCCATGCCCATAATGGCCCATTAAAAATGGGCTGTCCGTGGGCTGCCCATGGACAAAAACCATTAGATTTTTGAAAATGTAAAAAATAACTAGATGATGATAAATATTGTATTATCTGCTTCAAATTAGTATAATATTGTTTTAGAGAAATGATATTTCATTATAAATGTTAAATTTTTCAGTTTTTTTTTTTCAATATATCATTATAACATCCTTCAAAAGCTAAAACATATAACATTATTCAAAAAAACAAGAAAGTCATAGACATAACTAATCATTCAGAAGCTAACATTATTCAAACGAAATTTTAAGTAGAAACAAGTTCATAGACATAACTCCTCATTATAAGCTAAAAGACATAGTATCCAGATGCCAAAACCAACATCCATCCCTGTAAAGAAAGAAGAAACTAGTTTCAGAAAAAGGAACAAATTCGTTTGAAACCAATCTTTACTCATTAGTTTCTTACGCATATACACCAATCTCTATAATCATCATAACATTATTTACCAAACATAATTAATCAAGATGACAAAAGAAGCAACAAAACTTACCAAATCTCTATTAAACTTCTTCTCCTCCTTTCTTGGCTTCCTCTAAGTTCGAGAAGTCAAATTGATCATCTAAAACACAACAAAAAAACAAAAACTTAGGATCCAAAAATGACATGGAAGTTTAACCAAAGTTTTATGACTTGTAAAGTGAATATGATGCAAAACCACAAAATTCAGAGACACCATAGAATGATAGAAACAACACCACATAACTAATTTCAAAGAACAATAACATGAGCAAAAAACTTACCAATTTCTTCAAAGCCACGAAGCCAATTCCGGGCACATATCAAGGCCTGCACATTTGAAGGAAGAAGAGAACTCCTATACTTGTTTAAAACTCGACTTCCAATACTAAATGAAGACTCTGAAGCCACGGTTGTAATAGGAATGCTCAATACATCACATGCCATTGTCGCCAACTCCTTGAAGCGGTTTTGATTATCTCTCCAATAGCCTAAAACATTCAAGCTCGGGAATGCAAGAAAATCCAGCACAGGCTCATCTAAATATTTATCTAATGCAGACATGCCATTACCACCAGCTGCTTGAGAAAAAAAAGCATAAAAGCCCTGAAACACAGAAACAAAATGAGACTATCACATGAATTTCGATAAGCATAAACATATAACAGAAATTGAGAAAACAGAACATAATCTTACACTATATCCAGGAAGAACTTGTTGTTCCATTGTGTTACTTTGAGAAGCTTCTTCGCCAGTTTTCTTTGAATACACATCAAACAGTTTCTTCATCTTCTTTCTCACATTATCCAATCTGGTTTGACTTGTGGTTGGATCTAGAGAATTGAAGCAATATTCTAAGCACTTGAACTTCAAGCGAGGATCTAATACAACAGCTATTGCAAGTATGTCACTGTATTCCTCCCAATACTTATCAAACTTCTCCTTCATACTTCCCACCATTTCTTGGATCACCTCATCATAAGAGAACTCATTTGTTTTCAGCCAACTTTCAATGATATAGACTTGCATGAAGTACAAGTTGGCTGAAGGATAAGTTGATCCTGAGATCAATTTAGTCATCTCTGCGAATGGACACAATAACTCACAAATACTTTCAGCTCTTGTCCACTCTTCCTCAGATGGATTGCTCATATACATTGGCTCTACTTCAACAAGATGTCTAAAAACTTCCTTAAACTTGATAGCTCTCTCTAACATCACATAAGTAGAATTCCACCTAGTTGTCACATCTGAAACCAGCCCTGCCTTAGCTATTTTTTCATCAATCCCCACAACTTCCACACAATCCTGAAATGACTTCTCTCTAGACTCTGAGGCCTTCACAAACTTCACACTATCTCTGATTTTCTCCAATGCTTCTTCAATCACAGTCAAGCCACTTTGCACAATTAAATTCAAAATATGAGCAACACATCTAATGTGAAAGAACTCTCCATTGCAGACCAAGTTTTTTCTCATCTGTCTCTTGAGAACTCCCTGCATATTGTCATTTGATGAAGCATTATCCACTGTGATGGTAAAGACTCTCTTCTCCAATCCCCATTCTTTCAACAGCTCCAACACCTTTGAAGCTATAGCAGCACCAATATGTGGAGGAGGAAAGGCACATAATGACAAGATCTTTGTCTTCAAATTGTAGCTTCTGTCAATGTAGTGTGCAGTCAAGCACATGTAACCCTCAATGGTGATTGCTCTCCACAGATCAGTTGTCAAGCAAAAACGACCAGGAATGTCACTTAAGCTCTCCTTGAGTTTTCTTTTCTCTTTCTCAAAGATCTTTAGACAATCAGCTGCAACAGTATTCCGACTCCAAAACACTATATTAGAATTGGCATAAGCAAATGCTTCCCTGATCCTTTTGTACTCAACGAACGAATAAGGTAGATTATGCTCAACGATGGCTACTGCAATCATTTCTCTAAACACCAGCATATCTAGTTTCCTATTTCCACATGTAGGACTATTTCCAGTAGTTAAACATGCTCTTATGTGACGCAGCAAGGTATTGGTTCCTTGTTTAAGATCTATGCAGTATGTATAATTGCAACGATACATCTGCAGTCACTTCTACCATCAGGATATTTCGGTCCTATGACCTTAAAATGCTTCCAACACTTAGAGGTCCTGCGTTTACCTCTCTCCACTGTACTTGTTGCCTCGGCTGGTGGGTATTGTTGGTCCTCCTCTTGATCCATATCCTCATCACCACTCATGTAATCCTCTTGGAGGTCCACAGTCTCCTCCTCCTCCATCTCATCCTGTAACATCAATGAAAAGAAAGAAACTTGTTTTAAGAACCATTGCAATTTATCAAAACCCACAAAACAAAACATACCAATATATCCATTGGTGTAAAACACAGAGCAAAGGATTGTAATGTTAAATATACCAATGGGTTTCTCTTAAAACACAAAGCAAAGGATTCACAAATGGGATTCACTAAATGTTTTTACAAATTGCATACAATTTTGTTCTCAATATCAAACTCATCTCTCTCAGTCTTAGAATCAACTCATAATCAACGAGATCAACATAAACAGAGCAAATGATTCAAAGTACACACATGCAAAGAAAAACCATAGAAGAAATCGCATAAAATTACCTGATTTGAAGAAGCCATGAAGGCAATCAAAGAAAACTGGTCCGAAGAAGATGATGGCTCGTCCTGGTCTCCTCGGAAGAAGAAGAAGAAGAGGATGCGTCGTCCCCCGGAAAAGATCACCGCATAAGACCACCTGGCACCGCAGAAGACCACCGAGAGGAAAATCAGTGAAACGGTGAGAAGAGAGAAACGGAGAGAAGAGAGAAAAAGAGAAAGAGAGAAATAGGTTTTTGCTGATTCAATTTCCCCAAATCGATTTAACCTAATTATTTTGATAAAATGGGCCGCCCATTTCCATATCTGTCCGTCCGCATTTGTCCATGGGTCATACTGGACAAGTCCACTTTTGTCCGTGTTTTAACTGGGCGTGTCCACGTCCGTCCAATATCAGTTGGACATGGGCCGCCCATGGGCATTGCGCCCATATTGACAGCTCTAAGCCACACATACAAGTTGCAAACAATTTTGGAAAAATTCCACATTCGGATTACCAAATTAAATAGGTGGGAGCAATTTACAAGGGTCATCTTTATAATGGGCTTTTAAACCCGTGCATGCTTGCAGATCGACGGCCCAGCCAATTTTTCGCAGCCAAATATGTAATACTCGTTGTCTCTAGTGTGTATTACTAGGTATGTAGTAGCCAGACGACAAAATGATAGTATTGTTGTATGTGTTTTCCCGTAGTAAGTTAAATGACATTGTGTTAGCATGAAACAAGAACCTGAATGAAGCTGAAAACCAAAGAATCAAGACGTACCGAATGTAGATTTTAGAAAGCGTCATTAACAATATGCGAAACGACACCGTATATGATTAACGGAGTAAAGGAATCACACGTAGCGGATCCCTCGTGTCAGTCAGTTCTTGTCAAATGCCGGAAGGAGGAGAGAAACGGTATCGTATTCTCTTCGCTTCCGTGTCTATATATTTTTTTGGGGTGAAAAGCCCTTTTCTCTCTCTCTCTTTTCATTATTCCCCACTCGATTTAGGGTTTTCTAATCGTCTGCAAAAATTAAGATCCTCCTCTCCTCCATTCCGATCTCATAATCCCTTTTGTTTATTTCCAAATCGTCTCTCTACGTCATGCTTTTTGATTAGCTGATTTCTGCGCTCTGGTTTCTGGCTCCGATTTGAGCTTCTTCTGGGCTGTGTCGACGATTCCGCTGGATAATTAGGGTTCCGTACGAGCTTAATTCCATCGTGTTGGAGGGAATTGGATCAATTCTACCAAAGGCGACTGAGACTTGAGATGCGAGCGAGTGTCCGATCAGAATCTCTCTGATCGAGCAAATCCTACACTCGGGGTTTCTTCCTTTGTATGGAAACTCGGAGCCGCAAGCGGGCGGAGGCGACCTCAACTGCCCCATCTTCTTCTTCTTCTCCTCCCTCAGGTCCCACCACCCGCAGCAAACGCGCTCGTCTTTCCTCTTCCTCTTCCTCCTCCGTCGCCGCTACCTCCACTGCCCCTTCCGCATCCACCCGCTCTCGTTCTTCTCGCTCCGCTGCTACTGCTGCTCCCATGGACACCTCCACTGAGTCCTCCGGATTTCGCCGAGGCGGACGAGGTAACAGGGGAAACGATAACACTAATTCTGACAAGGGTAAGGAAAAGGAGCATGACGTTAGGGTTAGGGATAGAGAAAGAGAGAGAGACAGAGCCAGAGAGCAGCTCAACATGGAAGCTGCCGCCGCTGCTGCCGGTGGAAGGAGTGGTGACGAGGATGACGACAATGACAGTGAGGATGGCAACGGGGGCTTCATGCATCCTAACATGAGCTCCGCCAGCAGTGCTTTACAAGGCTTGCTTAGGAAGCTTGGCGCTGGATTGGATGACTTGCTTCCTTCTTCCGGTATCGGCTCAGCTTCATCTTCCCACTTAAATGGGAGGATGAAGAAGATTCTCTCTGGCTTGCGCTCCGAGGGAGAAGTGGGCAAGCAGGTCGAGTCTTTAACCCAGCTGTGCGAGATGCTTTCCATTGGGACCGAAGACTCGTTAAGCACCTTCTCTGTTGATTCCTTCGTCCCAGTTCTTGTGGGTCTACTCAACCACGAAAGCAATCCCGACATAATGCTTCTTGCAGCCAGGGCCCTTACCCATCTATGTGATGTCTTGCCGTCTTCTTGTGCTGCCGTTGTACACTACGGGGCTGTTTCCTGCTTTGTGGCCAGACTGCTAACCATAGAATATATGGACTTGGCCGAGCAGGTTGGCTATGCTACCTGAACTTGAGATTTTTTTTGAATTTAATTTGTATCTGAAATCTGGAATATTATATCATGTGACCAATCCTCGATAGTTAATTGAAAATTAATTTGCTCTAGGATCTATCTTGAAATTTGACTCGTTTTCTCATTGTGTTTTACAACAGTCTCTGCAAGCTCTCAAGAAGATATCTCAGGAGCACCCTACTGCCTGTTTGCGAGCTGGTGCTCTTATGGCCGTGCTCTCATATCTGGATTTCTTCTCCACTGGAGTCCAGGTGGGTAAACCTTTAACTTCTCTTTTATGCTTTTACATACATGTGTGTCTAATACACATATTTCTTGGCTTCTTGTGTAGCGTGTAGCACTATCTACTGCTGCAAATATGTGCAAGAAACTACCTTCTGATGCATCTGATTATGTTATGGAAGCTGTACCATTACTGACAAACCTACTTCAGTATCATGATTCGAAGGTAATTGACCTTCTCTTTATTATTTATTACAGTACAATCTAGTTCCGCTCTTTCCTCAATTTCCTCCATAATTTTTTCATATGGTTGCAGGTTTTGGAATATGCTTCTATATGTTTGACTCGGATTGCTGAAGCATTTGCATCGTATCCTGAGAAATTAGATGAGTTATGCAACCATGGCCTGGTGACTCAAGCTGCGTCTCTTATTTCCACGAGCAATTCGGGAGGTGGGCAAGCATCTCTCAGTGTGTCAACATACACGGTACGAGTCATTTCTTTTGTGTTTTCTATTTATCTTTTATTCACAAGATGACATTTTCACCATATTGTGCACAGGGATTAATCCGATTACTTTCCACCTGTGCGAGTGGGTCACCTCTTGGATCCAGGACATTACTTCTGCTCGGTATTAGTAGAATTCTTAAGGATATTCTGTTGGGTTCTGGTGTCTCTGCTAATGCATCGGTATCCCCAGCACTGAGCAGGCCTGCAGATCAGGTACTGATTTCACTTGTTGATATGGCGACTTTTTTTTTTTTTTTTTTTTGTTTATATTTTTCTGTTGAATGCTTGAGGAAATAATAAAAACTTTATATGAATGGTATACAGTGAGATGGTTAGAAACACCTACAAGTAGATCTCTATTTCGGCTTTAGTTTCCTCAATTTTAATTGTATAACCATATTTGGCGTAGCTGTTTGTATATTGGATAGATCGTAATCGATATACAGGTCTTTTGAGTTTAATTGATGTAGGAACAGATGACTCAATGTTCTTATGCTCTCTACTCGTTTGTTAGAGGTAGTATAGAGAAAATTGATTCATCAATTTGCTTTGTCTGGTCTATTTTGTTTTTATCACATGGTTCGCTAGTTCTAGAGTTTATGCATGACAGGACCATGTAAGGTCTTTTCATTTCAAAACTGCTTTTAATTATAACTTTTCCTTAATATTTTAGATTTTTGAGATAGTCAACCTAGCGAATGAGCTCCTCCCTCCATTGCCAGAAGGAGTTATCTCCCTTCCTACTAGCACAAACACTTTTGCGAAAGGTTCATGCCAAAAAAAGTCTTCCCCAAGTACTTCAGGAAAACAGGAAGATGCTCTAAAAATTACACCAAAAGAAAAATTACTTGGTGATCAACCTGAACTTCTGCAGCAATTTGGATTGGACCTGCTTCCAGTATTAGTGCAGGTAATTTTTGCTGTTTTTGGCTACAAATAATATTCATACCACCTGTTGTATTTTCTAACTATCCTTGTTTTCTTTTTCAACAGATTTATGGTTCTAGTGTCAACGGTACTATTCGTCATAAATGTCTATCAGTTATCGGAAAGTTGATGTATTTCAGCAGTTCTGAAATGATTCAATCTCTAATTGGTGACACAAATATAGCAAGGTACATTCTGTTAATGATATAAGTTGTGTATGACATGAGAGTTTTACAGCTTCTTACATTTTTACCTATGCAGCTTCTTGGCTGGTGTCTTGGCATGGAAAGATCCACAAGTCTTGGTTCCTGCTCTACAAGTTGCAGAAATTCTGATGGAAAAGCTTCCTGAAACGTTCTCGAAAGTGTTTGTAAGGGAAGGGGTGGTTCATGCTGTAGATCAACTTGTCTTGGTTGGTAAACCTATTTCAAATGCTTCGCATACTGATAAAGAAAATGACTGTGTGCCTGGATCTGCACGGTCTAGGCGTTATAGACGGCGAAGTAGCAATGCTAATTCTGAAGGAAATCAGTCGGAAGAGCTTAAGAATTCTGCATCCGTTAACATAGGTGCAGACCATAATTCCTTGGATACTCCTACAGCTAGCTTCATGCTAAGGGAAACGGTTAGCTCATGTGCCAAAGCATTCAAAGACAAATACTTCCCGTCTGATGGTGGGGATCTTGATGTTGGAGTTACAGATGATCTGTTACATCTGAAGAATCTTTGCACTAAATTAACTGCTGGTATAGATGATCATAAAGTGAAAGGAAAAGGAAAATCTAAAGCCTCTGGGCCATTCCTTGGCGATTTTTCTGCCAGCAAGGAAGAATACTTGATTGGCGTCATTTCTGAGATACTTGGCGAGCTAAGCAAAGGGGATGGCGTCTCAACTTTTGAGTTTATTGGCAGTGGTGTGGTTGCAGCATTGCTCAACTATTTTTCTTGTGGGTACTTTTCCAAAGAGAAGATCTCCGAACTTAATTTTCCCAAACTTCGCCAAGAGGGGCTCAAAAGGTTCAAAGCTTTTCTAGAAGTAGCGCTTCCTTTTAATGGTAACGAGGGGAAGGTCCCTCCTATGACAGTTTTGATTCAGAAACTTCAAGATGCTTTATCGTCATTGGAACGCTTTCCCGTTGTCCTTAGCCATCCCTCAAGGTCACTAAGTGGAAGTGCTCGTCTCTCCTCTGGATTGAGTGCTTTGGCACATCCTATAAAGTTGCGATTATGCCGTGCACCTGGTGAGAAGACACTACGTGATTACTCCTCCAATATTGTACTTATAGATCCACTGGCAAGCATAGCAGCGGTGGAGGAATTTCTTTGGCCCCGTGTACAACGTGGTGAATCTGGTCTGAAGCCAGCAGCTCCTGCTGGAAATACAGAGCCAGGCACGTTACCTAGCGGTGCTGGGGTTTCATCGCCATCGTCGTCAACTCCAGCTTCTACCACTCGTCGTCAGTCTTCTAGATCTAGATCAGCAATTAATATAGGTGATACCTCAAAGAAAGAACCTGTGCATGAGAAAGGTACCAGCTCATCGAAAGGAAAAGGTAAAGGTGTCATGAAGCCGGCTCATGCAGATAAGGGGCCTCAAACAAGGAGCAGTGCTCAAAGGAGAGCTGTCCTTGAAAAAGATACACAAATGAAACCAGCTAGCGGAGACTCCAGCTCTGAGGTATGATACTGTACAAACTTTTGGACTTTCATGGTTGGACTTTCTGCTTATGCAACATTATCGTACTTGTGTGCCTTGCAGGATGAGGAATTGGATATATCCCCTGTCGATATTGATGATACCTTGGTGATTGAAGAGGATGACATTTCTGATGATGAAGATGATGATAATGAAGATGTAAGTATTCCTTCATTTTTTCCCCAGTATGTTCATTGTT